GACAGCATCCGACTTGAGGCGCACCTTTTGCGGTTCAACTTTCTCAGGCGGATCTTTCCCAAATCGCAGGCGAAACACGTCTTCGAATTCGAACACAAGATGGCGCAGCGTGTTCACACTCGCAGCCGACAGCCCTTCGGCAGCTGCGTCATCCACTTTAGCCGTAAGCACTGCGCGCACCGCAGCAACGTCACCACAACTGTGCTCGTCGGTGCCTGACACACCAGACAGCTCTGGCGTGGCAAAACACATTCCTTCGTCATCATCCATCTCATCCGCCACCCCGGCGACGCGCAGTGAGCGGTACCTCGCCACACCAGTCGTCACAGTCAGGCCATCATCAAAATCCCAGACCTCTTGATGACAGTACGCGTTTTCGAGCAAACCCTTGTCGTCGTAACCCAGCTTGCGTATCACAGGCAAGCCGAGCGTAAGCCCCACCGCAGATACAGATTCGTCTACCCCCATACGCAGGCCACGCAAGAGCAGCTAGCCATGCGCCGTCTTAAATTCGACACGAGACAACCGAACTTGCTTCGTCACACGCACAGGTTGTGCATTGGGCCCGTACGGCTGCAACATCATGATGCCGACATCCATCATCTCGGGTGTCGCAACAGCGGCAAGCAACGCAGAAACTAAACCACTGACAAGTCTGCACCCGAATCGAGCAGCGAGGCGTTGACAGGCACAGTCCCCTCAACTACGCATTGCAGGTTATCACGAGGAGTAACCCCATCAGCGCACTGAATCGATGACATGCGGCCCACGGGATTGTCGCTTCGTTGTCGCTGGCCATCAATGCGTCATTTTATCTCCACTTGTGCATGTGCCTTCAGTAGCTCTGTCGCTTCTTCTTTCGTCACTCTAGGGCACTCGCGGATCCTATGCGCGGTCGACTTGCACTTTAGGCACCCCATAGTCGAGCTCGGTGTGTTGGGAGCAATCGCGCTGGCGGGTTCGCTGGCTGTCGCGCGTTGCCATCTGCGTCCTTGAAGTGATCGGTTCGCCCACGCAATGGTCGTGAATCAGCCGTCCTCACAGGAGGCTTGGGCTCAACCTCGTAACAGTTGTATCGCTCGTGATTCACCGCATATTTTCGCAACCACCGCATAAACAGTTGCACGTCCTTTCTCATCGACTTGTTCCTTGTCATGGACATCTGCTCCACCACCGCCAATTGTAGAGACGCGGGCTTCACAGCGTCGATGATAAACTGAACGACGGTTTGTGCTTTTTCCTTGAGGATCCATTCCTGCCGATCGCGGCGCGTTTCTGCAACCAGTCCATCCAACATTTTGCCGGCACGCGACTCAGCGTCGGGAATCGACATATCGAAGCAAATAGACCATTTTATCGCGCTTCTTCAGGCTCTCAAACGCACGAGGTTCGACTTCGAAACCGAGCCTGAACCACGCAACCCATTCTTCTTCAGTCACCTCGTCAGGGTCTTTACCGAGGTCCCATACAACAATGCGGTACTTCGATTCAAAGTCCATATCCGCACAAACCGGCATCACGAACGGGCGCAGGCCGTTGGCAGATAGCGCGTACGTCTGGTTGCTGCATAAGTCGTACGCCGACATGAACACCCGACGTTCAGCTTTCGTCGAGCCCTTGAACATCGGCGGTTTCGGTAACGCTGGGGCGTTTCGCACAATCACGTCTTCTTGCTCCATGTCCACATCGTCCGACTCTTCTGCGGCGGTGTATTCATCATCAGCAAGCGGTGCATTTGCGTATTTCGACCTCACGTGACTACGGCTTCCCTTTGTCGGGCCTGCAAAGGTCCGACGTTCCGGCGACTTGAACACACGGCGAACCCGGTTCGTAGTTCGCATTTGTTGAGTTCCTCGAGCCATGGTAGTCACGGGACGCGCTGACCGATTGGACGCTTCGCGGTCCGATCTGTCCGATCGTGATTGCCTACCACCATTAACAGAACTTTCAGGCAACTCCACTTGATGTAGTTCCATGTTAACAGCTAGCTTGTCTGAAGACAGCTAAAGTATTCTTTGTTGTCCTTTGCCGGTGTTCGTAACCAGCCATCGCGTTCGGAGCAGTGGTCTCAAGTTGACAAATCGTGAAGTGACATTATTCTCGATTTAGAAGTGTTCCCTAAGTCAGCCCCCTCTTGTGGTACACTGACTGCCCGTCAAGGCAAGCAGATTTAGCCAATGAGAACGTACTACGCTCAAGCATCGGAGGAGCGGAGGATGGGATACAAATCCTACCAGCACCGACTGCACACACAGGGCACGTGCACGTCGGGCTCGAGGCTCAGCTGAGAACAACTACGTAGTAGAAGCGTTAGAAACGCGAATCGCATCGTATGATCAAATTTCATACTTCAAAGTAATAGTTGCAGTCGTTTCTTCAATTGACTGAACACTTTTCCCCAACAGCATTATTCGGATAATCCGGATAACTTGGAAACGCAAGTTTGAGGTCAAGAGTTGAGGAGGTCAAAGCACGCGAAAAGATCACACCTGGTTCCCACCATGCCTTCCAAGAACAAGAAGTCCAAGGCCCCAGCTGCACCTGCAGCTGGAAACAGCGGTGATGCTGCCCCCCCAGAACCAACCAAGGCTAAGGCTGCTGTTGCGCTTGCTGCGAAATCTGCGCAAGCGCCACCTGCCCCTGTCATCGCGGTTCCGACCGCGGCTGAAGTAGCGTGTCGGCTTGAGGTGCTTGCAGGTGGGAAGGAAAAGATGGCAAATGACTCGAAGGCTGCCGAGGAAGAGCTGTCGCGCCTTTTGAAGAACCCTAAGAAACGTGTGCAAGGCAGGTCGGATGACTTGGACGAACAAATGAAGAAGCTCGAGTTTCGCCGCAATACAACGTCAATGACCCTGAACGACGAGAAAAAGCTCCTTCGTGATATTGAAACGATCAAATTACTTAAAGTCGAGCTGGTCGAGTACGAAGAGTTCAACACGCGCGTGCAGTACCTCAAGGACAAGAAGAAAAGTCTCTTCGACACGCTCAAGCAAGCTGAAGCGCAAGAAAAGGAGCTCCAATTGACCTTGAGAAAGCTTCGCCTGGCCGAGACCTTGAACGTTTCGATCAACCAGTTTGAAACCATCTCGATCACGGTACCCAGGGACAAGATGGGGCTCGTCGTGGGCAAAGGATTCGCCAAGCTACGTCAGCTCGAGGAATCGTACAATGTTTTGCTCGACGTTGAAGCGGGTAGGCCTTTTTGCCCACTTGCGAAGTCTTTGTGTTGATTACACCCTGAATATATTGTTGACAGATTTGTTTTTGTCTGGTAGGGTCGCAAGTGGTCTCGTGCACGAGCACGCCAGCCAACAATGCCATGATCGAGTCCGCTCTGGATAGCATTGCGACGGCCACGCTGCACTCGGTGGCCGTGCGCCCCGACACGTTGAAATTGCTCATGATCCAGAAGGGCAAGCACTTGAAGGCGCTAGAAGCGTCGTGTTTTGTCAAGATTGACGTGAACCGCGCCGACAACGTGATTTCGTTCACGTCGTCTGCGGATCGTGTAGACGCGGTGCAACGGGCCATCAAGGTCCTCACCACATCGTCCGTCACAATTGATGTACCGCAGGATGTCTTGCCCAAGCTGATCGGGAAGAAGGGCGAAGTCATTTCCAAAATTATGGAGGATTCTGGCGCGCTGTTGGACATCGACCGCGTTGTCAACAGTCTGCGCATCATTGGACCCCTCGAAAGCGTTCAAATCGCGCAAACGGCCGTGGAAGAGCTCATTTACGACCAAGGAGCGTCCACCATCGCGGTGTACGCAACCGATGAAACGTACTTTGGCCGCTGGGACGCCCAAAGATTTCCCATCTTTGTCGAGTACTTAATGGTGGACAAAGCGGTGCGACTGCGCGATCTGCGCAAGGACGCGCAGGACTGCCGCTTGCAAGTCGTCAAGGTAGAATTGAGCCGTAGTGTTTGTCAGGAAGTGTGGTAGATGGTGACGTCTGCATGGACTAGCCCAAGCAAATGTTCGAAGCGACGGGGAACCGAACGCAATTGGAAGCCCTCAAGGCGGCGATGCAAAAGGCGGTCGCGGAGTTTAACGCGAACGTTGTGTCATTCGACGTGGACTCGAACTGTTTGAGTCTTATCATTGGGAAGAAAGGAGCGAAAATCAAAGCGATTGAGAAGGAAAGCGGTGGCGCGCGCATTAACATCACGGGCAACACCGTCAGCGTGCTGGGCACGAAAGAGCAGGTAGCTCCCTCTCTCTCGTCCATCCTGTCGCCTTGTCTCACGCCATCTCGGATAGTCGTCAAGTGCGGTCGCCCTTGTCGAAGAAATCGTGGCCAACAACCAGCGCGTCGTCGTGCACGCTTCACCGCACTTGGTCCCGTTGCTCTTGAACAACAAACGCGCCAAATTGAACGAAATCGAGCAGGAGACGAAGAGCAGCATCCAGCTTCCCCAAGCTCCCCCAAAGAAGACCAAGCACCACGCGGACGTCGCTATTACGATCACGGGCACCACTGTAAGAATTTCTGTCTTGTATTCATGGGATGCTGAATGACCCTGTGTAGGCTGGCATTGAAAAGGCGGCCTTGTTGCTGGAAGCGCTGAACCGCGCACACCAAGTCGTGTACTTGCCACTCGATCAAGACGAAGTGACGATCGTCATTGGGAAGAAAGGCGAAACTATCAATAAGTTGCAAGCCGACACGGGGTGCCAGCTGCGTGTGCTGGATGCCGATGAGTCATCGCCGTCTCGTGAGCTGCAGCTGGCAGGCAGTGAAGAACAGTTGGCATTGGCCACGGCCGCCATTGACGTTCTACTCAACTCGTCGCATCGACAGCTTCTGTCCTTTGACGACTTTGCCACGGGGGTCATTATCGGTCGCAAAGGGGAACAAATCAACAAACTGCGCGAAGAGTTCCCCAACGTCTCGATCGACGCATTTCCCCATGGCCAAGTCCGCGTGAAAGGCGCGTCCAAGGACCTTGTTGACAGCGCTGTGGCCGCCATCTTGGACTTGCTCCAAACTACAACTGTGCAGGAAAGTGTCAAACTTCCTGTGGACAGCCGCCAAACGTTTGATGCGTATGTGAGAGATCCCGCCACCTCGTTGTACATTTCGGAACTGGAAGCGGAGGGCGCCGTCAAGGCCGTCGTGGTGGACGAGGGCAAGCTCGTCAAGGTACGCGTTGCCTTGCTCAATGGCTTTCGAGAGTTGGATTCACGTAGCAGTGACTGGATTCGTTAGATTCGAGGGTATGCCCTCGGTGTGGGCAAGCTGAAGCGTTTTTTCGAAATGGTGACAGAAGCCCATGTGGCAGTGTCGATTCCACTGCCGTCGGCGGCCCATGTGGCGTCGCTCAAAGGGTCGTCGAACGAAGGCATCCACGAAAACGTCCATCAGGTTATGAAACAAACCAAAACTGTCATCCGCTTCAAGAACGACAAGAAGAGCTATTCAGGCGTCGTGCTGTCGATCGAAGGCCCGTCGCTGCCCAAGGTCCTTGAAGCCAAGCACCGTGTCGAAGTCGTGCTGCAGTTCTTCTTTCCGACGCACTTTAAAGTCCTTTCCAACGTCCCGCAGTCGTCGATTGCGCGCGTGTTTCAGACACTGCCGCTCGTGTCGAAATTCAATGTTTGTTTGTGCTGGCCCCTGCGCTTTTGGTTCTAATGAGTGTGCTTTGTCCAGGCGATCTTGTCCCTCGGATCCAAAGATTCGATCAAGATCTTTACGGATTCCGAGGCCAACACGGCTGTTGTGCACAAAACGCTCCAAGACAGCCTGCGTGCCCACTTGAGAGAATACAAGGACGTGGCGATTCCGTCCTATTTGGCTCCTATCCTCGTCGGCAAGAACGGCGACACGATCAAGCGGCTGTCCGCGGAGAGCCAAGCGACGTTGACCTTGTCCGCTGTCGACACGGACGACGCGACCGCACCTCGCACACTCACAATCCACTCCAAAGTCGAAGCGAACGTGGCAAACGCGGTGAGGCCAACCCGACTCGTCCTTGGCTAACGGGGAGCTCTAGATTAAATTGGTGCAAAACCTCATGGACACGTATGACAGCGAATGCGTGTCTGTCGAAGTCCCACACAATCTCGTCGATTTTGCGCTCGCGTTGAAGCGCAAGAGTCCTTCAAACGTGTCGTTTTCGGTCGACAAACAGACCCCTACCGGCGTTGGGATCAAGGTAGTTGTGGTATGGCGGGACCGTGATGCACCCACGGTGGCATGCTTTGGTGGGTAGATTCATGCGAAGGACATTACGGAACGGGCCGCTGCACTGCAACGGCTGGAAGAGCTCGTGGCCACGATGACGGCAATCACGATTGTGCTTCCATCGTCTGATATTGTGGGCTCGCTAATTGGCAAAAGCGGGGCCAACATCAAGGCACTTCAAGCCGAGTACCCTGGTACGTGACAGAGTCGTTGGAATCTCAGCGACCTCTTCATTCGGACGAGGTGTAGGATTGCAAATTGACTTCAAGAAGGTCGATGCGACCGGGGAAGGCTGTGTGTCGTTGAAGGGAGACAAAGCTGCGGTCGCCTCTGCCAAGGAATGGATGGACGAGAAGATTGCAGCGGCTGTGGCTACCCAACGTGACTACCAGAAGCGCCAGCAAGCACAGGCAGCGTTCAATCTGGTCGCCGACGAAAAGGCGAAACAGGCGGAAGCTGTCGAACGAGCAAACGCCGCTGAAATCGAAGAGACAAAGCCCAAGGCAAAGACAGGCGTGTACGTGCCGATCGGGGGCGAAGTCAAGCTGAACAAGACCCAGCGTCGCCGTGAACGCAAGCGTGCCGAAAAGCAGGACAGCGTGCTGTCGATGCTGGTGGGGGGCCACGATTCCCAGCGGGGCGGTTCCACCACGTACGGTCAAGCGTCGTCGTCGTCCGCTCATGCGGCGTCGGGCGGATACTACCATTCTCCGGACGGGTATTCTTTGCGCTTGTAACGACACCCGACGATCACGATCACTGCTGCTGAACAAAGAACCATTTGAGTGATCATCTACATTGCTACCTTCCCTGTTGTCTACTTCGGTTGCAACGATGCCTCCCGTTCGCGCGCTGTCTTGAGGCCGACGCCAGAAATCCGCTTGACGTCGTCGCTGTCGACGGGCTCGTTGAATCCCAGCGCCTGGCGAGCTTCCGCCATGATAAACACACTGCCACACACGACAACAATTTCTTCGTCCGACGAGTTCTTTTCGGCGGCGGCTGCACGGGGCAAGTCAGTGCATTCCTCGTCTTGACGCAACGTACCGTGAATGGCGGCTTTGACCCCGGCGCCGACACTGGTTTCATTTCCCTCGGCCGAGTGAAACGACACGGCATCTTGGGCCGTCTACACGACCATTCAGTCGGAACAAAACACGAACGTTCGCGGACCTTTCCCAGAGCGTGCTGAATTTCGACCATCGACGCGCACCGCGGATGGTACCCCTGGACGAAATGCACGTGGGAGGCACGCGTGGCCATGATCGAGTCGATCACGTGCCCAATGTCTTTGTCGGCGGAAAAACCACACACAAAACGAAACGAGTGATGCCGAAACGTGGCCTACGGACAATGCTGCTGGAGATGCTCGCGACCACGGCTGCTTTACCTGGAGCAACTTGAGCAAGCGATCAAATGCTGGTAAGTTGTGCGCGACGTCCAACACGGCAGTCACGCCGTGGTGGGGAACTTGAACAGTTTCGAACCGGCAGGGCGGTCGAGACTGCAGCGCGTGTTGGACTAGAGGACTTTCCAGCTTGATGTGAACCTGCGCGACGCATTAGACGAAGCAGCACTTGGTTCTACGAGGTGAAGAGGAGATAATACCTTGCTCTTGCCACTCTGGTTGAGCGTTTCCGCGGCGAGCGTTGCGAGGTCGGTGTTTTCAACGTTGAAGTCATCGGCGTACCGCGGTGTGTCGTTGAGAAAAGCTATCGGCGCATTCGCACGTTGTGCAAACTGCCAAGGCATGCTTGTTCAGTCAGACGCCAGTCGCGAAAGCACGCACCTCGCGCATGACGTCGGGCTGCGTGTTGGGGCCACACACCACTGGCACGGAGGGCTTGATAATGCCAGCCTTCTCCCGTGCGATCTCTGGGAGCGTCGATCCCAAGATACTCGTGTGATCCAGCCTGGTCAAGATCACGTTAGAGAAGGGTTCGTCGCAGTTGTTCGTGGACGTACCCTATGGACGTGATGACTGACACGACTGGGGTGACAATGTTCGTGGCATCGAGCCGCCCTCCAAGACCAGTTTCCAACACAACACAGTCCACTTCTTCGCGAGCAAAATGCTGCAGCGCCAGCGCTGTTGTGAGCTCAAAGAACGTGGCTGGGATGGCAAGTTGCGTGCTCTTGTCGAAGATGGTCGGCAGGAGGTCCTCAAGTTGAGCCTCCGAGATGAGGTTGCCGTTGACTTGGATGCGTTCACGAAAGCACGAGACGTGAGGAGACACAAACAATCCTGTTTTAAACCCCGACGACTCTAGGGCCTTCGCAAGTTTCCATGATACAGAGCCTTTGCCGTTCGTGCCTGCAATGTGGATTGTGTCGAAATGCTGCACAAACACCATTTTGTTAGAAGCACCCATCGCAATCTGCGCGTACCTTGGCTGGCGACCCCAGCGCTTCGTGCAGTGCAATAGAGTTGCGCAAACCCATCTTCACCGTGTGTGGGAACTGGTTGACTCGCAGGAGGCGCTGGACGAGCCGGTCGTACGTCGTCATGGCCTGCAACAATGGATCAATCACCCGCCTCCAAGAACCAATTCCATTATTCGTCATCCAATCGCCGTCGAGAATTTGAAATCAGCCAATCATGACCTACAATTCGTGCTTTAACCGCTTCCGATTGGACAGGCGCAGGATTCCGTCGTTGAACCGACGACTGTTCGTACGACGGTGGCAGCGCGGCGTTCATCGATGCGCCATGCTGCCGACGCCGCTCCTTCCACTGACGAAGAGCCCGCACAAGGCAAAAATGCCACCTCCTCACCATAGCGACGGCCACTCGTCACCATCTCCGCGCAAAGCAAAGCAGGTGCAAAAGTCGAACGAACTGCGCGGTCTCGAGTTCACATCGAGAGACCATGTGAACATCCTCCCTGGGAACTACGCCGAGTGCCATAGCAACGGGACGGGAACCCTTCAAGACATGCTCTTGTTCGACCAGAAACTGAGAGACGCAGCACCAATGTCGCATTTGCTGCATCCAAAGTTGGACCTTCGAGACTGGATTGTGTCACCAGACAAGCCGCTGGGAAGCAACATCGAACCTTCACTGTCCCTCTTGGCCTCCAACAAAGTCACATTTGAAGTCCTAACAAGCGATCGCGGACAGCGTGTCATTTCATCTCTCGTCAAACAGTGGGAAGCGGACAAGTATTCGGACAATGTCAGTTCCTTCTTCATCCACGTGGTCGTCGTTCACACAGGAAATTGATGGACAGGGACGGAATTTGTGGGCCATTGTCGAGACATTCTTCTCGTCGTTGCCGTATGTATTCGTCCGCGAAGGCGACATGCATTCGAAACTCGTGCTTCGATACGTGTCGGCGCTGTCAGCGCTAAAAGAAGTAATCGTACAAGGCCTCTTCTGCTCCAACGTGTCGGCATCAATGGCAGTCACGGCAACACTGACCCCCACGCACCACGAGAAGATCCCGCTTTACTGGTATTGCCACCAACTCGAGCGAGAAGTCCAGTTGCTCAAGAATTCAACAGCCGACCAGTCGTGGGAAATGGTAAGGAGCCCATGTATCCATAACATGGCTGTCACGGCACCACAGGTGCATTCATCCGACATTGGTCTTCTCCAAGAAGCCACGGCCAGTGTACTGCTCAACTTTTGGAAACTACCCAAGCGCGAACGCATGGCGTTCCTCGTCCAAGTCTTCAGCAACGTGTCCGAGATCGAAACGGACTTGGTCCGCGTCCTTCTCGACAACAGCACGTACATCCTCCACCGCGTTCTCGAAGACTTGGGGTTCGAAGCAAAAGCGACCAGTGCCACAAAAGGACCGCAAGCCAAGTTGTCCACGATCGGGGCAGTCGTGTCCATGTCGGTGCAAGCCAGCAATCAAGCGCGCCAGCTGCACAAGTGGCGCAAGAACATGCGAGACAACAAACCGTCGGGGTTGGAGCCGATTCAAGTTCGTCACAAAGGAATCCAGGTCAACGGCGGAATCGAGAGCGACGACACGTTGGGCTGGTTGGATTCGCCGCCGCCTCGCACCCCGACCAAACGCATTCGTCGGTCTGTCATCACGTCCGACAAGAGCTTGAAGCTCGTCCTGATGCAGGACTACCAAGCTTTTGGACGAAAGGACCACCCGCACTTGCTCGCCAAGGACATGTGGACAGTTAGCACGTACAGCGAAAACTTGATGCACCACTTGCACGCGTTTATCGAGTACTCGAAAGACACGGCGTCAGTACCGGCGGAAGTGGTGCTCGTTGCAACGATGCTGTTGGAATGGTACGCCATGTGCGCTGGGTCAAGGTGATCCCCGTGCATGTAGGCTCATGCATGAAAAGCTAAAAGCCGCGTACCACGCAAAGGACATGGCGGTGAATCTCCTGGACAGCCCACATTTCAAGGAGTGCGCGATTTCTCTGTTGGACCTGTTCAAGAACCAGCTAGACAACCAAGTGCCTGACACCGTCAAAGCGCATGCGGCGTCCATCACCGACTTTCTACACCGGCGAGACGATACGAGCGATTCCATTCCACGGCCAAAGTACGTGTCGTTTGTGTTGCTTTTGATGCGACGTCGATATTAGAGCCATCGTGGAAACTACAAGTCCAATCGCTCCCGTCCCCACTCCCGCCGACATCCGGGCGTTCTTGCGCAAAGGATTCCCGGGGGATATCGTGAACCAGATCCTGAGCATCTCGACCGAGGAAGGGGTGAAGGAAAAAGAGAGCAAGACAATTCTGTTGATCGAGCAGCTGGAACATCACATGATGGGTAAACTGCAGAAACGCCCTGGGGCGCCCCCCACGGCTCACGAGACTGCACCGGCAACGCAAGAAGCACCGACTCCAACCGGGTTTGCGGAATCCATCACAACGACGTCGTCCCGGCGGCAAAGTAACATAAACCAACTGCACGCAACGTCCACCGTCATCAGGACTCTCACCGACCAAGTCAAGGCGCTTCTCAACGACGAACCTACCGACCAAACCAACGAACAAAAGGTGTCCGAATTGCTCATCGACTTTGTCACGTCCACGCAGAACAAACGCGGTGACGACGTTGGACTTGACCGAGTGAAAATGCTCGACATCGAGTCGCTGTGCAGCGTCCTGGAACAAAAGGTCGAGCTCGAACTCCAAGCTGGACCGCTCGACAAAACGACAAGAGTCCATGTGGCAGCGCTACAAAAGTTCATCAACAAGCTCGTGCCGGAGGCTCCAGTACATGGAGCGTCGGCCAGGGCAGCTCCAAAGTTAGACATTGTGTCGGAAGTTGCTCGACTGCTTGACGAGGCGCTGGCAAAAAGGAGCAGCCTTGACAAGGGAATTCTCACTATACTCGAAACGATCCAAGTATTTTACGCGTTCGCGAGCGGCGCCATGACATGCCCTGTCCGTGTAGGTGGTCGTGATGAAATCTCAGACAAAACACAAAAGCGATTCAGTGGACAGCTGCCTCAACTCGATGATTGCCTCGATGCAAGTTACCGGAGATGAATACGTCGAGCCACTGTACACTGGTCTGGACGACCTTGCGACGAGCTTGAAGGCAATTTTAGCATCAAGCAACGACAGCAAAGTCAGAAGTTGTGATGGCAAAAGCAGTGATAGCTCAGGCGGCGATAGAAGAAGCGGCGTGCCGTCATCGACGGCCATAACGTATCGGCTACCTCCAGCACTTCTCAACATCGACAGCGTCCTGAATGACACTCGAGTCAGCGCAATTCCGCGATACATCGTGGATTTGTCTAACCAAGTCAAAGCCCTTCTCGACGATAACACAAGTTCAAAATCGCATCCAGTCAGCGACAAGGACAAGGCAGCCAGTCCTCCATCCCACCACGCGAGTGTCCGGGGTGAGGGCCAGATGCATCCGCCCACGCAACACCACTCAAGTGTGACCAACGATTCGCAGCTCATGCGTGGTCGCAGGGTCCCGGGGCTGTTCCAACAAGGGCTTCTGCCTGGCACGCTGTGGGAAAACACGCGACTAAAAAAGCCCAACGTCCTTGGCATCTCCGTGACTGAATTGTCCGAGATGTTTGTCGAAAACAAGAGCGTGCTGAACGTCGGCACTGTTCACAAACTCATCTATCAAGTCTGTCAGCACACTCATAGATTGTGTGTCCACGTCGCTCATGCATGCTCGTTGCAGATCTACTGCGAGCGGTACGAGTGCAACTTAACCGAACAAGACAACCCCAACACGACGGCATTCATTGATTTTGTGTACGATTGGTACTTGCGAAAGTATGTCTTCATACCACCCTGGACAAGATGCTCAGCACCGCTCCCTCGTAGGTATGGATTGCGCAAATTGGCCATGCAGCACTTGTCCAAGTTGCTCCTGTCGCTGAAGAAGCAGAAAAAGAAAAGCAAGAAGGCTCTTCTGTGCGTTCGTCGCCTTCGATTGTGTCGTCGTAACGAGTTCATTAGATTCTGCCGATTTCTCGGGCTCTTTCCACCTCTCTTGGATTATAGCGCCCTCAACTTTGCCCTGGTGAGCCGAGCCATGACCATCCTCGTCTCAATTCCATCCAGAGCCTCATGAACGTCTGGACAAACGGAACGTTTGCCGTCCAGGCGACGGCAAACCCCGTACCGCTGTCGACCATGCACATGATCTTGGACGATGGGTACGTCGTCGTGTTGTGGCCGTGCTAGTCCCCTCCATGATGCATCGTGTGCACGTTTTGGTGTTGCATAGCTACGATCGGCGATTTGGTCCGTTTTGCACGACAACGTTTGTGAAGGAGAGACTGGCGCGAAATGCCATGGCGGACGATCCGACGTCGATCGACCAAGACGTGGCGCTTGAAATTGCCCTGGAAGAATACGTGAAAATGAAAACGAACGTCGAATCGGTACGAGCTTGTCCATGCTCAAAATGCACGATGGGGCCATCCGTCGCAGATGCTGGAAGATATCTACACGGCAGGAGACATTAACGGGGACGACAAGATGGGGTTTGATGAGTTTGCGACTGTTGTGCGCAATTTGGCACCATGTGTGTCGGATCGAGAGGCACGCCCTTTTCAAGGATGCGAAGGGTGTGTGCCAGGAGCTCATGGATACATGTAGATCGTCAAGATGTTCAAAGAAGCCTTGCTCGATCCCATGTTTGACACGATAACCAAGCAGCGCTTTGTCAATGTTATCATTGATCAAGGGGTGCTTTCGAGCCGCGTGAACAAGTTTAAAGTGACTTCTGGTGCCAACAACTCGACATCGTTTCCAGTATGAGGGGTAGTCATTGTCGAAAGGAAAACGGTGCTGTGTTAGGAATACGAGAACGAGCAATTTGAGCTCCTCGAAGAGTCCTGGAGGGTGCGACTTGCGATGTGGCGACCCACCGCATATTCGTGATGGCTAATGGTGTATGGTAGAGTCACGAAGCAGAAATTGTCAAGGCAATCGAGAGCATTCCGCACAGCGAAACGTCAACGTCGCTGCTGCTGCGCGTGAAGATTTTGAACATGGTACATCGTCGTGTTGTTTCAAAACGTTGACGAAATAATCATGCTTGTGACGAAGATCATTGCAAAACGCATCGACTCCGAGACGGCGTGGCTTTCCCATCGCATGATCCTGCGTGATATCCATCGATTCAAGGACCTGAACGAAGGGGCGATCAGCGAGATTAAGCAGAAGGAGGAGTACTTTAAGGAAGCAGTCACCCGCATCATGACGTCCAAATTCGGCCTCTTTCGCGATGCTCCCAAGCAAAACCAACCGCCGACAGCGAAAATCGGTGACCGACCGAGCTCTGGAGTCGTCGACTTTGTACAACACATGGACGAAAGCAAGGGATGTGGAGATATAAAGGACGAAGACGCGTCGGACATAGCGCGGCTCGAAGAGTCTTTGCGGTCGGAGATGCTCAACATGGCCAACGGGGCGAGCGAGAGCGTCCTCGAGTCCCAGCTGGACCTGTACGACAACGCGGTCAAGAAAGTCCGGCGCATGAATATGTCGAAAGCTGCCAAAGCCGTCAAGAAGCTAAGCACTCTCATGAAGATGGCCAAATTGGCCGGCTCTGCGAGCCCTTCGGCGGCCTTGACCGAAGAATCCGAGACTGTGCATGAAGACGACGAGGTCGTGTGACAGTTTCGATCATCCACGGATACTTCCTTCGGATGCTCTTAAGTACTACTGCTAGTAGTGTGCAATATAAGTTGAATGGAGATACGGTGATGCTTACTAGTATCTACTACCCGTGAAAGAAAATATATCCTCTAAAATCGGATAGATATCTCGACCAGCAAGCGACACAAGCAACAACGAAGCATGGACAAGTCGAAGGCGCCGAAGGAGGACAACAGCAAGGGCAAATGGCAAGACCCGTCCAAATCGAAGCTTCATGTATCCAAGGACGACTTGCACCATACGCTACACGCACATTTCCAAGCTGCGAAAGGAAAGGCCACCGAGAACGACAAGCTCAAAATGGACAAATATACACGCAAGCACGTCGTGTCGTTCTTACAAGTGAAGAAGGTCAAGAAGGTCCAAACCTCAAACAAGCGCATGTTCAATTCCTTTGGATCGACCAAGTGCAGGTTGCTGTGCATCACGGTACACGTTGCATGGATGAATGCCTTAACCAACTCTTCGTGTAGACTCATGAAGCGATTGACCCTGACAACGAAGCTCCACATACGGTCGTGCAAGTCCACCACGTGAACTTTCAATCGAATTTTACCATTGAAATTCGCAAGACGTGGTCGTTGGAGTCGCTGGAGTCGGTCGAAAATTGCCTCGAAGATGTAGAGAAGTACTCTAACGGAGCATTCCGAACCCAATTCGACGACAAAGAGCATGAACCAACCCAATGGATCGTTGACGACGACGTACGAAATTTATGCTCTTCCCATGGCCTCAACCTGAATAGGAATCCCCGACTGCAATGATGGAGTTTGTCTGGAGCATTCTCGCGTATTCTGCCAACACCTTGGTACGAATGCCCACAGCACGTCGTCATGTCCATGGTGAACTTCTCGAATTGTAGCACACGTTACCGAAAATCACATTTTCGCTGGACGACCTCAACGCATTGGCCAAGCAGATGAACTTGGCAAAAAAATTCGGTGTCGAAGTGGACCTGGAGAAATTTCAAGTCTGGCAGCCCAGAATTCAAGTGGATTCACGTGTCATATCGTGCAAATGTTAGGCAACACCCTCTGCTCCACTTGCCCCGAGCAAAATCGCTCGTCAACGCTCGACGAGTGACGATCCTGCAGGTGCATTAGCGGCTGCAGCGTCATGGAAGGTACTTCAGCTTGCACACGTCGCGGAGGGTGTCTGATGTCCCATGGCCTATGGATTAGTCTGTTGAATACGAAGACGCAGTCTCGTTGTTTGCAACGATTCAGTGGGGTGAATGTACAGCAGAATCAGTCCAAGCGCAATGGCAGCAACGGCTCAAGTTGCTCGAAGACGAGAATATCGATTTTCTGCTAACGCTGCAAAACAAGGACAAAGCCACGATCGAAGTCATCTCGTCGGCAGTCGACGTCGTGCTGCAGCACGTGAACCGTGCCGAGAAGTGGACGGAAGAAGCTGAAGCGACGCTGGCAACGACTGCGGCCAATATGTCGCAGTTTGAGACCCTGAACAACCACATGGAGGTCCACTATAAGAACAGCATTGCGTTGCAAGAAGCGCTAGGGGCCATGATTCGGGTACACGCGACGAATCCATCATCCAGAATGTGTTGGCTCAAACCCTTGGCCTTTCCATTAGGATATTGACATTGACCGAGAATCGATGGGAATCCTGCTTAAACCCATCTCGATATTCCCGCACGACAGCAACATTCCCGAAGACGACACGTCATCTAGTATCGACATGATGTTTGAGCCTGGTCAACTCAAACGATTGTAGATCCGTCCCTGCCCAAGATATTGGAAGCGATTCAGCGGTTGGAAGGAGCAATCAAATCCGTCGACTCGTATCCAGCCAAAGAGGTGCGTTCTGCAACAGATTGTCCAGTCAAGATGGACGTCATTAGATGTCAGCGTTTCAAGGTCGCCGGGAGGAACTGTCAACGCTGGGCGCCACGTTTGGTGGAAAACTTCTCGCGTCATTCGAAGCGTATATGCAAAATCTCGCAAAAGGTCATGCTGGCACAGAGGATGATGTGCTTATGTATTCATGTAATGTATGTGGCAGGAGCGGATCAAGCTGGCCAGTCCCGGCGGCGGTCACTCAGCGGTGGCCATGAGGTGCCAACTCCACGGAAGAGCATATTTTCACGCGACCGAGAGATGTCGGATGTGAATGACGACCGGTTCGACAAATTTCAAACAAGGCATATCTGATCGATGTCAAGTAGTACCCGTCGGTCGAGCTCAACCAAACTCGACGAAGCCGACTGGACATTTAGCAACGAAAGAATTCACTCGAGCCTCATGAAGTATCAGGTACACCTGCACGCTGTCCCCGCGACAAGACCAAACTTTGTCGGGGACAGGAAATCCTCCAAAGTGTCGCGTCGTTGGGGTCAAAATCTGCTGTGACCCTTCGCGACATTTACGCAAAACACGTCGTCCCCATCTATTCGAATCATCTCCATGCATTGTTCCGCACTCTCAAGGACAAGGTAGTCGATTATTCCGATCAAATTCACTCCGTTCTATCGACGGGACCAGGTGCCGAAACCCAAGGCGCATGGCATGGGCGGGAAGACGTCCCAGTGGAACATCAACTTGTCGTTTTCACATGCTTCGTCCGAGTCGACCATCTCGATCAGCGCGTCCACTTTACTCCAACAAGCGTTGGACCATATTGTCCCTCTGTGCATTGCTGAGCAAACCTTTGTCCATGGAATGTTCTTCTCCTCGAACAAGCATCAAAAGCCAGAGCCAGTCGAGCTCACTGTCCTCATGGAGAGGCTGTTTGAAAAGTACGCCGGCGCTTCAATACATGCCATTCTTGAAAACGGATGGTCTTGTAGGCTTCCCAAGCGACTCGTCGAATTTGGTGATGCTGGAGTGAGCGCCAACGTGTTTGAAGCGGTGTCCATGATCGTGACAGCGCAGCAACAGTTGAAAGCGATCGACGGTTCGAGCGAATACATCGTCAACACGCTGCTCAACTTCCAGCTGCACTTGAAAAGAAGCTTGTCCAAGTACATGGAGGAACAAGTAAGCCGACATGGTACCATGCTTCGAGTATAATGGTTTGGCTAGGAACTTTGGCTCGCCAGTACGCACCCCGACACAAGACTGGTGGGCGTGCTCAGCCCCGTTCAGAAAATGATGGTGCCGCGATCCCCAGGGGTGCAGCCTTGACACTGCTTTCCCTAGAATCTCGTGACAAGGTTATGCGATGCTGCGACTGGGATATCCACGGACGACCCGAGCACTCCCCTGGCTGCTATCTACGAACGGATCATCGTTGGACTGTTTGCTTGGCTGGAAAAGGCCGCTGCAACCAAGCCAAAGTACGCCCACTTGGTTCGCCTCGGTACGTACATCCTCCAACATCGTTTTGAGACGTGGCAGCGCGATCGTCGAGTGTAGAAAACTACCATTTCATTCACGGCAAGTTGCAACAACTGAGCGAGCACAGCTTGCCCCTCAAACAGTATGCGGACGATTCATTTGTCGAGTATTCGAAAAATCTCGACGCATACGTGATGTGGTTGTGGGAATGCGAAGTTGGCAAGTTCACGGTGAAGCATTTCAATCTGCGTCGGCTGCACGTCTCCGTGTGTTTTACTAGGCTTTGTTCAACACGATCGAGACGCTGTTGGAAACCCTGCCGCTGGAAGAAGTGCAATTTCACTTGCCCAAGCAAGACATTCGCAAGGCGGGTGAATTTATCAATCAAAATGTACGTTGCCAAGTGAGGTGTCAATAAAGTTCACCACCGTTACGACTGCAGCTCGACAAAAGCATGAGGCACATTGGAGAGCGATTGAAAAAACATTTGAGCCACTCAGCCGACATGGCAACCGTCGTGGTGGAATGCCTCCGCGTCCGTACAATTCCATTCGTCACGCGCCTTTGGATGACATGACCGTGATCTAGGCCACTGTGCTCAAGTGTTACGAGCGAAACACCTTGTTGGCAACCAAGTGCTACGGGATGGAATTGGACCTGACGGTGGAGCGACTTCGTCAGGCTTTGGCAAAGTTGCATTAGTTCCACGTGTTGAGCACGCATGGTAGCGCCATTTCCTTGTCTGCGACAACTCGCATGCGTTCGTCACAACCCGACGACAATTCAGGCTGCAAACCGTAAATGCAACATCGATGCCACGACACCGTGCGACGTGACGTGTCAAATTTGTGCAATTGCAGCGTCGTCGGCATGGGATGAAATGCGTGGCGGCATGCACGCGGAGTCGACCTTCGCGTCGCGCAGATACCGCCGAGAGGGGCGTAATTTTGTACAAGTCGTTGTCAGAAACAGCAAAAAGTGCCGACGTTGGCTGCGTCTGGTTTGAGTGTGGAATATCTCGAATGCACAGGCATACGGCAAACGTTTCGTCGGTTAGCGAGGTAGTCAGTTACAGACCGAAAGGACCCTCGCATCACAACGAGGTGGGCGATGTCACGTCTGGGGACGCTGGGCCGTGGGGAGACAAGCTCCACTGCGTTCAACAAAAAAGCGTCGTCGAGTCCGTCGTCCGCACCGATCCCGTTGGAGCCGCCTGTGGGACGTGCATTGTTTATCAATGACGTGCTAGCAACAGCAACCGCCATGGCGAGTCTGGGCAAAGTGTATGCTGGAAACGACGTGTGCACGTCCAAGTACACGTTGCTGTCGTTCTTGCCCAAGACGCTCCTCGAGCAGTTCCGCCGCGTGGCCAACTTTTACTTTTTGATTATTTCGCTGTTGCAGCTCGGGACGCCGTACTCGCCCACCAACAAATATTCGACAATCGTGCCATTGATCTTGGTGCTGTTCGGTACATACCGATCCAATGCTACATGCATGTCCTGACAGCGTTTCACGTAGCGACGATGGTGAAAGAAGCGATCGAAGACAAAGCGAGGCACGACGCCGACCGAGCGGTGAATCAATCCAAAACGGAAGTGTTTGACGTGGATGGTCAAACATGGATTGAAATCTTGTGGAAGGACTTGCGCGTGGGGGGTAAATTGTCACATGCGCTAGCGCTTGGATGGTCACATGTCTCGGCAGATCTTGTGCGCGTCGTCGATTCCCAGCCGTTCCCGGCCGACATGGTCCTGTTGACGTCCAGTTCCAACGACGGGCAGGTCTACGTCGAGACAGCCAACCTGGACGGCGAAACAGACTTGAAGGTGAGCCCATGGTTGACATGCCCGCCTTGACGTGGCCCAGATTCGAAGCTGCCCCGACTCGAAAGGCATTGAAATGGACGCTGGGCTGTTTCCATTGGAGCTGGTTGGCGAGATCACGTGCGAGCCCCCGAATCGGCGCCTGTACACGTTTGCTGGTGCGCTGAAGATCAAAGTACGCCACCACGACAAATCGACATGGTGACGTCTCACGCTGCGGTCAGGAACATTCGCAGCGCCAGTCGGTCGAGATCGCCTTGACCATCAACAACCTCGTCCTGCGCGGGATGACCCTCGCCAACACGAGTACGATCGTCGGCGTCGTCGTCGCAGCAGGAAGTGAGACCAAGCTCATGCTGAACTCGAAGAAGGTTCGTGCCGTCTTGTCCAGACTGTGGGTCAAAGGTCGAGTCCGTAGACCCCGTCCAAGTTTTCCCGGTTGGATGCGATCGCGAATCGGTGTATCATGTTGATATTTTCCGTCCTTTTTATCGTGTGTTGCGTGTCGACGGGACTCAGCATGGCCACTGCGCGCCATAAAGGCCAACTCGCGCGCATGGTCCACCTCACAATCTCGAGCGACGACCCAGAAGCGTCCTTCCTGAGCTCCTTCTTGACCTACTTGATCTTGTACAACAACTTGGTACGTTGTGTTTTGCGCTCGTCGTGGGTCTCATTGGGCCGGCCCCAGGTCCCGATCTCGCTCTACATCAGTCTGGAAGTAGTCAAGTGGTACCAAGCAAAGAACATGGAATCCGACCTCGCCATGGTATGCTCGTCTCCATATCGACAAGTTCCAAGCGGCTTCTAGATGGATCCGGCCACAGGACGATCCGCTCAAGCTCGAACGTCCAACTTGAACGAAGACGTTGGCCAGATCAAGCATTTGTTCAGTGACAAGACAGGTGCTGCCCCGTTGCTTCCCCAGGAATGCTGAACAACGCGAACGCACACAGGCACGATCACCCGAAACGAGATGGTGCTCAAGTACATTCACGTGAACAACACAGTCTTCGAGAAAACGCCGACGGTACGCCCGTCACCCCATTCGTTTGGACTAATCGGATCGTTACAGGTCACGCGCCAGACGTCGATCAAACGAGACTCGTCCCTGCAACGAGAGCACCTTACTGCACTCCACCAAGCGGACCGTCTTCACACGATGGAGGCTGCAGACATCGTGATCGACTATTTTCCAAAGCTCCAGGCGCTGGGAACAGAGCCAACGATTTTCCCTGGCTCCGAGCTGGTGCGTGTGCGCCCGTTCATTCGTGCTAATTCTGCGTCGTGGTGGCAGAGTTGTGTGAACGATGGAACCAACTCCATGAGTGCGGGCGAAGTCGTGCAGTATTTTATGCGATGTATGCTGCTGTGCCACACAGCCAGCATATCATCTGATACACGCGAGATCCGCGCGTCGTCGCCAGACGAGACCGCGCTACTTCGCGCTGCCAAGCTGCTTAATTGCGACTTTCTCGGGCGCTCCGAAAACATCATTGAAATTAGGTTCGACACGGCCTGCCTTGCGCTGGCATGTGCGTGACCGAAGATTGTGTAGCCTGTTTGGCGTGCGGGAAAAGTACGAGCTGTTGGCACTCAATGAATTCGACAGCACCCGCAAGAGCATGTCGATCATCGTTCGGACCCAAAAAGTCGACAGATCGGATGAAGATGGTGGTTTGTCGCCGTTCGTGTCGTCGCCTCAACGAGGTGTTGTGTAGAACTGTGGGTGTTTTGCAAGGGGGCTGACAGCACCCTACTGTCCGCGACCAACAATTACTACATGCACGAAAGAACGGAATACTTGAGCCGGCACGTGCAGTACTTTGCGTCGCTCGGGCTCCGGACGCTGGTCTTTGGGTGGGTTTCCCGCTTGCCTCCCTTGGGTTGTTGATTGGCGCGCGTAGGTACAAGCGGCTGTCGTTTGTCGAGTTTTCGACGTGGTTTGTCGCGTATTGCAAAGCGAAAACGTCGCTCGTGCGACGCGGGGCCAAACTGACCGAGTGTGCGCGATCGATGGAGACCAACTTGATCATTCTCGGCGCCACGGGGGTCGAAGATCAGCTACAAGACGGCGTCACAGAGTGCATCGAAGCGCTGAGCGAGGCTGGGTACGTATTCGCTGCCTGCCGTGTTCATGCGCCTGAGTGTGGTCTGCGAAGGATCAATATTTGGATGCTGACGGGCGACAAGGACGAAACTGCAGTCTCCGTCGGTACTGCGTGTGGGCTCATCTCGGAGCATTCGCATCTCGTCGTGATCAACGAAACCACGAAACGAGGGTGCTTGGAACAAATTGCGACGGCGCGGCGGAAGCTCAAGAAAATTGGTACGACGACTCGTCGGACCCACAAAAGTTGAAATGTGCACAGGACTGTGGCGACCGGGCGTGGCGTCGAGAGAAGTGTCGTTAGTTATCAATGGGGAAGCCCTCGAAAGCCTCCTGTCGACGGAAGACCCAACGTCAACGTCGATGTCGAGAGTGAGCAATACGATCCCCTCGTCCAACCACGACAAAACCGCATCCAGCGCCAAACCGTCCAGCAGCACGTCGGCACAACTCTTCAGTGGGGATGCTTCGCGCACCCGCCTCGACAAACGAACGCATTTGGGCCCAGCCGAGTATATTAGAATGGAAACACGCCCCAACCACGCATCGCTGCTGCGTCATAGCAGGACCTTGGGTGGTGTCGGCGCTGGCGCGCCGCTGTCTCAACGAAAGCAAAGCCACGAACATATTCGGCAGACTCCACTCGACCCGTCACAGCAGCTACCCACGAGGAATTCAAGTTTCGTCGCGTTGGGAAGTGCAGGTCGAGCCCCGGAGATGTCGAAAACAAAACTCGTGCTGCGGCGTGAGCCGAACGACATGCAATCGTCCGAGGTGGGGTCCGAGAGCTCGAGTCCGTGCGACAGCAATCAATCGAGCTCCAATGTCATGTCGTTCTGGAGATCCTTGCTCGTCAATTCGTCGGGCATGCTCCCTCGACACAAGCTGGCATCTGCATTTCCATCCGCCGAGCACATGGTTGCCCCGTCAAAGTCTGGGGACACCATCATTGGAACGGTATCGTTGACAGCATTGCGTCCTCCTCCGAAGAAGTCGATTCGAGGTTCGACCGTTGTCGCTCCAAACGTGCTCGGATCCATGTCGGACCTGTCAGCGTCGCCGTCGTTGCTGCAACTGGCCCGACTGAACATGGAACGAAGTCGAGATTCGCCCGGATCCGTGGTGGCGTGGATGGAATGCCGCGTCATCGCAGCCGGCCAGTTTGCCAAGCGACTGCTGTCGACAGGGAGCTTAGCACCGTCCCCTCCGTCGCCGACGACGTCCGCTGGAAGCGTTAGCAACCAAGGCAAAACCAACATGAGTTCGCTCGCCCGAGTCGTATCGAATGTGTCGTCCAAGTTGATCACGTCGGTCATCTCCAGCGTCAAATCTGCGCGAGGTGAATGCGTTGGAAGTGTCGTAATGTGCTGACGAACCACCCGTGTAGTTCGTCGAAGCAATGACGAAGACGACGACTCGTCCCTTGTCCGCCTGCACGCGATCGATTCCGACCTGTCCGTCATGATGTTCTTGCAACTCGTCACACAATGCCGATCAGTCATTGCGTGTCGGATGTCGCCGATTCAAAAGGCGCAAATCGTTGCATTGATCAAATCGAGGTCGGTTTGGGAGAGCGTTCGCAACGCCCGCGTGCTTTGACGTGTGGCCCCGGGTTGTTGGGGAAACGAGCTCTCATGTCGTTGATGTGGTAGCAAACGCCGACCGATGACGATGGCGGTCGGCGACGGTGGGAACGATGTGAGTATGATCCAAGAAGCAAACATCGGCGTCGGCATTTTTGGCCATGAAGGTACCAACAGCAGTGGCACATGTGCCTAGCCATCGAGCGAGCCCAACCCTGTCGTGCGTAGGCATGCAGGCCGTGCGCAGTGCGGACTTTGCGATCGGTCAATTTCGGTTCTTGTCGCGGCTGATTCTTGTCCATGGGCGGTGGAACTACCGACGTGTGTCGATTGTGATTTTGTTTTCGTTTTACAAAAACATGGCGCTGATCATGACGCTGTTTGCGTACTCGTTTCTGAACGGCCATTCCGGGCAAACGCTGTACGAGTCGTACCTCATGGTGGGCTGGAACGCCTTGTACACGTTTTTTCCGATCTTGGTCCTTGGTACATGCCGCCAGCATCGTGCGTATTTCGTACTCGGTTCCGCTGTGGTAGGCATCAAGGACGAAGACATCAGCGCCGAAGCTGTCATGCGATTCCCGTTCATTTACCGCACCAACCAACTCGACAAGGAGCTCAACATTGAAAAGATGCGGCTGTGGGTCGGCAATGCGCTGCTCCACTCGTTCTTGGTCTTTGTTCTCACCACGTTTCTCGTGTATGTCAATTGTGCTCGACCGAATCGTTGGTGACCGTCCGGACGTAGGTACAAATTGGGCACGCACTCAATCCCGACGGCCGGCGTGTTTGTGTACGGCACGGCCGTGTATGGGATATTGGTCGTCACAGTGTGCGCGAAAGCTGCCATGATCATGCAGCACGTGCACCGATGGTCGAAGTGGCACTACCTGTCGATCGTGTCGGGGCCAGCGCTGTTTGTGATCTTCGTGGCGTCCTATTCCGAGGTACAAGTGGTGTGGGTGTGCAAGCTCTCGATTCACCACGACCATCGGGCAGGCGTTCGAGTTGGTGCACGTCGATGCATTCAGCGACTTTTTCGGGCTCGGCCGGGTCCTGTTTACGTCGGTCGCGTTTTGGCTAGGGGTGCTGGTCGTATCTTTCTCTTCGCTCCTTCTCGACTTTGTCGTGATGTACCTCTATCGGATGTACCTGCCCACGAACCAAGTGATCATTGAAGAAATCGACTGCCGCCTCGAACGTCGCGTCACGGCTAGTGTACGATGTTGAAATGAAGCCTGATATCATGGAAAGTGTTCTAGATGCGCATGCGATCGTCGAGCTCGTTGGCCACGTCGCTCCTGTTCCACGGGAACTGGCACAAGCAGCTTCGAAAGAGCACCCACTTCACCGAACACGAGGAAATGTGCTGGCTGCTCGCCAAGTTTGAGCGGGACATTTCCCGCGAGACGAACGAAAGCCAGCAGAACGACGACAAGGACATGGGGTTCATTGTGACGTCGACGCCGCCGATCCATCCTATCACGATGGAATTCATGGGCGAAGATTACGAGCCGCTCGAAGCGGAGTACAACAGGAGCTTTGCCGAGCGAGAAGCGCGCCGGATTCGTGTGCTCGTCATTCTCGTCCTCGTGTTTATTCCTCCATACGCAGTCACGGAGTACGTGTACGAGCAAGACACAGACTTGTACCCATACCGCATCGCCATGTTTTGCTGCACTCTCGGCTACCTCTTTTACATCAAGTCGGAAAAGTTTTTGTCGACGTATCACGTGTCGGTGGGTGTTGACGATGACTTGGCCTCCATCGCATTCAACACGCGGTAGGTGTCGATTCCGCTGGGGCTGGCCGGCCTCGTGGTGAATCAATCCATCAAGTACACGGGCAAGTTTTCCACGACGATGTTTGCCATCGTCGCGTTCAGCATCATCCGAGTCAAGTTTGTGTACACGCTGTGGCTCGTGCTGTTCAACGTGGCGTATTTTATCCTGTCGAACGAGATGGGACTCACCAGCATTGAGCTTTCGAGCGAATCGAGCGACGACGAAGGAGTGCTGTTCGCGATCTTCATGGTGAGTGCACCGCTGCGATGGATTTCCACGTCGACGACCGCTGACTCTGAAATCCCGACACAACGCAGGTGTATTTGGTCGTGTTTGCTGCATACGACAACTACCAGCTTCAGATGACGATGAAGCTCGAGTTTGTGCAGCTGCGCATTCTCAAATATGAAGAGCACCGCAGTCGCGACATCTTGAAGAACATGCTGCCTAGCCACATCGTGAAAAAGCTCGAGAACGGTGAGACGCTCGTGTCGGACGAAGAAAAAGGCGTGGCTTTGTTGTTCTGTGACGTTGGCGATGCTGCCAGCCTCACCAAGCGGTACAATCCCCGAGAGGTGCGATATCGAGCCACGATGCATGTCGAGATGGAATGTTAACCCTGTGATGGTGGATAGATGGTCGTGCTGCTCGATCGGATTTACTCGCTCTTTGACAAATTGTGCGCAAAGCATGGCGTGCGCAAGATGGAAACTGTGGGCAAAATTTACTTGGCGTGCGGTGGACTTCGTGGTAGCGCCAAAGGGAAGGAAGCCGTGCTTCGTGTCGCCGCTCTCGCTCGTGACATGATGGTGCCTTTTGCTGGAGGGCGGGACGCCGGCTAACTTGCCTGGTAGGCGGTGATGGCGAAATGCCGGACGCGAAATGGCCACACGATCAATTTGAAAATTGGAATCCACTGTGGCCGTGTTATAAGCGGGCTGGTCGGGATGAAGAAGCAACAGTTTTCTCTCTTTGGAGACACCGTCAACACGGCGTCACGAATGCAAAGCACGGGCTTGCTTGGGCATATCCAAATCTCCCATGTACGAACACCAACAACGACCGCTCATGGGGGGAACCTCACTGCTGCTGTAGGAGGCGCACGAGTTTCTCGAGCATGACTTTCAATTCGACCATCGCACTGTGGTGGCCAAAGGCAAAGGAACGCTGGCGACGCACTTGATGGGGAAGCCGCGGACAGCCCTAGCGCAGCGTGCTTGTCGAGGTCACCTTGGCCGGAAAGCCACCAAAAAGGCCATAGACACTCGGCGCCTGAGTCTCACGCAGGAATTCCAGCGAACACTGTACGTTGGAGACGGATGGCTCCATGACTGGAACACATTCACTGGACCATATCAATAGGATCGAAACCTGGGGCCACCTCGTTGTGAGCAGGTGGAACTGGCGGTCGTGGGCCTGCTTCCAATCAATCAAAGTCGACGTGAAGCCCATCTCATCCCTTCAGTCCGTTCAAGAAGAATACGTCACCACCCAAATCAACCAGAGCTACATCCGCTTCAATGACCCCGCGCAGGAGATGATGTATCGCCGCATGAACTGGCCCGAGCACCAAACCGGGTGGGTCCTCACCCTGGTTTCGTTGCCAGTCTCGTCACAGTACATCCACGCAGGGCGAAACGAACGTTGGTCGCGATTGCAATCTACATGATCTTTGCCACCATCCGCGACAACATTCAACCGAACGAATTCACTGGCTCGCGCGAGTACGCCAAGTACAAATTCCCTTTCGTACCGTCATGACGCGGCAGTGTAGGACGGCGTGCTATGTGTGCCGAGGGCTCTTGGTGTGTTTCGTCCTGTGGAGTCAAGTGCTACGACATCGGTGGAAACCCGTCGCAAAGACAGCCCCTCAAAAGACACACAACTCGAACAAGAAAGCGCCGAAGTTCCAACTCTACTTGAGCGTATACGTCGTAGCGACCGTCATCTTGGTCGTGCCAAACGTAATTCGGTAAGAACGACTGTCCATGTGGCGCGGCTCACGTGGGGGGGTTCATGGCCAGGTGGATCGACCATCAACAGAGCAAAATTTATTCGCACATGGGGTTGGACATCCTCCTCGTCATGTTCTTGGCGTCCACGGGCGGGTCCATCATGTACACACATACCGTCGTGATCAATGCGGTGCTCGTCCTTGGGGCAACCATTCTATTTGTGGTACATTCATCACTGCCATGCACTGCAACTTGATTTAACGTGTCGGTCTGACAAGGTGCTCCTGGGCGTGTACGAAGTCCCTGACCAACCCGACGGCGAAAAGCTACGGGTGTATCCGCTCTTCTTAACCTGCTGCGTTGGGATATCAAACGTCATGTCACGGCGAGATGTCGAGTACTATTCCAGGCGGCGATTTCTGCTGTACACGCGCACGGGGAAAGAAGCAAAAAAAGCCGATCGGTTGTTGTACAAGATGCTGCCGAGTTCTGTCATTGCCCAGCTGAAAAACGGAGACACAGTGTGCGATCAATTCCACGAGGTACGCCGTTGTGCAGGCATTTCGAGTATTCACGTCAGTCGTGCCGCAAAGGTCGGCATCTTGTTTTCTGACATCAAGGGCTTCACTTCGATCGCGTCGAAAGCAGAAACCGACCAAGTCGTGCAAATCCTCGCGACGCTCTTTACTGCGTTCGACAAACTCACGTCCGAACATGGTCAGTTGAGGATTCCAAACCACGAATCAAGGTGCATGACATGGGGATGGATGCAGGGGTGTTCAAAATGCAAACGATCGGTGACGCCTACGTCATTGTGTCTGGCCTCCCGTACAACGATGTGCCGTTGCCCGAAGAAAATGTGAATGAAATGCTATGTGGTTCCTCGTTCCATGGCCACTTGCGTCAAAGCCAAACGGAAACGCAGCGCTCGACGGTGGAAAATACTACAAGCAGTTGGTCGACGAACATGCGAACACCGAAAGATCCGGCGGCGACGCGAGAACATATTCAAAAGTTGATCCACATGGCCCACGACATGCATCGCGAGGTGGCCAAGATCACGGACCCGGTCAGTGGCGAACCTCTCTTGATGCGTATTGGCATCCACGTTGGGACGATTATTGCTGGCGTGATCGGTACGTCGACGTTGCGGTACGACATGTGGGGGCCCGACGTGCTCACTGCCAACGAAATCGAGTCCCACGGAGTGCCCGGCAAGATTCTCGTCTCCAAAGATGTCATGCAAGTGGTATGTTTGGCAAAACACGAATGCCTCGTGACGGATATTCACCCTGGAGCTAATCGTGCAGGCAAGCCAGTGCCCCGACATCAAGTTGACGTATCACTCGACGATCAACTTAACCGGGATCAACGATCTGGACACGTTCCTTGCCGAGTACACGGGCGGGTCGTTCTCTTCAGCGGACAGAGGCTTAGACAATTCGACCAAGGTGCTGAGTCCGTCGTTGCCACCGCGAGAGACCGACTCGCCGTCGACGATTTGACGGGTCTGTACAACACATCACGACAGGTATGATAATTTCCCATCTCTGGTACTTGACGTTACCTCTAATTGGTTCGATATCCATAGTAGTCGAAAAATCCCAAAATCCAAATAGTTTTGAAAATCGCATAATTTGAGTGTTTGGAGTTTGGTCTTTCTCCATTTCATTGGCTGAAAGCGAAAATCTTCGGATTGGCTATTAAAACTACTTTACACCCAATCATATTGCGATTGTCACCCTCACCATTCGTTCATGAGGTAGCACCAAAAAAGTCCCAAGTGATTCGTCACTCGAAAATTCGTCCGTCGTAGAACCAGCGATTTTTCATCATGGCTGCTGCTCGCCCCGTTGTGTCCGTCCTCTCTGTCGGTGATGACGCCGTCAAGGTTGTCTCCCAAGTCGCCCTCCCCGCGGTCTTGACTGCGCCCATCCGTCCTGATGTCGTCACCTTTGTGCACACCAACATCAACAAGAACAACCGCCAAGCGTACGGTGTGTGGAAGAAGGCTGGCCATGAACACTCCGCCGAATCGTGGGGTACCGGCCGCGCCGTCGCCCGTATCCCCCGTATCTCGGGTGGTGGTACCCAACGCGCCGGTCAAGGTGCGTTCGGTAACATGTGTCGCTCGGGTCGCATGTTTGCCCCTACTCGCATTTGGCGCAAGTGGCACCGCAAGATCAACGTGAACCAACGCCGTTTCGCCGTTGCGTCCGCGTTGGCTGCGTCCGCCGTCCCTGCCTTAGTGTTGGCCCGTGGTCACCGCATTGAAAAGGTGCAAGAAATCCCCTTGGTGTTGGACGACTCTGTCGAATCGACCCAAAAGACTTCTGCTGCCGTCAAGATTTTGGCCAAGATCGGCGCTGACTCGGATGTTGAAAAGGTCAAGGACTCCAAGAAGTTGCGCACCGGTAAGGGCAAGGGCCGCAACCGTCGCTACACTTTGCGCAAGGGTCCCCTCTTCGTGTACTCGAACGCCAACGGCATCGAAAAGGCTTTCCGCAACATTCCTGGTGTGGAATTGATCAACGTCGAACGCCTCAACTTGTTGACGTTGGCTCCCGGTGGACACGTCGGCCGCTTCATTGTGTGGACCAAGTCTGCCTTCGAAAAGCTCGACTCGATCTACGGCACTTACGCCAAGAAGTCGACTGAAAAGAGCGACTACTCTTTGCCTCGCCACGTCATCTCGAACGCCAACTTGGGCCGTTTGATTAACAGTGACGAAATCCAATCCGTCGTCCGCGCCGGCATCTACAAGGGTCACCGCCGCCACCAAAAGAAGAACCCTCTCAAGAACTTGGGTGCCATGGTGAAGTTGAACCCTTACACGTTGGTCGCTCGCCGCACCGAATTGCGTGCCGAAGCCTTGCGCAAGGAACGCAAGGCCGCCATCGTTGCCGAAAAGCGCAAGATCAAGACGACCAAGAACGATCCCAAGCGCAAGGCTCAATCCAAGGCTTTGTTCGCCAAGAACGCTTCGGATTAAGTCAGAGAAAGCGACGTGTCGTCGAGAGCAGCACCTGGTTGTGGGTTAACATAGCTATTTACTCGAATAAATGTGTTTTCCACATTCACGTTGCCTTGCCGTTGTTGACCACTTAGCCCAGTACGTATTGCCGTAGGATCTGCCCTGATGCGATGAAGTATTCAGTGTTTGAGAGACTACCAAACGCGATCGGTCAAGATCATAACTTCTCGCGTGCAGAAACTGTTGATGAACAAGATCCTGCTGGGCGAAACATTGACGACGTGTCGGGTCCAACGAATGAATCATCTAGAAATGAATTTCTCGTGCAAAATCACCCTGCGGTGGCCTGTGCGCTTCTTCCTCTGCATACGACTGGCGACGCGTACTGACGGACATCGTGGCACAGCGCTACAGGTTGATTGCGTCCGCCCCAAGATTTGCGAAAATTTCAAATGTCGTTTCGATGCCCTTGCAAAACGCCTGCCGTTTGAATATTTCGGGGAGTTCTTTGACGATTTCACTTGGTAATTGTATGCTCCCCCACGCGAACGCGTCAACTGCGGTCGCCGCCGTTTCCTCGGGCGCGCCAAAGTTTCTATTTTGAATTTTGGCTTGAAGAACAACACGGACGGCGGGAAGGCCACGTAGATGCCTTCCTCGACGACGACGCATGGATAACAGGCCCCTCGTGAACCGAACGTCGACGAATGTCGAAGACTGGTCGGACGAGTTTTCACTGGCGATTGTACAGCCGCAACGTTCGCCGACATTCCTGCCGTTGTCCCATCTCGACGTGGATCTGACCGTCGCAGACGAAAAGAACGAAGACTCGAGAGACACTGAAGACGATGAGGAAGACGAGGACTGGGACATGGAACTCAATGGGGCAGAAGCAGACGACTCCCAGAGCGTACGAGAGGAAAGCAACTCGTTCTTTCGAGCACTTCTAGCAACGAGCGAAGTCACAAACACCATACGTGGTGTCGGAGGAAGCACCGCAGCAGTTCGAATGTACACATTGCCTGACACCCACAGACTTGTCGAGAATGCAAATCAATGCTTCTGTGCCAAGAATCGTCGTCCGAGCTACACCAAAGTGTATCCACCAGCCACGGCCCTCTTGACCTTGGAAAGGGACGGTTTTCCGGTGTATGCCGACAAGCAGCTCGAAGAGTGGCTGCAAAACATCGTACAAGCGAGAGAGCAAGCTGCAATGGGGCTTGAAAAACAGTGGACACATGTGGTGCACGACGACTTGCTGTCCAGCTTGTCCCCAGATACGTTTCTTCGGTTCAGCCAAAAGTTATCCTATTATGTGCGACGAAATCATGTCCTGGAGGCGCTGCATTTGCTTCGAGCATTTTGTAATCGACTGGATGGTCTGGTGGAGAGTCCGCGGAGGAATGTCGGCGCTGATGGAAACAAACCGGATGACGACTGGCGAAACCTATGGGGTGGTTGGAGTGTTGAGATCGCGCAAATGGCGGTTGAAGTGTGCCATCCGCCACAGAGTTTTCCCTTGTTTGCCAAGTTGGTGAAGAAGTGCCACTACCTGTTTCCATTGTGGCGACACGCTCTTTCCCTCGTCGAGTGCCGCTACGTCGGTCACCACTGGGCGTATTACCAAGCACATCATTACGTGTGGCAATGTCCCCAAGAGACCGCTCACGACGCTTCAATGTTGCCTGTCGAATTGTTTGCACTTCCATTTGAAACTGGACAAGACTTGTTGCAGCGCTACTTCAAGTTGTACACGCTGTTGGTTGACGACGACAAGAGCACTTCTAACAGTACTGTTACGGCAATCGATTTGGGACTCGTCAGTTCAAGCAACCACCCGTTGAAACTGCAGGTTCTGGTATTGTGCGACGTTCAAAATTTGGTGGATCGACTGAGTCCCGTCAATGACGAAGTTATTCCGCACATATTTCAAGAAGAACTTGCGTCGTCACGTCACAGCCACGAAAGCGAACCGCAAGATACTGTAGGTGAACTATTTCACCCAGACAACACCTTGTTGCGAATGGAGTATTTGGAAGGAAGCTACGTGAAGCTTGCCATGCCGCATGATGTGCTGATCAAGGCCAAGTGTGCGCAAGTGCTGAGTCGTATGATGTTGGTCCACGCCGACATGTGGAATTTGTGTGAGTCGTTGGCAATGGAAGGGTTGCGACTCCTCGACATTGGGTATTCACTGTCGTTTCCAAACGGCGAGAGCCAACGGCAAGGTTTATTTGGGCATTTGGGACGTGAACAATTGGAAATTTTGGTCAGTGGCAGACTTCACTTGGTGCATACTGTGTAAGCTGGGACTCATGTTGAATTTTAGGGAGCGGTGCTTGCCCACAACAAAAAGTATCGGTTTGCCATAGCTGCCTACGAAGCTGCCCAACAATTATACTGCTTTCAATATTTGAATCGCCGAGGATATGAAAAGCTCGATCGGATATGCTCAGGGTTGTGTCTTCACGAAGGTGACTTGGAGCGTGCCTTGCAATACCACGACCGCGTCTTGCAATGGACAAAAGAGCACGAAAACTGCAACGAGTTTGTCTACATTACGAAAATGGTACGTAATAATCCTCCCATCGAATAGTCTCTTATCATCATGTTTCCATAGATCAATTCGATCCTGTTACAACAAAGCCACTTTCGACTGGCGGAGCAGAGGCTGCAAGACGCATTGACGGCATTGCGTGACCCACTTGCTTTATTGCCAGTAGCTTATACCAAGTGCACCCCACGTCGATTGTTCCACTACAAGTTCCACTCGAGCAGCTACGACGTGTGGTTTCTTCATGACATCCAACTCCATCTGTGCTTGCGCGACGTTTACAAAGCCAGTGGACGTGGTCAAGATGCGCTGCATGTGTTGCAGCATCTTCTGTCTTACGAACCGAACTTCAAGCTTCCCCGTGGCCGGCGCGTCCACCTCACGATGATGGTGGCGGAAGATGCGTTAAAGTTGAGACAGCTGGAATTGTGCATATCTATGCTGCGGACGATCGAGCATGAAATCGTAAGTGTCGCAATTTACGAGGAAAACAACCCGTAAATTGACATTGAGAATGTTATTAGGGAATGGACTACAACTCTTCCACTGTGCTTGAGTCCAAACACGCGTGGGAAGTCATGGCGACATTCCGTTACCTCAAGTGTCGTGCGAGATGCTACTTTTACAAGGGCCAATTCCATCGCTGCGCAATGTGGCTCGCCGTGGCCGCGTCAAAGGGACTGACTGTTCGTCAACGCGCAGATGTTGATGCGTTGAGCAGTCGATGCATGCTCCAACTCCATCATAAACAGATCCAGGATGGGGACATTTTTCCTTTGCAACGAACCACGAGTGGCAGATGGGGGCTCGCCGCCCAAGAGCCGTCGCTTGGACTACTTCTTACCTCCAAGAAAGAGCAAGAATCGTTTCAAATCTCGATGGAAGACCATTGGAACATTCGGTCGTATGCAGACGCGTGTGCACAGTTGTGCTGGAAGGCGTTCGACGTGTACGGTACTTTGAACGACCCCGTACGGCAAGCCAAGATGGTGCTAACCCTGGTTCGTTTGGAAATGGCGATTGTGGAAAGATGGGCATTTTTTTCCTCCACTTGCGAGCTGAGCTTGCCGAGCTTAAATCAAGCGACATCTCTGGCAAAACAAGCACTGGATTTAGCTGCCGAGTCTGCCGTGCCCATGAAGATGCTGCAGGCACTCGTGTACACTGCGCAACTTCAATGCTGGTGGACGAAGTTCAACCCGGAACACGACAGTCGCGAGCTATTGGTCACAACGGAGGAGTCTTTACGACTTCTTTACGCGGTATTTTTGAGACGAGTTCATGGCTCCCACAATTCGATACACGTTGTTCCATTGCTCCCGTTTCCGCCGAGTGTGTTGGTGCCTCTGGAATCCATTGTGTGCACCCTGCTCCACATTGGCGCCGGTATCGCCCAACTGGACGGAGTTGAATTACCACCTACGTACTCGTGGATCGAGTTGGAAAGCGCGTATTACTGTCTCAACCAATGCACATATTGGTACTCTGCTCAGCCCGAAACATCCAAAGTACTGGACGACGATACGCATCACGTCCCTGCCCGTCCAGTCAAAGTGGGACGTCAACCCCGGCACCAAAAGCAGCTTTCACTGTCGTCCATCTCCGACATTGTATCATTTTCGTTTTTTCGTCGAACGGACTCGTTTGCGTGTACCTCGCAAGATGTGCTGCTACACCCTTCTCCCTTCGCATATGTTGAACCAATTAAACCGACGCGATTGATCACCTCTTCGTCGTCTGGAACTGCCCGAAGTCGATCTCAGTCGGCTCCTGCAACTCACGAAAATGACGAGTCCACAATAAACCCACCAGACGATTGGGACGATGGCGAGCTTGAAGTTGAGGCCGATGGCGACGACTTTTGGCGAGCATGCAACCAGGAATACCGCAAACAGCAAATGGTACAATGGTCCTCCCACATGCACGCCACCGATTCCGACTCGTTGTGGGGTATATGGCACTGCCATCGGGTCATGGACCGCAAGTTCAAGAGCGGTCGCGTGTCTCCATCGATGTTTCGACTGGCAAGCTTGCAATTGATCTTTGATATCCAAGACCAGTCGGACGCAACGACGCTGCATGTTGCACTTCCCACCACGCTTGGTACAACTGAATCGAGCGGTGTTGTCATTCACGTACGGCACTTCAGCACGAATTCTCCTATCTGTCAGAGATTCACTGAACAGTTTGTAGGATCGAGACAGTATATCTGTCATTTTGCACGGAGCAGCTACCCACGCACCATCCCCAGTCGATGTATATACATTTCCTGCTCCAAATGCGAGCTCATTTCATCACGGCATGGCTACGGTGCCACTCAAGGACCAAGCTGTGACCCCCGCCCAGGTCGAGCGCGTGCTGCAGTACCTGGGACCAAAGGTATTACAAACCTATCCATCCCCTATAGACTTGACTTTGACGCGTGTTTTGAAGGTGCTCATGAAAGCGCTGTCGTCGATCATGCTGGAAAACCCGTTGATTGTTGTTCACTCGTCCATGTCCGTCGTCCAAGAAGTGCTGTTCGTGCTCGTGCATTTATTGAGTCCGTTTCGTTGGGCGTTTCCAATCCTTCCAGCTCTTCCCATGTCGTGTACACCGAAGTTTGTCGACTTGATTGAAGTATACACCAACGGGAAAACCAAAAAAGTGCTCAACAACACCCCCGTGCCGTTTCTTGCTGGAATTTCCATGGACATGTGGCGGGAGTGCACGTATCGGCTATCAACGGTACCGTCCTGCTCCACGTGCATCAGTGTGTTGCAAGTAAACGTGACCAGCAAATGCAAGTTCCAGCTCGCCACAAATCGGTCGACTGCCGTGTACATGCAGCCGCGGCTTCGTCGGTATGTGGTCGACGCTGTTAGCACTGCTGGGAACGCAACGGCAGCGACTCTGGAGACAGCACTGCAAGAAGTGTACCGAGTGATGCTGCTGTCTCTTCAAAAAGCCCCCACGTTCAAGCAATGGTTCCGTCTCGAGAGCCAAGAATTCACAAAGCTGTTTCAAGCCACAGCAACGTGCCAAACGTATTTGAAAGGCGACGACGGCGCGACTACCCCCGCCGTCGTGTGATTCACACGATATTTAACATACTACTACATTGGGAAACGAAAGTGGATCCCAACCAGAACATCGCATCTATTGACTATTATTAAATCAAACCACCTTACATGGTCAATTCCATGATGGCGTTCACAACGTCGTTGTCGTTCGACTTCAACGCCGCGACGGCCTTGGCGCGCGACACGTTCGACTGGGTCATGACCAATTGGATATCCTTGGGGTCTACGCCAGACTCGTCGACTTCGGTTTCATCGTCGTCAGCAGCGACAGCCTTGGTTTCGGCGGCGGGTGCTTCTTCTTGGTCGAATTGAGGCACTTGGGGTTGGTTGTTGGTGTCTTCGATCTTGGCTTCACCGAAAATGACGTAGGTTTCGCTGGCCGAGCTCTTGAACACATCGGGCTTGCTGATCACGAACAGCACACCTTGGCTCTTCTTGATCGTGGCACGGATGATGCCGTTCACTTGCTTCAAACCCAACTTTTGCATGGCCTTGCGGGCCTTGGATTCGGCGCGGTTCAACACGACGTCGTGGTGATCGTGGTCGTGGTCGTGGTCGTGGTCGTGGCTCATGGTGATGCTGGAAGAGGATTCACGGAATGGGGACGTCGGTGGTCGTGCCGCCCGGCCACCCACCATCAGCCAATCAAACGACCTCAGTCTGTTAATCAGCCAATCAAGACTCAGTATGCATTGTTATTCGGACACGCTGTGATTGGCTGTCTTCCAGCCCATCCGGATACTCCGGAATGGTTCCGACAAAGTGCACAACGGAATTCACACATGCGACACCACGTCATGCACCGATCCCTGCGCAATATGACGACGATCAGCGAGCCGTTGCTGAACATTCACCTGAGCATGGACAAGACGGCGGCGCGCGAAGGCAGTGGATTCCATGTAGAACAAAACCCGCCTGAAAATGCTCGAGTTGCCAGAGAAAACGTTCGAGGGGCTTCGTTCACACGGGCAGTCACGACACCGCTTCCACAGCCGAAGCTTGTCGTTGCATCTCCCTCCGCCTTGCACTTGATCCAAGAACCTGCAGCACTTGAAAACGACGGCCAATTGCCGGTCGACGCGAAGAAAGCATTGACCGACTTGATTGCAGGAACTGGACCGATCGAAGGCCTTGCGCACTGTTATGCTGGACATCAGTTTGGCCACTTTTCTGGACAACTTGGCGATGGCGCCGCTATCTTGCTTGGTGGGACGGGCAAATGGGAGGCTCAGTTGAAAGGTGCTGGCCTCACGGCATTTTCCCGAACAGCTGACGGACGGAAGGTACCAATCTCGTTGGCAGCAGCAATACCTCATCTCTAACCGGATTGCTCAAGGTGTTGCGATCGACTCTTCGAGAATTCCTTGCCAGTGAGCACATGCATGCGTTGAACATCCCAACCACTCGCGCGGGCGGTGTGCTGCCTAATTCCTCCTTCAATTCCCATCATACCTGATGCGCAGGTGTTGTTGTCTCCTCCACTGAAACAGCGCTGCGCGACGTTTTCTACGACGGCAATGCACAGCATGGTACGTCCATAGCACTCGTCTTCCACTATTGACAAGGCTGCGCGCAGAACCGTGCGCGACGGTGCTACGAATTGCCCAGACCTTTGTTCGGTTTGGGTCATTTGAGCTGTTCAAGCCAGTGGATGCCACTACTGGCCGCGCCGGGCCGTGTTCCACTTTACCTTTGGTGCTCCTAGGCCATCTCTCCTTAAGCGCTCACTCGAATTCCACGACGTCTAGGAAGTTCAACGGGCCACCCTGCGCGACATGCTCACGTTTGTCCAGCAGGAGTACTACGACATCCACGGCCAAACCGACGACTTGGAAGGGGCAAGTCGTCGATTTGTAGAAGCTCTAACTCGGCGCACGGCTGCGTTGGTTGCAAAGTTCGTTTCGCTTCGCCGTCGTGGTGGAGCGGACTGATGTCCCGTGCTTCGTAGGTGGCAAACAGTGGGGTTTTGCCACGGCGTGCTCAACACGGACAACATGAGCATCGTTGGTGACACATTGGACTACGGGCCGTACGGATTCATGGAGTACTTTGACCCGGGACACATTTGCAACACGTCGGACACGTCGGGTCGATACGCATTTGAAAACCAGCCCGAGGTACTTGGTTTGCGCTCCCGTCAAGTTGATCGATGGGGTTTCCGCGCCTTGTCGGTAGATTTGCAAATGGAACTGCCACATGCTGGTGACCCAACTCTCTGTGCTCTTCCCCGACAACGTTCTGGACGACTTCCACGCCCTCGTCGATGCCACATACGACACCACGTACGCGGCGGAATGGCGCAGTAGCATGGACCAAAAGTTGGGCCTTCCTCCGCAAGACCCCGACACAAATGCTGCTCTCGTTGCAACTTTCTGGACCACGCTGACCGATACCCATGCTGACTTCACGTGTGTATTTCGAGCGTTGTCCGGGCTGTCTGTATTCGACGACTCCACCGTGAAAAATGTCCTCGAGTCTCTCGTGAAAGTTTCGCATTCGCTGGCGCAGGAGCAGCGCGCTGCCCAGCCGTCTGTGTCCCCAGCGCAATTAGCCCATTTGCAGCAACTTTTGGTGTCAAAGCCCAACGTAGCCCTTCGTTATGGGTTCAATCAAGACGTGCGTGTTTCGTGCGAGTTGTGGACCACATTGGTGACTTGTGTTGGATAGACGCTGGATGGATTGTCCAAGCAGCTTACCGACTACGCCGCGTTCCTCGAGGCAAACCATACGCCCGACAGATTCAAGCGGATGCAAGAAGACCGCTGGCGCGTCTGGCTCGAGCAATACCGCCAACATCTGGCCCACCACACTGACGACGCCCAAGCTGACGTTGCGCGTCGACGAGCTATGAACCAAGTAAACCCCAAGTACATTTTGCGCAACCACGTGGCCCAGGCAGCGATTGATGCAGCATCCGTGGGTGACACCACCACCGTCGCGCACATTCTCCATCTCCTCACGCATCCATTCGATGACGGGAATGCGTGCGATACCGCCATCTATGGGCAACCGTCCGACCCAACCGCGCCACCCTTGCTCGTATCTTGCTCGTCGTAGTCTCCCTACAAGTAACTCTCGAGCATGTCGCTCAACTCAAAACGTTCGGACCCAGTGTGCATGGCCCAAACTCTTGAAAAATGTTGGACACGGGGGCAACCGAGGAGACCAGGATGACGCATCCAGGAATATGTGGAATGAAGCGATATTACGAGGACGTTTGGCGCCGCTCGAGGTATACGATGTTCTCGACGTGCGGCGTGTGGGGCAGCATGTCCACTGGTTGTGACCCGTTCACGTCGTACTTGACCAGCATCTCTTGGAGGTCCCGCGCTTGGGTCGATGGATTACATGACACGTACACAATAGCGCGAGGCTGGATCACATCGCAGAGGTACGAAATGAGGGGCTTGGACAGTCCAGGACGAGGCGGATCGACGACAACGATGTCGGGATGGGGCAGGGACGCCAGCAGATCTTGGCTCTCTGCCTTGAGCACATCGGCGCAGACATACGTGGTTTTGTCGTGGACCCCGTTGTCCGCGGCGTTCTGAGCTGCGTCGACGACAGCTTCCGGGACGATTTCAATTCCGACGACATGACGGGCGTGGGGGGCAAGGCAGATCCCGATCGAGCCAACGCCGCAAAACAAATCCCACACGACGGGGGGAGTTGGCGAGTACGTGGCGACGAACTCGACCAAGTGAGCGTACAAGACCGACGCCATGGCCGTGTTGGGCTGGAAAAACGAGTGCAGCGAGATGCGAAACGTCGAGTTGAGGATCGTGTCATGAATGTACGACGTGCCATGGAGCACGCGGAGGGACTCGGTCTGTCGATGGCGCCGCTGCATTTCCGGGTCGACGTACTGCACGATGGACTTGACCAAAGCCGCGTCGTCAGGAGATAGAGCAGCGAGCAGAGCGGGCAAAACCAGATGCCCGATGCCCGACGAGAGCGTTGCGGTATTGAATCCGATCATGACTTCCTTCGATCCGTTCGATGCCGTTCCGACTCGCACCATGAGGTTTCGAAGCTCCCCTTCGTGGCGAAGATGATCGTACGCGGCGATTTGGTCCCCGAGGCTCTCCACGACAGTCGTAACCGCTTGAAGGATGCGGTTAGCAATGTTGTCATGTAGCATGCATGAGTGGATGGACACGACGCGGCCGTCCCACTTGCGGGAAGTCCCCGTGGACTTGGGAAAGAATCCAATCGTGAACGCGTGGCTCTCGTTCAGGTCCTTCTTGTCATGCTTGGTGCGCCAACGGCCGGAGCTCACGGTAAATTCCGTTTTATTGCGATAATGAAACAAGTATTTCGCGTGGTTGACCGACGCAGTTGGAATCGGATGCAGCAGTCGCTCGACAGACAATTGCTTGGCCGCCACCTGCTGATCGTACGGAACATGCTGCGTCTTGCATCCACCACAGTCGTCAAAGTACGGACACAGCGGCTCCACGAAGCGATCGCTTTGTGCCAACAGCTCCATGCCAACAACTCGTACAGGCGAGCATCTATGCGACCATTCCAGACTTGAGCAACGTGTACAAGGATTTCTCATACCGATCGTTGACCACGCGTCCTTTCCAACGTTGCCCGGGAATGCCGCCAACGACTGTGCAAATCGCATTCGACACGATGTCACGGCCAACGCCATTGCCATGGTCGTCAAGGCTCTCCACGGTCTATGCGTACTCGACATGACCATAACGTCTCTTTCAGGAAGGAGATAGGTTACCACATCGACGAGACTTCGCCGTCGTACTTTTACAGTCTCTGGTCCTTGCGCCACTGAGGAAATCGACCGAAGTGGCGTAACGCGGAGAAGATTGCCGACACCGCGGATCGTCTTGACGAGTTGCATGTTGTCGATGCACCAATAATCGTGAATGGGAAAATCTGGCCAATCAGAACGCGAGTTTCTGTTGAAGCGTTTCAGAATTGCATCGTTTCCACGGTGCCAGCGATGCACAAGCGGGTCAAGGTGTGCATCCGCGTGCGCCCTGCATCGAAGGATCATGCAGGCATTCAAGTTAACGAGCATGAGAAGGTATATGTGTCTGCCGCACGTCTTGGTGCTGACGACGCGAGCGTCTTACTTCAGACCATCAGCGTCGTCAACGAACCAAACGGCAACGGGACGTGCTTTCATTTTGACGACGTCCTGGGCAGCCAGGTAACGCAAGAACAAGTGTATCAACGCGTTGCGGCGGAAGCGGTCGAGAGCGTCATGAACGGGTACAATGGAACGGTCATGGCGTATGGTCAAACAGGTGCGGGGAAGACATTTACAATGTCTGGAGGCAAGACATGTTTTGCGGACCGAGGCATTTGCGCCCGATCCATCTCGAGTATGTTTCAAGCCATGCAAAACGACAGCGACCACTCGTACAGCGTTCGTGTGTCGTACATCGAGATCTACAACGAGCAATTGTACGACTTGCTCGACTTTTCCGAAACGAGCCACAAAGACCTCGTCGTCCAAGAAAACGACAGAGGTCTGGCCGCTGCCCATCGAGAGCCGGCCTCACCGTCCTATGTAGGTCAAACGTTCATCAAGGGATTGTCAAAACCTGCCGTGGACAACGAAGGCGCGGCGCTCGACTTCCTTTTTCAAGGCGACACGAACCGCACCATTGCCGAGCATTGCCTCAACAGTGCCTCGACACGGTACCGTGAACGAGACCGTCCGGTGAATCGTAGAGAATTGCACTCACGTGACGGGTTTGCTGTCGTGGTACAGGTCCCATTGCATATTCAGTTTGCACATTGAAAAACGGAGCCGCGAGGCCACGTCTAGCCCCGTTGTCGAGAGCAAGCTCAACTTGGTCGATTTGGCGGTAGGTTGCTCTGAGCTGCTACGTCGCTTTGCCTCGTGGAAGCGTTCTGACTTGACATGGATGATTGCTTGGCAGGGCTCGGAGCGCATGAAGAAGACGCAGGTGACTGGGACGATGTTGAAAGAAACCATGCACATCAACAAGTCGCTTACGTTCCTCGAGCAAGTCGTGATTGCCCTGGGAGATCACAAACGAGACCATATTCCGTACCGGCAAACCACCCTCACAAATATCTTGTACGCCATCCACCTCGAGTGTGATTTGACCAATATAACGACGTTGATGGTCATTTCCTTGGGATCACAGGAAGGACTCGCTTGGTGGAAATTGCCGAACGCTTTTGATTGCATGCGTGTGGCCAGACGAGTCGCAAAACGACCAGACTCTCGCGACGCTCAAGTTTGCAACTCGCATGATGCGGGTCAAGACGTCTGCTATCGTGAACGTGACGCAGGAGCAACATCAACAGGCCAAGAAGTACTTGGACGAGATCAAGCAACTCAAGGTGGAGCTTGCGCTGCATGACTCGCTTGCAGGTCGAAGCCACGTTGTGTACGATCCAGTATCTCGCGAACAAGAGCTCGAAATGAAAGCTGCGATCAAGGCGTTCGTGGCTAGCGATGGCTCCAGTGCACTGCCAGTGGTGAACTTTGTTCAAGTACAGACATTGTTTCGACTTTTCCGGGAGGTCGCGATCGAGTATCGAGAGGGTCGCTTGCCAGTAACCACAGACCCGGCCATCCTGCCGCCGTACTCGTCACAATCTTCGTGTCACGATGTCATGTCCGAAAATCAGCAAGATTCCAGCGTTCCCAACCCTTTGCTACCGATGGACAACCTCCTCGAGCCCAAACACTCGAACGACACCGCTGTCGCCGATGCGGCGCTGTTGGACGAGTTCAAGGAACACGTGGCAGCGCAGTTGGAGGAAGCAAAGCAGAGCTTCCGAAAGGCCAAGAAGAAAGTCGTTCAATGCGCCAACGACGTGAATCTGGCCAAAAGGTACGTGCAGGTGGCCACGTACATCCCGCCGTAACCTCATCGATAGCGAGATCGATACTCTGTCGAAAGAGCTCCATGCTGTATGCAACGACGTCGACCAGCGCGAGTTGGTGGGGCAACTCAAAGACGTGAAAAAGGTCCACCGCTCTGGCGAACGACATGCATGTCTTGATGATGACATTGTTGTAGAAATATCGCACAGCATTTGAAGCCCTCTCAGACGCCCAGGCGGAACTGAATTATTTAAAGAAGACCAAAGACCAACTCGTGGCGAGTGCTGCGACCGACTTTGACATTTGGTACACGTAGCAACGGCACACCTATCTCACGTGGTGGCATGGCAACCAGGAAGCGCGCAAGAATAGCCACCGACACGGGCGATGACCAACGAGTTCGATCGTGACAGGGAAGTGTGAAAACCTCAAAATTCAAAACTACGGATGATTGTTGGTCGGCCGAAGAGTGGGTGGGGGTGGCGTCGAGATGGTGCGCTTCGAGATGCTCCGCGATGCCGACGAAGACGTTCCGGTCTTGGACCTCGGATAGGGCAGGTGTTGTACCGGCGTTGTCGGGGGCAGCTCCACGCACTCGATTCGCTTCACATCTGCCAATTTTTTCTTCGCTTTGACCACATCCTTGGGCACGTCTTTTTTCAACGGAACCAAGAGCGTATTCTTCGCAACAGTCTCTGCCTTCGACTGTGCCTCGTTTGGTTGGGTTTTCACATTGAACGACGGTGCAACTTCGTGCCGAATCTCCTGCACGAGGCCGGCCATGGTGCGGAATGGAGCATGCGGGATCCGCGACCATTCGTTCGTTCCGAGCCAGTCGAGGACTGCCACCATCATCCCTTTGCCCACGTCTTCCCACGATGCGGTCGTGTATTTCGGGACGTAAGCCTTGCGTGCAACTTCCGGACTCAATGGTGCTACAGTCCAGATGAGGGGTGGCAGACAGCCGAATGCATGGATTTACCCGTGGACATGAGCCCGCTGCCGCTGTGAGGAATCGTGCACGCACGGCGGCCCATGTTGTAGTTGCATTCGAGGGTGTAGAAGTACACGGGAGGACTAATGGCAGAAGTTTCACGATGGAGCGCGACCCGCGCCGATCCTTCCTTGGACAGCCTACCCCACGCTTGAGCAAGGCCCAGGGAGGGTGAGTCGTACCCGCCATCTCGCTTTTCGACCAAGTGCATGTTTTGCTCGGAAAAGTTGCATTGGTCGTACTCAAAGTAGACCGAGTTGAGACCAATGAGCTTCGGATACACCTGGCTAGCCGCTTGGTCGTTTAACGACTTGTACCGATTGCCATAGATGAAGCACCCGCGCTTCGCCGCGTGGGCGTGCAGATCGATATGCAGCGCCAATTTGCTGTGCGTGCCACACTACTCCCATTGGCATTCAGCATCCGAGGGAGCCCTTGAGGCAAACGTTACCGAGGCCAAGATGGCCCGTTTTGCAGCGTATATCGTCGGGTGCGCCGCCATCGTGGGTCGAATGTAATGACGATTCAAATTGGCTCCCAACGAGTCATGCCGGTAGTGCCCACGAGCCACGCCTGAAACCGGCCACTCCATCAATGGTCCTTGCGATCCATGTTCGTACCGTCGGGATTCAGCATGGGAATGATTTTGAAGACACACTCTTTGAGCAACTTGTGCGCCCGCGGGTCGTCCTTGAGCAGGAAATTCAACACTCCATCTAGGACAAAACTGGATGGCGTTTCCGCGGGATGCACCCGTGCTGTGACAAACACCACGCGCTTGTTTTGGAACTGGTGGGGCCGTGGCACGATGGGATGGTCCGGAAACAAGTCGGGCAGCATCTCTTCTCGTTCGTCCATGATGCTACAACCATCGCTGGAGCCGTCGTCATGATGCGTTTGTGTAGTTACTTGTCGAGGGAGGAAATCGTGATCAAGTCGACCTTGCGCCCGTCCAGCGAATGGACCAACGTCTCCCGATGGTAATAGATTGGCTGGGAGGTCGTGCGATATCGACTGCGAGCGGCAGCAGACTTCTTCATGTCGTGGTCGAACGTGCTGAAGTCCGCATCCAGTCGACGCAGCTGCCTTTGCAAGTCGGTGTATGAATATGGATAGCAAAATGCCACGAATTGTGTATCCCCGCCTTTCGCTACAGGGAGCGTGAAACGGATGGAGAACTGCCCGTCCTTGAGGACTTGGTACGTCACTCCCTGACGCACTGCATGTGTGTGAGGAGAACGACCGACGAAGGATACGTACAGCGCTCCCACTTTTTCTGCGACGGCAAGGACCGCACGACAGGCCGCATGTCGTGGTCGTAGAGCGCCGAGTGCTTGATGAGATTGACCACTTGAAGTGATATCTCCTGACCGGCGGACGCCCCACTGATCGAGAAATGAAACCATGACGTCGGTGGCAGGGGTGCTTCAGGTGGTGTGTCAGGTTTCGGCGCGTCGGGAGCTGCCGTGACGACATATTCACAACCGCCGCTCTCGAGGTCGCGTCCACGGTCCACCGAGAGCATATTCCCCGAATCGAACGTTGACGAGAACGTGAGTCCATCGACCAAGACTTCATTCCGAGCGGGGTGTTGCGCAGCACGCGCCCCATCTGCCGCCGTGTCGGCCATGCGACGCTTTTCTACAATCTTGAAGAGACGCGGAAATTCTCGTCGTTGATTGGTGGAATGCAATACGAAGGACCTGCCACCTTTCATGCACGACGCGCCGGAAGAGGATTGAGAGCCGGAAGGAGATGAAGGAGATGGAATTTGACCCTTCCCATGTCGATGGTCGTCCACGAAGAGGATGAGGAAGTTCCTACCACCGTGAGATACCATTCCGAATATCCGAGGGGTGCAAAGTTGGCGGCGTGTACACCAGATCATCGCGCGCATTCACGAGCAATCGATGTCCGACATGGAGAAGGCATGGAATTTGCGCAGTATCGTTTAGATGTTTATGTATATCTAGGCCCCTTTCCGTGGGCACTCATTAACTCCGACGGCTGCCGGGGGCTATGTACCCGACCGCATGGACCAACGCCCCACCGTTGTCGGCAAAATCTATAAGGCGCGTGACATGCCTTGATTGCTTACTTGCAGCAGCCCCCGCTTGACTTGGTCGGTGGAGTTGTCTTTTGCTCTAGGCGGAGAATCGGATCCGAGTTTGATGTTGCTGATCTGCTTGTCGACGATGCGAGTCGTTCGGTCTCCAAATGCTTCTTCAACAGCGCGCGTGACACCGTTTCAAACATCTCGGTCACCCCTTGGCCGCTCTGTGCACTTGTTCGATGCGCTGTTGCGCCGATGTCACGAGCAAACTCTTCCGCCAGGTCGAAGTTGAACGACGTGGGAAGATCGCACTTGTTCCCCACGACAGCCAGGACAACGTCGTCATCGACGTGCTTTCTTAATTCATCCAAGCACACCTTCACCTGTAGGACGTGCATGACATTCAACAACCGCTCGGAGCACAGCGCAAGCGACAGTACCTTGGAAAACGTGTCTTCCTTCGTGACGTCGAAAACGAGAATCGCAGCTTTCGCATTGCGGTAGTACATCGGTGCCATCGATCGGAAGCGCTCTTGTCCTGCCGTGTCCCAGATCTGTAGCGTCATCTTGTGCTTGTCGACCGTGATGCGTTTCTGCAGAAACGAAGCACCGATCGTGGCGGCAGTCGGCGTGTTGAAGTTGTTGTGGCAGTATCGAATCGTCAGCGACGTCTTGCCTGTGTCTGTGCATCCCACGATGACGAGCTTGCGGTCAATTCCCACTTCGTCCATGATCTCGTCGGCGGCAGGACCGGCAGAGGTTCTTCTTCCGGTCGACAACGTGAAAGACGGCAGGCGCTTGAAGCATCGTACATTCACTCGCCCACCTTGCGACGTAAAAAATATGAATTATAGCAGGTCAATGAATTCTACAGTCTCATTCCTGCATTCTCAACGAACCAAGGTACTCTATTTCTGAAGGTTATGCTTTGCCACAGGTTCTAGTCCGGCCACAATGAAACGCTGATGCTGCTTTTTTTAGAACCGAGTCACGTTGTCTTGAAATTTGTATACCCAGGAGGACAAAAGGAACAAGAGCATCTTGAGCAGTGCTGGGTCATGGCGGCGGGTCGGGGCGAGAACGATGTAATGCTGGACCGACTCCCTGTCGTCCAGAGGCTGTCATGCGTGTGGAACGTGCGAGAATGCTAACCCTTCGTGTACCCGCCTTGAACCCTCCGCAAGTGGGCATTACAACCAAGCCTAATCTCGGAACCACCGCCCCATAGTACTCATGAGCAAATATCGCCGTGGGGGTGCAGTATGCAAAACATCCTTTACGTTAGCTGAAGAGAACACTTCGCCACGGATCGTCGCGAACGTCTTCCCCCCATCGCTCCAATCGTTCCTTCAACTCGACTGTAACTTCACGTGACAGGGGAGCAAGGTGGACGTCATGTCGTTGCAACCACTGGCACACCCTTCGCATGTTCGTGGACGAATGATCTTGCACGCACGTCTTGAGCGCATGGACTGTGGCATTCACCGACACCTTTCGGTTGCACCCTTCCAACACCGCCACCACGTCTGCGCTCGATTGCAACGTCTGGACGAGTTGTATCACGTTCTCCGCATCGCTCGCCGCCGCTTCCACTAGCAAATGGAACCACTCGTCGTCGTCGATGGCATTGGTTTTGGCGGCTTGGCCACACGCGGCCGCGGCGGCGATCGTTTCCAAGCGGTAGTATATCCCTTCTACCTTCATGCGCCTCATGAGCTCAACAACTTGGCACCACACCTCCTCCGCATCGACACTGGAGTTGCACGATCCCAATTCGGCTTCCCAAATGCGAAGACAGATCTCGCAGTGCTCGACCCGAAGAGGCACGTCCCACGCAGACTGCATGGCATCCAGCACGTCTGTGGCCGTGATATCGGAGAGAATGCCGCGCCGAACCGCCGCCAGCAGCGACGTGACGGTTCGGACGTTGGGTTTTACCGACGGATTTTCCTGCATGGCGTCCCACCAATAGTTGAACCGAACAGGGTGCGCTGGTGGCGCGGCCCAATCGACGGTGTTGAGTTCCGGCAGGATGGGCGGCTGCGAGTACACGCGCATCATGTGGGTGTACGTCGCGGCGGAGAACGGAATCGAGTGATCCGCAGCCCACGTGACAATGTCTTCGGCCATGTGGATCGAATAGGCTTTTGCCGCCACCAACAGCGCCGTGTCGACGACATACGAATGCGGCCCGAGCGCATTGCAAAACAAATTTGGCATGCGTTCGAGGGCTGACCAGACCTCTTCGAGAAGGCCGCGCGTGGTTAAAATCGTCGACGTGTTGCCATCAAATCGATCGTCGTCGTTGCTACGCCATGCAGTCAATCGCGTTGCCGCTAGCCGGCGCCTTGCACAACGTACCGCATGCCACTGAGGATGTGCAGCAGATGCACAGCACCTTCGGCGTTGAGCACGTCGCCCGTTCGGTCCGACGGCGGCGTCTCCAAGTCAAGAGATCGAAACAGCGCCATCGCAGCCGCCACGTCGTTCTCGTCCACTCGAAACAGGTAAAACATGGACGCCACCACCTAAAACACAACGAGGATCACGTTTTGGAAACAACATCTACGGTTCGACTCACGGCGGGGTGCTGGGTGTAGTCTGGGTCGGTGTGCTGAATGTGTTTGAACAACATGGCCGCGTGTTTGAAGTGGCCGAGCTCCGTGTACGCCCGAATGACGCTGCCGTACACGTACCCCGAGCACGAAAACCCGTGCGTTTTGAGCGTTTTGAATGCTTCGACGACATCGCTCCAGTGACCGAGCTTTGCGTGGGCAACCAACACGGAGCTCATCGTTCGACGGTTGGTTGCTTCGTCGGTGTTGAGGTCGCGGGCCACCAGCGCCAACACGTCTTCGTGCTTGCTGGCTTTGCTGAGCGTGGTCAGGTACGCATTGAGCAAATCCACGTGGTTGTGGTGGTGGTGGGGGTTTTCATAAAGACGATCGCGTGCGGCCAACTTGACGGCCTCTTCGTACAGTCGCGACGCTTCTTCGACATGATCATTGCACGCCGATACGACAGCGTAGTAGCTCGTCATATCTGGACGCGGATGCGCGCTGAGTGCGGCCTTGGCTTCCGACAATCTCCCATGACGACCGCATGTGAGCAAGTAGGCATTGACAAACTGCGTCGACGGCGCTGGGATGCTTTCAAAGATGTGTTTGGCGAGGAAAAAGTAGTCATGCGGTCCGTACTGCACACGAGGGGCTGTGTAGTCTGGGTATCCGAGCGATGGCAACCACTTGTTCAACTCGAGCCACTGGCGATCCGACGCCAACAAATCGACGATCTTGTGGAGGTCGCCGACGGACAACGATTCAACGACGAGGGGCTCTTGGTGCAACTGTTTGAGCCCGAACCAGGACGATAGCGCACCCCCGAGTCGACTGTTGCGGGCACGCTGGTGGCGGTATAAGTTGTCGAGCACTTGGATTATAAAGTCACTGTTGTTGGCCCTCACCCCCACCATGAGGAATGACTCCAGCACGTCGTCGACGGCATACTCAACAGCATGTTCGATGCTCCGAAGCTTCTCGACTAGCGACAGCGCTGCCTCAGTCTCCCCAGGGTCCAAACACCCTTGCGCAACTGTGAGCCATGTCGCCTCGGACGGAGGTCGATCATAGCGCAGCATTTCGTCGACCAAGCGAAGGGCAACGAGCCATTGATGGGCCTTCGAACACGCATCGATTGCGCGCTGGTAGATCTCCTCCGAGATCGGCATGAGATGCACGGCCTCGTGCATTTGAGCCACGATGTCCAGAGCAGTCTCCCACGCACATAGATCGTCCGTGGGGTCAATCTCGGCACAAGTTGTCGCTGCGATGTTCAGGGTCAACGGCGATGGCTGAATGCGATTTTCACGTTGAGCGCGGTAGACTTGAAGGACGAGTGCATGATCTTCCAGCTTGTCTGCCACAAGAGATAATGCTGTGGCTTGGATACCAAGAATTTCCTTGGTCAACGTCCCAGACAAAATTTCGTCCAGCCGGCTCCTCGCAAGTTGCTTCTCTTCTTCCGTCGGTGCATCCAAGGCCAAAAAGTCCCTGAATTCGTTGAAGTAATACTCGTCTTCTGCCACCACCCGCGGCGGAGCACTACGCTCTGCAGATCCTGCATTTTTCTCACTGCTGCCGCAGGAGTAGGGACGTTGGCGTTGCTGCGACCCAGTCAATATGTGTACGCGAAAGTATGCCTTGTGACTCGATGTGGCAACAGATTGTGCTCTCTGGAGCTGCGTGGCAGCATTGCCGACGCGATGCCTCTGCTGACTCAGCCGGCGGAGCATGGACCAATTCAACCGGCCACTTCAATTCGCCAGCGAAAACCAATTCGGATAATATCACTTTGACGGCGAATCAACCGGAATTGAATACTACATACCAATCAAATCGAAATAACACAGTTGAGTACAGGACAACCCAAATTATCACAACAATAGGACAAAATGGCGATATTTCGTGCACTAATTTTCTACAAACCCCTTCTTTTTCATGAGCGCGTTGATGGACGGATCGCGGCCGCGGAAGGCACGGTACGCTTCCATTTGGTCCCGGGTATTTCCTGATGAGTAGATGTACGTGCGAGCGCGGTCAGCAGTGTCCTTGTCGAAGATGTTGCCAGCCTCCACAAATGCTTCGAACGCATCGGCATCCAGGACAGCTGCCCAGAGGTAGACATAGTACCCTGCCGCGTAGGAAGATGCACCAAACAAGTGGTTGAAATGGGGCAGGCGGTGGCGCAGCATAATGCCGGAAGGCATGCCAAGCTTGGTCAGCATGTCGCGCTCAAACTCGACCAGGTCCAATCCATCGACGGATTGGAGAGCATGAAGAGCTTGATCAATGAAAGTGCAAGCAACATGTTCCACGGTGGCAAACCCCTGGTGAAATTTCATCGCCACCGTGACCTTCTTCAGAAGCGCGGGAGGAATCGGCTCGTTCGTGTCGACGTGTCGTGCATGCTTGGCGAGGACTTGCGGCTGGCTCATCCAGTGCTCCATCAGTTGCGACGGCAGCTCAACAAAGTCCTTGGGCACTTGCGTGCCTCCGAGTCTCTTATACGTGGCATTCGACAGCATGCCATGGCAGCCATGACCGAACTCGTGGAAGAGAGTCTTCACGTTGTTAAACGAGAGGAGCGTGGCGGGGTGGCCCTTGGTAAAGTTGTTGTTGTTGATCACGATGGGAATCACGTTGGATCCGTCGGGTGTGTTGCGATGCTGGCCGCGGAACTGACTCATCCACGCCCCCCCTCGTTTGAACGGCCGCGCAAAGTTGTCGTGGAGGAAGATCGCAATCACTTCGTTCTCAACGTGCACTTCGTACACGCGCACGTCGGGGTGGTATGCCTTGATGTCCGATCGATGTACGAACGTCAACCCGTACAGGTTGTGGGCCACGTCCATCACGGCTTCAACCATACGATCCAAGCTGAAGTACGGCTTTACCGAGCTGTCGTCGAGGTCGAATGTCGACGCTCGCACCTTTTCGGCATAGTATCGCCAGTCCGACGGGCGAAGGATGGGTGGTGTGGCATCGCTCATGGATGCCGCATACGACATGAGAACTTCCCGTTCGCGCAAGGCAGTGTCCCTTGCTGGCACCCACACGCGCTCCAGCAGATCCATGACAGCTGCCGGCGTCTTGGCCATCGTGTCGCTCGTCTGGTACTCGGCGAACGTGTTGAACCCGTGCATTTTGGCTTGAGCAATGCGGAGCTCCAATATGCGCACCGCGATCGGGTTGTTATCCCGGCCGGGCGTCAACTCCCCTCGGAAGTTCCATTCGCGCCACACCCGTTCGCGGGCATCGGCATTGGGGCAGAGGGTGAGAAACGGCTCGACCATCGATCGCGCCAACGTGACAACATGTCCCTCCAGGTTGCGGTCCACCGCGGCCTGGCGGGCCGATTGAACAATGTAGTCGGGGCTTCCAACAAGCTCTTCCTCTGTCACGGGGACTGTCACTTCGGTCTCGTCGGCCGTGATGTTTTGGCGAAACGTCGTCATGAGCTGCGCAAGTTCCTTGACAATGGCATTGTACTTGTTTTGAGCTTGTTGGTCAAAGAGTGCTCCCGCGCGAACAAAATCGGTATAGATACGCTCGACAAGGCGGAGTTGCTCGCCTTCCAACTTGGCCGTGTCTCGGTTGTCGTGTACATGCTTGATGCGTACAAAGAGCCCTGGATACGACGTGGTGGCCGCCGCATGGTCGGCCAATGGACCGACAAGTTCGCGTTCAACCGATCTGAGTTCGGGCAGACACATGGAGCTCGACAAGTTGTGGAATACACCCAGGACTCGACTGAGGAGACCACCAGCTCGATCGAGGGCTTTGATTGTGTTGTCGAACGTCGGCGGGTCCGAGTTCTCCGCGATCTGCTTGAGGTCCGACAAGTGTTCCATTTGGCCTGCTTCAATCGCAGGCTTGAAGTGGCTTGCTTCGATCTCATCAAACGGCGGAAGGGAGTACGGGCGAGACGACCAGTCCGTCAGTAAAGGGTTGTTGTTGGGGGCCGTCGCCGTCATGGGAACAACTCAAAAGTGTTAATGACGCCGTCTCCGTCCATGCAGATCCACCTCGGAACTTCGGCTGCACCCAGCATCCACTGTTGCGTGGATCCGTCGCAGCAGCATGGATTTTGTGCGCATGCAGTGGCGGTCAGATTTGCATATATTATTGCCAAACATAATATTTCGTCAATTGCCAACTCCGAGAAATATCCGTGACGGTACCAACATATATATTCACTACTTTTTGCTCTGCCTGGCTTGAATCGCCGTCAGGGCGACAGTCGTGACGATGTCACCGACGGTTGCCCCACGACTCAAGTCATTCACGGGTTTATTCAGCCCTTGCAACATCGGCCCGATGGCCAAGCAGTCGGTCGACTGCTGGACCTACAAACGTCGTCAGCAATGGTGTCCATGCCAGAGCCAATGCCGAGACATATCGTACCGCCTTGTATGTGTTATTGCCGGTGTTCAAGTCCGGGAACACAAGCACGTTCGCATGTCCTGCCACGTCCATCTATGCAACAACTCGAATTGACGCCACATAACATTCGAGAGACTGTACCTCGGATTGCTTGAGGCCCTTGACCTTTTGCTTGGCAATGGATGGGTTCGTCGCGGCATCGTATTGGATCGGTCCGTAGATCGACACCTCCGGGGCCATCGTTTGAGCCAACTTTGTGGCCTCCCGCACTGTCGAAAGCGTGAGCAAATTTGTGGTCGAGATGCTCGCGTCGTACCTTTATCAATGATAGGGCCTTTGTTCGAGTCGCCCGTGGCATACGACAGAAGCGCCACACGAGGCTCGATATCAAATGCCTTGGCGGATTCAGCACTTTGAACAGCAATTTGAGCGAGCTGCTCCGCAGTTGGGTCCGTGTTGACAGCGCAATCGCCGTACAACACAACGTCGTGCTCCAAGCACATGAAGAACACACTCGAGACGAGGGGAATATCTGGTCGCGTCTTGATCAACTGCAAAGCAGGTCGAATCGTGTTGGCCGTCGTGTGGCAAACGCCAGAGACCATCCCGTCTGCGTCGTTCACGTCCACCATGACCGTACCAAAGTAAGTCTATCCACCTGGTCAGAGTCGGAAAGGATGGCATCATGATGGTCTTACCGCTTCGCCGACGGTCTCCTTGGCGAGCTCGGGGGTAATGCCTTTGGCCTTTCGCTTTTCGTAGTAATGGTCTGCATACATCGCCAGCTTCTCGGCTTTCAATGGGTTGAGCAAGGTCGCTTTGGACAAATCGAGACGAAGCGTCTTGGCGCGCGCATTGATCGAGTCGACGTCGCCCAAGATCGTCAGGCGCGCAATGCCACGGCGCAGCACTTCATCGGCCGCTTGCAAAATGCGGTCATCTTCGCCTTCCGTGAGAACAATGTGTTGGTCCGCCTTATGAGACTAGATAGCCATGCCGTGTTGGCCTCGACCCGAACCACCGATGGATATCACGTACTGCTTCAAAGAGAAAGTGCTTGAACTGCTTGGGGGTGCGTCTGTTGCCGCCGCTCTGTTCCACAAGATGGCTCAACAATTCTTTGCTCTCCACGTTCTTGTCAAACCTGCGGAAAACTCACAAAATCAATCGATTCCCCACCGAAGTCACAACGACGTACAAGATGTAGGCGTGCTGGATTTTGTTTTGGCTTGTCGGCAAGATGTCGCACGTGACTTTGCTCAACGCAATCCCCGTGTGGTACGAGTCCGTCTCAACAGAGTAGATAGGCACCGAGGCCTTGCCGATTTTGGACACTATACAGATGATCTCTTCAGTTGCAACATGACGGGGCATGGACGTCGTACGTACGGCCTTTTAGAATCTCCTGGCATTCGTTTTGGGGAATCCCGCCGTTGGTTAAGATAATGCCCGAAATTTGGGGCAGCGCGCCGGACAAGCGGCTAGCCACAAGGCCCAGGATAACATCTACATCACGACATGATGAGTGCTCCACACATAGAATCGCAACTCGAGTCGCTTACCAGTACGTTCGGCCGACACGATCACGAGCAGCCCGTCGTCGTGCTTGTTGATGTGCTTGAAGAGGTCCTTGAGATCAGCCGTCGCCATGAGCCCGTCTGTGACGACAACCGAGTTGGACATCGGGTTGCCGTACAATTGCTTGGCATGCAACTGAGCCACGACTTCGTTTAGCCGCTTCGAGTCCAAGACGGGATCCACCGGCAGGATGCCGAGCAACTTGGACGGGTCGAAGCCGCGGGCTTTGATTTGGGCGTGAACGTGTTCGCGCAACTCCAATGCATCTGGCGTCCTGACGCGGTTGACAAGCGTCCCGACGTGCGTCAAACCTTCGGCTTGTGCCATGTCTTTGGCGAGAAGCACGCGTGTCGTGATTTGATCCGCGAGCCACGAGAGCGCTTCGGCGTCTGTCCAGTGGAGGCCGGGGTCCACAACTAAATCGTCGGCATCCACCGTCAACAGCACAGGGGCGTTCAGCGATTTTGCAATGTCGACGTTCAGCTCCCAGCTGAGTTCGGGAGACGAGTCCAACTTGGCACCTTCCATCACGACAAAGTCGTGCTTCGCGCGCAGGTCTTCAAACTTGGACAACATGGTTTCGATGACCGAATCGGGGTCACCTTCCAGGTGCGCGTGCGTGATGTCGCTCTGCGTCATTCCCACGAGCTGGTACGGTTCGTCTTTGATCTTGAACTCGCTGCGAATGAGCTCCACGTGATGGTCGTTGTACGAAGAGTGAAAGTTTGGCGCCACGGGGCGAAAGTACCCCACCGATGGAAACGTGTACGACAATTTGTTCATGAGACCAAGAAGGACGTGGGAGTGCTTGGCAACACTGCCATTCGTCATGACGAGCAAACGGTCGTTCTTCTTCGTGGCCTCTAACAAAGGTATGTCAGCATGACGTGGAAGGATTCGGCGAGATTCATGAACGAACCGTCAGAAAGGAAGCGCGACGCAGTCGCGCGGGGAAGGAGGGTGGCAGCTGCCTTGCGGCCCGAGAGAAATGGGCGGCAGCGCAGCATCTGCACTTGTGCTGGGGGGATTCAATTGCAAACTGACCTGGGGCCGCCGATCTTTGTAGTCGCTCGCTGACGTATCGAGTCGTGGCGTGTTTTTGCACAATGAAATTGTCTCGAACGCGTCTCTATGCAAAATCAGGAATTTATAATCGCAGAATGACACGCCTCTCGTACAAAAACCTATATCAAATGTGAGTGATTTTCCAATGACATCGCAGTCGTCGTTTCCAACGCGTTCGAAACGGTCCTGTCACCCACTCGTACATCGTATCTGGTGCATTTTCGGCGTGTCCCCCCCAGCAGCCTTCAGGCACACCTGTGTCCTGGTGCATACTGTGCCAATGAGGTCGACCGCTCCTGGAGACGAGAGAGCACAAGTATTGGACGGAAGACTTCGTTTTCCATTTACCAAGGCTTACCGTATCACTGAAACAACGCACCAGGAATACGTACCCTTTGGTGCGGAAAAATGATACGAATCTCCATGTCTATTAATTTGACTGCAATGCTCGGTACAGTGACAAGAATGTATGTTTTATGTTGAAAACGTTGACTTTCAAGTTCGAGCGAGATACTTTTGTGCGATATATTGAACAAAATTCGTGGTGAGTGAAATGTGCGGATTGGTGGGTGGGGAGTGGAACTCCCCCTTCACAGTCGCCCCGCGTGCGCTTACCACAACCGATCGACTTGACGAAGCGGAAGGTCGTCGCGCCCAAGCCATCGCGCATTTGCTAACTTTCGGCCATGGACAAACTCAAGATCTTAGTACTCAACGCTGGTAGCTCATCGCTCAAGTACAAGCTGTTCGCGGAGCAAACGGGGTCGACGCTGACGCCTCTGATTTCCGGCATGGTTGAGTTGGGGACGGAAAAGCAGGTCAAGCATGCCACACACACGCCAACGTCGACGGTCAAGGCGTCACTGCCGCCGGTGTCCCTTCCCGACCACAAGACCGCGTTGTCGTACGTGATCGACTTGCTGACCGACCCAACGCATGGCGGGTTGAAGCACAAGAACGAAATCCACGGCATCGGCCACCGCGTCGTGCACGGAGGCGAAGCGTTCCACGACCACTCGCTCATTACGCCGGTGCGTACATGACGCGTCGCTCTCCCACGCAATGTCTGTGTCATAGGCCGTGATCAAAGCGTTGGAAGACAACGTGGACATTGCGCCGCTGCACAATCCGGCCAACATCTTGGGGATTCAAGTCGCGCACGAACTCTTTGATTGCCAGCACGTCGCCGTGTTCGACACGGCGTTCCATTCGACACTGCCTCCTGCCGCGTTTTTGTACGGCCTTCCCTACTCGCTGTACAAGGAGTATGGGATCCGGCGGTATGGCTTTCACGGCACGAGCCATCAATACGTCGCTCAGCAAGCCGCAGCAGTACGTGGCGTTGGTCGGTCTGCGCTGTGATGTTTCACGATCTTCTATAGTACTTGGGCAAGCCATTCGAAGAGACGAACCTCGTCACGCTGCACTTGGGCAACGGATCGAGCATGTCGGCGATTCGAAAGGGCAAATGCGTCGACACGTCCATGGGGTTCACGCCCCTGGAAGGTCTCATCATGGGCTCCCGCAGTGGAGATATCGATCCCGCGATCATTCCGTTCCTGCACTCGCATGCCAAGCTGTCCGTCGCCGACATCGACAAGCTTCTGAACAAGAAGAGTGGGCTCTTGGGGCTCTGCGGCGAGTCGGACGTTCGGACCATCCAAGACCGCGTCGTTGCTGGGGATGCCCAAGCTGACTTGGCCTTGGATGTACGACTCTGTTTAGTCTCCTTCGATGCTCATGCGATGCCTACATCATTAGGTATTCGCCCATCGCGTACGCAAGTACCTCGGCGCGTACGTGCTCCAACTTCACCCCAAGGTCGACGCGATTGTGTTCACGGCCGGCATCGGCGAGCAATCGGCTGTATTGCGCGAGCGCATTTGCGCCGACTTGAAACACGTTGGACTCGAGTTGGACACCACCAAGAACGTCCCTGGCCCGACGAACGGCGTGCGCGAGATCCACGTCGATGGCTCGCCCATTCCGATTTTGGTGATCCCGACCGATGAAGAGAAGAGCATTGCCGAAACGACGGCCCGACTTATTAACTAACATACCATCCTGATTTCCACCGACCCACACGTGATCGTGTGGCATGAATCCCCATGCGCAGAGAAGATGTGCAGAGGAGAATATGATTAAGGGACTGAGGCATCGACGAGTTATATACACCGAGCTATGGTGGTCTATTTTCGCTTCTTGAATGGCCTCGACGGCGACTGGTTTTGCTTCGTAGCTTCTTCCCGCTCGCCCCGTTCAATCGCTTCCAAGTATGCGTCAGCATCTGCAAACGGCGACTTGCGTGTCTCCGCTCCTCGTTTCTTTCCCTTCTTCGCTGGCGCGGCGGCAGCTTCCTCGTCATCTTCTTCAGCATCGTCATCACCAAATTGCATGTCGTCAGCATCATCATCGTCCATGTCGTCGTCCTCATCGTCGTCAAACATCATGTCTTCGTCGTTCATGTCGGCACGAGAGCCGACGTGACCGACGTCCTCTTCTTCGTCGTCACCGCTTCCACTATCGTCGCCATTCTCGTCGCTCCAGTCGTCCATGTCTGGGTCTTCGTCGTCGTTGTCTTCCATGATGCTCTCAGCCAACTGGTTCGCAAACGCTTCGTACTCTTCGTCCTCGTCGGACGCCAAGGCGTCGCCCGTTGCGTCGTCCTTGACTTTCTTCGGCTTGGCAGGCACGCGCTTGGCGCGCTCCTTAAAAAACGTGTAGAAGAATCGATCGGTTTCCGCAACAGCCGCTTCGTCCTGGGCCAGGAACTGGTCCGAGTCGACACTCACGACAGCGTTCGCGTCGTTGTCGCCGCGACTGCCGTTGTATCGATGCGGGCCGTCTTTGGTCTTGGGCTTTTTGTTCACAAATTTGTCGAAAAACACCGACAGGGTGAAGTCATTCAGCGGATCGCCCTTGTACGAGATCGCACCGTCCACCAGTTGCTTGGCAAATTGCGCCACAGACGGATGGTAGTGCACCAAAAATGGCTGGAGTTCCCACAAACAGGATGCTTCGGCCCCGGCATACAGCGGGTTCCGCTTTCGCGGATCGTACGGCGTTGGGTTCTCCACAAGGGGGGGCTTCACAACCGCCCGTTCTTCTTCCGCGACGTCGAGCCCCATCGATTTCAACAACGCTGCGCTGCGTTTGCGCTCGGCCTCCAAGTCGGCGTCTTCAGCATCGTCTTGATTTTCTTCATCCGAACTTTGTTCAGAGCCGTCTTCGTCGTCCGACTTGGTCTCGTTCTTTGCAGCAACGGCAACGTCATCTTGCGTTAGGTCGTGCTCGGGCTGGTCAATCAGGGCGCGGAAACTCTTGTTGTGCTGCAGCAACTCGGACACCAGGAAGAGCGCGGCGCAGCAGAACGCAGGCGACATCGTCAGCGACACTTGAAGAAGCCGCTTGATCATGGCGTGGACGCGGGCAGGGGACACATCTTGTTTGATGGCGCGGAAGAGCAGGTTGAGGAACAGTGTGTGCTTCGATGTGGTGCGCAGCTAGCTCGGCGCTTCAGAACAACGTGACGGGACTTGTTCCAGGTGTTGTGTACCTTTGGGTCAAACATCTTGGCGTACAGTGCCGTGTAAAATCGATCGGGCACCGAGTTGGTTGAGTTCATCACTTGGAACAACAGCATGAGCGCTTGCACACTCGTGCTAAAGTGGGCCTAATGGCAACCCACGGTGACCACCCGATGGTTCATACAATCGACAGCAGCCAGACATACCGTGTGGACGACGCGGAACATGGTGTCGATCTCATCTTGAAAGTCAGCGGACGTGCACTTGGCATATGGAAACGATCGGTTCACCCCCACCAGCAGCGCACTGAGGAGCTTGCGTTCGAGCCCCGTGTCGGCTTTGCCTTGGTCGCGGTGCACTTCCTTCGAAAACAGCCCAAAGTACACCTTGATCAGGTGGGTCGCCAAGTCGGCGTCGCTCACACTCAGGTACATTTGGTTCAAAAACAGCACTGCGTTGTACTTGGTTCGTTCGGTCACCTAAGGCATGTGCTCATCAGTCCTCTGCCTAGAGTAAAGCATTTATAAATGAACCTTGGCGCGAGTGAGCAGGCGCTCAACGTCGTCGACAACCACGCGCTTCATGAGTGGATGCACTTTGAGCAATTCCTGCAGTTGGTGCAGCACAAACGACGCGACTTTTCGGTCGGGGTCGCCCAATTTGTTGACGAGCATCGTGAGCAACACGTTTTCCTGTTCGGGTTTGTCGGTCAGGAGTGCGATCACGGCGCGGATGCACGCGCGCTTGTGTGCTTCAATGGCGTCGTCCATGCCAGACGCGAGCGCAGAGATCAGTTGGGCGTACGCGACCTTGACGCAGTGCTCAAAGTACCAAATGACGAGATGCTCCTGCGAAACGTCGGAGCGGTGGATCGGACGCTGATGAAAGAAGAGGAGCTTGCGGTTGGGAAGCAAGTTGTTCAGAAATAGATCCTTGAGGGAATCGATCGCCATCTGCGCCTCTCGACGGCCTTTGTTCTTGGCCATCGTCACCAGTTGACTCAAACGCGCCAAGTTGTGCACTGGTGATGCCTGCATCGCACAACGGTAGGTGGTACCTCTAAGTATTGGGACAGCGACGCATTACCTGGATCGACAGCGTCGTGGCAGCGATTCGATCGGCCAACGTACCCGACTTGATCATAGTCTTCAAGTACTTTTCATCGCTAGACAAACCTACATCACCATGAACACAGGGCAAACGAATGTTGTGATGTAGTGATGCATGCTCGTACTGCCTTTGGACTCGACCGCTTTCAACTCGGCCTCCATCAAGCGTTCGGCGATCCGCTTCTTCTCTTCCACGACGGCGTCGGCAGCTTTGTGTTTGATCTGGTCTTTTGCTTCATTCGAAAGCGGTTTAACTGCTTCGTGCCATGCAATAGACTGGTCCTTCATCGATTTCAACATGGCGCTGAGCTTTTCGTTGGGCTTTTCGATCTCTTCAGCCTCATTGTCGCGCTTGTCCGCATACGGCTTTTTTATATGCTTAGCAGTGTGTGCTTGATGTGGCTTCCTGCCTGTGTGAGCAAAGTTTCTCTTTACATCTTGCTTTTCAGTCGACTTGTGTTGCAACGCATTCCCATCTCCTTGTATCTTTTTACCACGCTGTGGCGTGGCACCACGGTCACTGTCTTGTAGCTTATTACCTTGATGATGCTTCACACCATTGTTCTTGCCCTGTCCATGTGACTTGGAGTCTTGTGGACCCGAGACGTTGTTGGCCACCTTATTTGCTCCTTGTGGTTTGTTACCGTGTTGCGGCTTGGCAGAGTTACCATTTCCGCTGTCTTTACGTCCACCACCATTCTTAGGCCCACCTGAACCTTTGGAAAGGTTGGCCGCAGGTGCCAACTTCGCCGCGGACTTGCTCTGCTTCGACTTCGCTCCCATCTTGAGTTCAAGATTGGATATCCATTCAAACCGCTGCAATGCGCCATCGCGTATCCGGTTTTCCGGATAATAAGAAATTCGATTGGATGGTCGGAGTTTCGATTGGGTTTAAGAGTTCCTTTATGTTTCGATATTGGCTTCACCTCGACGCTGCTTGGATGGGAGCTTCGTCGAGCCGTCCGACAATCGCTCAGCGTGGGCTGTCTTGGAGTCCGCGGGGATAGGCTCCAAGTGATGGGGAAGGTTGTGCTTCTACAACGAGCAATGTCCAAGCGTTGGGTGAGAGCGCATGCGTTGACGAGGCAAGGGTACCTCGATTTTGTCCTCGACAAACTCGGCGATGTACGTGTCCACTTTGGAGATGCCGGTAAAGTCAATTGTCTTGTGGAATGTGAAGCGGAGATCAGGGCAGTCCTCGGCCTGCACGTTCGCTTAGTTGCAACAGTGGGTCATGGCCGAGAGGTCATACCACATTCTTCACCCATCTCGACACGAGGATGCGACCGGGAACACCATTGGTCTCCATTTCGTTGGCCGTGAGGACGTCCGGGCCCCACATGTCGTACCGGAGCGTCGACGTGCCAATGACACCGGCAATGATGCTGCCTATGTGGATGCCAATGCGCATTTGCAGCGGTTCGCCGCTGTTTGGGTCCATCACTTTGGACACTTCCCGTTGCATATCTGTCGCCATGCGAATGAGGTTACGAATGTGCAATCGTGGTGGCAGCGACTCGAGTGGGCGAAAGGATTCGGTGTGGGGCTTGACATGATTCCCACTAGCGACGGACTTGTGGTGGATGGTGTGGAGGGCGGTGTCTTGAAACGAGACGAGATCGGCCGAGTTGGGCTCGGTCAAGTTGTTCAGTTCCTTTGAACTCATGTCGACATACGGCAGGCCAGACACAATCACGTAGGCGTCGCCGATCGTTTGCATTTTGAACACTCCTGCACATGTCGGTACGTGACAAACTACTTCCACGGCCAAGACCAGGGATGCATACCGTGCTTCTCCGTGAGCATGTCGAACGCAGAAAAGAGCGAGTCGAGCAAATGGACGACCTTGTCCGTGTCGGCGCGGGCAGCAATCGACGTGAAGCCCTTGATATCTGAAAACAGAATGCCCACCTGCACACGTTGCCCCCGTTACCACGTGCCACCAAACTTCGTCATGAAACGTACTTGATGGTGCTGATCGCACACAAGCTCGCCTTCCTTGAGCTGGGTTACCACGGACTGCGGCAACATCTTGTACAGCAATCGATCCGCTTTCTTCGTTTCCATTTGCGCCCGTGTTTGGAACCAGTACTTTCGGCGACAGAAAAACTCAATATCACGGCGGGCCATCATGCTAAAGAGGCCCACAAACAGCGTCAGCGCGGTCGGGTACACCTTGAGGCCTTCGACTTTCGAGTAGTCGGGCAGCGATTGCTGGTACGCGTACTATCCAACGACAACCTTTACGACCTCGATAACACCACAGGGCCAGTCGTACGATGTAAATAGTCGTGCTGAGGGCCATGAGGAGCATGTTATAGTACGACGTGAACTTGCTGAGGAGGGACCCGCCGCTCGATACGAGAAACATGGGCATGATCACGTCCATCGAAATGTACGAGTACAGGATGCTCTGTTGCTCGTTTGTCCAGCTGCCAGTTCGATGCCTTAGCCATCGTAGCATGGTCGAGCGACGTACCGAAAGATGTTGGGGGTCACGAGCACCGCCGCTGTCACGATGTAGTACATGAAGAGCGGGCCGTGGACGGGCTGAATGAACGCCTTGACGTCCTCTGTCGGCCACGGCCGCGTCGACCGTGAATGGTGAAAGTTGGAAAACTCAAACCACCCAGCAAACATGATCAAGAGCCCTCGAATCGCCGTCGATGCGTAGCTACCGTCCAGTGCAGCCCGGGTCAGCAACCTCATGGCCACATACAAGAAGGTCGCTGCCTACATGGCCGATTTGCACTTGTTGTCACACATGGTCGCGTTGCTGTGAATGACGCGAAAGTTGTAGTCGCCCAGGCTCGCGTCGTGTACGAGGTCTCGAAGGATCGTGTAGGCCAGGTATATGGCGAGCATGATCATCGTCCGCCTCGCGCTACGCGACGACCCCGACGATGACGCAAACAAAGGTGGCGCGGGTCGAAGTACCCATTCAGTCGAATAAAGCATCGTGTCTTGCGGTACGCGAGCTCCAAGTCGGGTTTGAGGAAGAAGAGCCAGACGAGGTCCATTTCCATGTTCATTTCTGTCTTGATCGCTTGAATTCGCATGCGACTCGGCATGCTCATCTCGGTCGTGTCCAAGTTGCTCGTCACGACTTGAATGCGATTTGTCGGGGCAAACAGTCGCCGCACCCATTCTCGCATGTTGTGCATTCTAGACCACCCACACGCCAAAGGATCAACGTCGATCCAACGACTCGAGAGACGGCGGCTTACATCATGAGCTCCAAGGCGCCGCGGGAGGCACTTCGCGGCGACGCCATCGCTTTCGTGTCGACGTACGGCTCCCAATGACCTCGCAATGCTCGATCGCCGAGGACGGTGGCGGACTTGCCCATCAAGTACGCAGTCAACGTCCCTTTGCCCTTGGCCTCAACCGTTCGAGGCTCAAACCGAAAGTCTTGGCACAAATAGTCGTACGTAACCTAGTGTGGTGGTTGAGCATTCACGGTTGTTCACCACGTAGGGCGTCGTTACTTGCGACACTTGAATCCGGCCCGTGACCCCTGTGCTTTGCATGCGCGACGCCGTGTTGATGGTGTCCCCAAAAAGCGAAAACTGCTGCTTTTTCATCCCGACCAGGCCGCTGATCACACGCCCGCTGTGGATGCCAATGCGGATTTTCAGACCATTTCCATTGCTTGCTTTGACTTTGGAAATCGCGGCCTATCCACCGTCCAACGAGTGACGATGGGTTCATGTGGCATGCGAGCACCATCATGTCGTGCGCAACGCCCGCCGCTCGGAGCGCCGCTTCCTTCCCTTTTACGCTGCCTTGAAGGCCCGCGCACGCCAGGTACGTTTTCCCGACCGTCTCCATTTTGCGCATTCCGTGTTTTGCGCACATCACGTCAAACAACGAGTAGATGCGATCGAGGAGCTTGACCATTTCCGTGGGAGAGTACCGCTTGATGAGCGATGAAAAGTCGCCAATGTCACAAAACAGGATCGTCACGTCTTTTTCTTCCTCCGAAATCAACTTTTCTCCGTTTTGCATGCGCCGGACAATGTGCTCCGGGAGCATGTTGCTCAAAATCTCGCGACTCCGTCGCTCTTCGTAGACTAGGATTCGATTCTGGACAAAGTCGGTCCGCATCGACACTTGCAGCGTGTACGACCCATACGCCGAGCACCCGATGAGAAACATCTACGTCGAGAACCGTCTCCCTGAAGTCCCAGATCTTTTTTGTGCTGCCATCGCGTACCATAAACACGAGGAAGAGCACGACTTCGGTCGCTGTCGTCTCGCTCGACGTCGTATCTTGGCGAAACCCGAGCCGCGGCGACAAGTCAAAGTAGAGCAAGTTGAACACAGCCAGACAAATGGCGTACACGACCTTGACCCGCACGACGGAGAAGAGCAGGATCGTAAAGATTGTGACGAGGAGGAGACCTGTGTACGCGATCGCTTGCGTGAATGCGATGCCACCGATCGCCATCGGCACCAAGATCTACAGCCGCATCGTCAGAGTGCATTACAACTCGAACGCCCGTACCCCCAATTGATAATGCGACAAAAAGAAACGCGAGTGCAAAAACCCAAGGTACATCATCGTGGCGCAGAACATCCCGATTCGAGTCCAGTAACGAGTCCGGTCCTTTTCCCAGTAGTACTCGACGACGGCGTAAAACGGCAGCAAAAAGAGAAACATCGCGACCAGGACGTGGATTCGCCGCACTTCGCTGCAGAGCCACACAATCCTTTGTCAGCAGGTCCAACAAAAATTCAACTCGCAACGCACATACCGTGCCATAAACACTTTGTTGTACCCCGCCTCGAGCACCTCGTGGTCTTCACCCATAAACTCGACCGTGATCGGATGCAACGAAATTTCAGATGTCGACGAAATGCCCACATCAAACAATTCTTGCCGATGGACACCAACTTCACGCGAGATAGCGCGCTCCAGCCGCATGAGCTTCCGACACAACTCTTCGTGCTCGGTGAGGAATCCAAGGTCCTTTCGAATGGCGCCGACACCAGGGGATTGAATCTTGCGCTGTGTCATGTCCTCGCTCTTGGGATGCTACGACCGACGACCATGAGTGCTCCATGGCATGTTTCGTGCCGCACCACGGGAATTTCGTCGGTCGGGTCGTCCAAGTGCGAATCGATCTCTTCAATAATGTCTTGGTTCGTCGGCAAGTACATGCGGCTAATGTACATCACAACTACGTCTGCCACGATCGACGTGAACCCAACAAGGCAAATTGTGATCCAAAACGCCGTCCCGCCAAATACGACGCTCCCGAGACCAAAAAAGTCGTTGAACGTTTGAATCCGCAAGATCCCGTACGCCTACATGTAGACGAGTCGATCTCCACCACACAATGTTCACCGACGTGTACCTCCGAGTACGCCAGCACAAACGCCAAGTACAAGATCGGACCGCCCAGGATCGCCATGTAGTGGTACCTTGTCCAACGATGCAAGCGCTGCATAACAAGCGCCGCCTTGAGGCTCACGGTGACGACCAGAATGCCGTACATGGCCGTGCCATAAAGGAAAATGCTCGAGTCGGCCATCGAGTACGACCCGAACACATTGTACCTGTCAAATGCGCGCCGTCGAGACAACGTTCAACTCAATGTATCAAAGCCACGTACGTGAGGAAGGTCCCGAGGAAGAAGACCAAGAACGAATGCCACAGCGCTTTGCCAACCCACATGCGCATTTTGGACAAATTCAGCTCTTGGCCCATTTGGTTGTTGCGAAAGATGAAGGGGTATTTGAGGACGGTGTCGGAGCTAATATCTTCGTCGATGATCCCTGGCACCACGAGAGTCTCCATGAGCGAGATGTGCACGCTTCGCGCGACGACACAAGCCGACGACGCACCAAGGACGAGGATCGGAAACAACGTGTACAGCACGTTCCAGCCCACAATCAGGTACGACTCGTACATGGTCTGTCCCGAGTACCCGTTCACAAACGAGTACATGAACAGCGTCATGACGAGGGCCATGTTTTTGTAAAACGAAAATAGAATCACGATCGACACGCGTCGGTAGTTCCATCGGCCATGGGCAAGAATCAACCGCGACAAGAACCGAAATTGACCGATCGCAAAGTCCGCACTGCGCACGGCTTGCATGCCTAGAGCAGATCGCTCAGGACCACCCTTGGCGCGAACGCCGACGCACCTTCGTGCCCAAAAATGCCCACTCCAATGTGCGCTTCCTGGATCATGCTGACGTCGTTCCCGCCATCGCCCACTGCCATCGTAACGGGTCGAGATTTGCTGTACACCACGTTGATTCCTTTTGCCGCCAGAGACTAACGTTTAGGAACGAATGGGCCGTACCTGCCTTTGATGAGTGCAATGATCTGAGCTTTGTGGATCGGAGACAGTCGGCACGCCACGACGGAGCAGCACTGCGTGACGAGCTGCATGAAGAGCGCCAGCGCTGCGTCGTTCTCGTTGGTGTTTGGTTGATCTTGCAGGCCTTTGACCGACAGGTGGGTGTGGGCAAAACTCGAGTCGCGATGGCCCGGGACAAGATTCGTGTCGACGCCAAAGAGCGAATGGGTGCTTTCATTGTTTGTGTCGGCGAACCGACTCGTGGACCCAGGTTCGTTGTCTTTTTCGCACCGCGATTCGTTCAAGAGGCATTCGAGAGCGTCGCCGTTGATGACGAGCGCAATTTCTCGTGATGGTACGTCGGGTTTCCACAGTCCTACGACACCGTCCAACGACCCGTTTTCAATCGCGCGACATGTACAAACCTTGTTTTCGAAGCTGCTTTCGGATGCTCGTCATTTGGTACATGCACCCTTGCTGCGTTGTTTCATTCAGCACGACGAGCTGCGACTGATCCGAGAGGAGACCGCACGAGTTGGCGATGGAAATTGCCGTCTCGTCCTTGTCGCCGGTTAACATCCAAATGTTGATCCTACACCCGATGACTCGAAAGTTTGCTAGGGCTTGGTGCGTACCCTGCGGCACTGAGGGTCTCAATGCATTCGGTCACGCCATCCTGGAGCTGATCCTCGACGCCCGTGGCCCCGAGCAATGTCAATCGTGTTTCCATGGATCGGGCACATTCGAACAGTTTTCCCTCGCGATCGATCAGCGCCGTCTTGGCTTTTGCGTGGGCCGCAGACCACGCCATGAATTCGGCCAACGTGATGCGCTTGTATCTGTGGGAAACCACCACGCAAGTTGTTCATGGTGTCGAACAAGCACTGTCGAACTTACCCAAAGACTAGGGTCCGTAGTCCCATCGATGCAAAGTAGTGCAAGTGGCTCGTGATCGAGTCCCTCGTCTGAGGCTTCGAGCCCTGCGTGGTCGCATTTCCCAGCGACATCATGGTCGTATCAGCGCCTTTGCAAAACACCCACAGCACTACCGGCCACCCGTGAATCGCACCCAACGATGCACCAACTCAATGCGGTCGATGCATCCAGTTCTCACCATCGTCTTTCGTGATGCTCTCTCGGTACGGCGCCGTGAGCTGCCGCACGATGACCGACATGCACTTGCGCGTGCTGTCGAACTCGTTCAAGGCCAGGATTTCGTAGCTTTCGGGTTTCCCAAATAAACTACACCCGTCGTGGCATTGTCATATTCGGACTGGCCGCATGACGCACCTAATGTCCATCGTCGTCGTCGTGCGGCCTTTGAGCAAACAATTGAGCTCGATCGCGCCACGCAAGAGAGCTGTTTCGTCCGGCGACGACGCGCGGATTTCGTTCAGTGACGATAACGTTGCGGTGTGGCACAACAAGACGCATCGAAAGAACGCCTGAGCGAGCATCCCTCGAGACAGGGGGCAGTTGTCGTCGACGACAGACGTCTAGCGAGTAGTGTTGATGAGAAGCAGTGCGCGGTACACCCACTCGTACCTCTTCGCACCCCGCGCCGTGGTCGGGGTAGGTTCCATGCTGCGTCAACATGCTGTACGGCATGACGTGCGCCGAATATGCGCGCAGCCGCGTGGATATTCGGTCGGCTTGGATGTCGCCTTGGGCAAACGATCCGCGGTGAACGCCGTCCACTCGTTTCTCTCGCTACATGCGACGGTTAGCCAACGTCGAGAGTCCGTGGGTGTACGAACCACTGGAATGTTATCGTACACAACATGGCCGACACTGATGAGTTTCAGCACCATTTCATTCTTCGTGATTGTGCCTGCGGTCGACGTGAGCGAAACTACCCCGTCCAACTCCAACATGACCTGTCTTATCGCTAAAGAGGTACCGGATTTGGCCCACGTCTTCGTTCAAGTTGGACGTTCGCGCTTGAACCGACTTGGCGGTGACAGGATCGAGCTACATCACGAGCGCATGAGAATCGGAGGCTGGCCGTCGCTTTAACACCATTTCGGGGTCCGATTCGATCTTTTTTGCTTGATACCACTTGACGACTTCGAGGCTGATGTAGAGAGAAATAGGCACCTAGCCAGCGCCACGTCAAGTTCTGCCACCAACGCCATGTCCGTCGCCAACGAACCAAGTTATTGTACAAGATCAGGAACGTGATAAAGGTCGACAGGATGTCTTGGTTCCACAGGTAGCTCCAATTCGTCGTCGTTCCAAACGCAGTGTGCACTTTGCTCGAGAGTCGATTGTTATACACAGTGCTTCGCCATGTACTCCACGCCGTCGACACGCAACAAACGAAGAAAAGCACGGAGAAGACGACGAGGATGCATCGATTCGCGATCACGTCAAGACGGGAAAACTTGGACGGCGACTATTGCACAACCTAGGACGGGCGCAACTTTTTCGTATGATTCACACCTGTTTCGTGTTTTGAATGAGCTTCGTTTCGGCCCCTGACGCCACCACCACGCCTTCCACATACGCCGTGTGGGTCAGCTTCATCCCTCGCAACACGACATTCGAAATCGTGAGCGGCACCTCCCACACAGGTCGGTCGTCTTGCTGTACGTTCAAGCGAGTGAGGGGATGCGCTCGCTATTCCAAAGGTACCTTCATCTTGACCACACCGTCAAATGTGTACAGGCGCCGGTTGGGTGCTTCGCAGCGAATTTCAGCAGTCACCATCGACGGAAACATCCCGACGCTCGTCAAGTCGACTTTCCAATCCGGGCGGGTTCGAATCTACGGGTCACAGCCACACAACGTCAGCTCAACGTTGGGTGGCGGATGGAAATGGGCATGGTACTTTTAAATCGGTCTCGCCGTCCAAGTTGGCCGTCTCCACTTGAGCTTGGCCGTCCATGAAGCTCGTCTCGAGAATCACCAGGTCGGCTGGAAAGCTCTCGCCATCCAGCACTTTGACGACATCTACCGTCCAAACCGCGGGATCAAACGAATGCCAGCCACGTACTTCAGCGTTCGTACCACCAACTTGCAGCTCTTGCCACAACATTTCCCTGTAGCCACCCAAGGCCTCGACAAACACCAGAGTCTTGCCGTGGTTGACCGTCTTGTCTGCGTCATGGCGCACCTTGTCTTCGACAGCTTCCTTGATCATGGTCGCTGTCGACCGCGTGAGTGTCCCGCCGAGAAATGATCGACGGCATGGCGACGTACCTACTAACACAAGCACAAGAGGCCCAACCGTCGAGTACTGGTTCGTCGGCGAATACGGCGTCGCCAGTTGCAGCAACGAAATGATGAGAAAGTAAAAGTTCGCGACGCGTCGGAACTGCTCCATGAGGTTCTTGGGCAGGAACGACAGCACAGAGTATTTGGACGTGCGAACGACATTTCCAGCATACGACAGGCCGAGCTTCGCCATCGCAGCCCTTGTGGCCTGCCGGTCATTGACAAACAGCACACGGCCAGGCGGCGACCCGCTCTCCGACGTTGTGGCGGACGTTTGCATTCGGCGGCCAGGGAACGAAGCGTTCGCTGACTCTGCCTGGCGCAGCGATTCGGTCGATTTCGTCGCATCCAGCGGGGCCACAGCCATCGTGCGCGACGTGGTGCTTCCTTGACCCTTGGCCAGCACACGTCCGTTTCACTCGAAACGACAACATATGAGGCAAGCATGGGCCGGTTACGTCGCCGCCCTTCATAGCTATGACAAAATGGGCTTGCCACCATCATGCACACTGGATCTGCACCACCGCGACCTTGAATCGTGCGTTCAATGGAGTTGCCAACCGTGGCGTCCAGCGGTGCGTTTTCGATTGGCGTCGTTCGAGTCGACCGATCGTCGTGGCAAGCGGCCGAACGCCTTCATCTCGACATCGAACAGCTCTCGTGCGTGTGGCACGTACGCGTGAAACAACAGGAGCAAACGCGGGACGTCCATGTTACTGTCGGTCTGCCGACGGTTTTTCAGGTCCCTACTCGAAGTCGAAGGGCGTCGCTACGTGGCGGCGGCGGAATTGTCCGTGGCTCCGAAGAAATATCAACGACTCGCTGACGTTGGGGTCGATGCACCCGATGCGATGGACGTGCGAGAGGACGGTCACAAGTCAAACATTCGATCGAGCAACGAGCCACCCCCAACGTCATTCCCACGTCGGAGTCGAACGATGAGAGATGTCAGCGAATTCGACACGTCTTGGAAACTGCGCAGGATGTGCGAAATTCGGTAGCAGTGGCGACCCACGTTGTTGGTGGGATCGAGCGGGTCGAAAACACACAATGTCGTGCCTGGCGGTCGCAATTCGCCGCTATCCACATGCATATGCACCGTCAAGTACCAACAAGATGCGTCACTCCAACCTGACGGAGGACGGCAAGGCTCCCACTGTCACCGCGTCCACCTCGGGCTGGAAGTCGTTGGCGAAGTAATGCAGCACGCCCATCATGAGCTTGCCGAGACATGGGGCGGTAGCTTCGGCTTTTACATGCGCTGTCAAGTCACTGGCAACTTGAACACCTTTGGCTCGCTGGCTTTCCGCCAAGGTCATCGCGACATTGTCAAGTTGGACAGCCGCCTTGTGAGGCGGTGAGGCACTGCTGTTGCCAGACAGGGGCTGCCGGAGACAGACGTGGGCGACCATGAGAAGCTATGAAAAGCAAAAAAATGAGCAGTTCAAAAACGAGTGCGCCAGTACCAGTCCGTACGAAGACAACCCGCCTCGGTACACATCATTCATGCCGCGTTTGGCCAAATAGTACTTGAGAACGAGGGTCACTTCCTTCAGCCCTGGTATCACTCGACACAACTCGAGCCCCAGAGCGGCACTGGCCAGCCCTTGGTGCGACACGCCCCAAAATGTCACGTCCAGGGCGACAGTCAGCCCGTCGCCGACTGTTGCAACCACTTTCAGCAATGGAATGGCTGCATGGGGTAAGATTTGGATGGACGAGAAAGCAACATCCAACGAAGGGTTGGTAGCAGTCCACGATACCAAAAGATCCCCCAGTTGCTGGACGTCGCCAAACGGGCCAGCGGCATCGCCGACGGAGACGCGAAACGGTCCAACAACCAAGTCGACGTCGCTCGATGGCAAGTTCAAGTGGGTCGCAAAGGACCCGTACGGCTCCACGGACGCTTGAGGCCACTCAGCTTGGACGATCGTGGAGACGACTTGCAGAACGCGAAGAATCATGGGGCGGCGGAGTTGCGCGCTCGTGTGATGGGCGGCGCCGAACGCAGATACCTCGGCGTGCAGACGAGCTTGAAGTTCCTTGGTCTGGGCATCGTGCAACTTGTGCACTTCGGACGACATGCTCTCCAGCATCTTCGCTTCGTTTATTCGCCGGATGCGCTCGGTTTCACTGGCGGCAATGACGTTGAGCTGCGACTGCATTCTCTCTTCCAGCTCGGTTTCGGCCGATCGAATGCCGCACACGGACAAATGCGCGCCGATAGTTTCACGAGAACATATTGTGCTGCACCCTGCATGAGGCGATCAAGACGACGGTGAGTTGACTACACAGCAACTTACCGAGCACTGCGTTTGGACACACGACGTCGTAGGTGCTGAGGTCCATGTCCTCGACAGCAGGAGTGTCCGGGACTTGGCGATAGGGGCAATCGAGCAAGTGATCTTCAATGTGTCGTAGCATGCAGCTGAAGGTACAGCCAAACCAACTATGGGGGCACACAACCTCATAATTGAGGATTGACGGCGAGATGGTCGCTTGGAACCACGCAGTGTTCTGCATTGCTTCGAGAAACATCCGAGTTGTGCGAGAGTGCTGCTCCATTTCAATGGCCGCTCGTGCCCATGCTTGTCGCCGCGTGCGCTCCATGTCCTCTTCCAATTGGATCTCGGCCAGTTGGCGCAACCTCCTCGCTCGTTCTTGTTCTGCAGCATCTATCGCCCACTGTGTCCAATATGCACGATTCGCAGCTTCAACATTTCGATCGGGTGACATGGTACCCAGCATGGTGGGTGAAAATGGTGCTGCCATCGCACGCAAACCAGGAGTTGGGTTGGGAGGATTCGTTGTCGGAATGGTCGATTCCGACTGCCCAGCATTAGTTCGCGTAGGTGTTTGAGGCGGTAGCGACGTCGGTGTTGCCTCGTTATCTTTGTTTTTCTTCTTCGATTTGGGACGTCGCTTCCTTGGACCAGTGTGGCCTTTGGACTTTACTGCGTCGCCGACGGAGCATGGCATTTTCGGGAGTGCAACAAACTCAAGGGATAGGGAATGTAGGTGCCTTCACGAATGTCGGTTGATATCAAAATGACGGCGATTTTAGAATAGAGAGTGTAGGTTTTTGATATTTTAGCATACAGAGTTTGACGGTCATTTCGCTGTATTACTTGGAATGTTGGTTGCTTAGAAGTAGAAAATACTGGTCTTGGCAATTAAACTCCATTTCCGATCGTTTCTGCATGTAATGAATGCTACTGTGCTAAAAAATGTTGTTGCGCGGCTTAGCGCGGACCGTCTTGTCTGGACTGAGCTTTGCGACAACCTTTTGGCTCAAGATCTCGTCGTCTTCGAGTTTCCGCAAGAGGATTGCGTTGAGTGACTTTTCCCTTGGGTCCATCGACTTGAATTTGGCGGCTTTGCGCACCTTCTGCTCCTCCATTTGGCACAACAGGAGCGTTTGGTACTCCTTGTTGCGCACGCGGGCGTTGTCGTGCTTTTGTTTCAACTCCCGGAGTGCAAGTTCACCCTCCTCTCGATACTTGTTGCTGTACTCAACCTCTTCACTGTTCAGCTTCTTCTTCTTGTCCTCCTTGATCTCGTGCTGGAACGCCAGGTACTTTTTGCGTTCGAGAGCTTCCTGCTTTCGTCGCCTTGCAATGGCCTACACATAGGCGTAAACACCCCACACAAATGCAGGGAAGTGAACGGAACCTCTTCCTTTTCACGGTCGGCCTCGAGTTTTCGGCGCTGGTACTCTTCGGCCCGCCGCTCATCCTCCATTTCCTTCTGCTTAAGCTGTTCGTGAATACTCAACGCGATGCCGTTCTGAATGCGATCCTGTCGCGTTAGCTTGTGCTGCAGCGCCGCGACTCGGTCCGCTTCTTCTTTCGCAAGCTTTTGTGCGTACTCTTCCATGAGCTTCACGTCGCGTTCTGCCCACCGCGTCATGAATTTCCACCGCGCGGCGTGCTAGACATGTGACCATACCTTGCTCCAGTGTCTTGATCTTTTCCTTTTGATGCTGTACTTGAATGTTTTCCTTGAGCAGGGACTGCATCCGCGCATGCTGCACGCGCTTCCTCTCCAACGCGTCCAGTTCCGTCCGCTTGAGTTCGTCTTTGCATCGTTGCACTTCTAGCTCTTCTTCCCGCCGCCGTTTCTCTTCTTGCTTTGCATGCAGTTCCTTGGACTCGCGCAGCTGGCGGTCGCGCTCCATGCGGATGTGATCGACCGCATCTTTTGCTTTCCGCGCTTTCTCCGCTTCCTCTGCCTTCCACTTGTTGTAGTCGGACACTACGTCGTCGGCCGTCATCGTCCCGATCATTTGAGAGATATGCGACTGTACCTTGGTGCTCGTGCATGTCGTGCTTTTCGTCCAGCATCGTCTTGATTTTTCTGTCCTTTTCCTGCTTTTGCGAGTCCAGCCAGAGGCGCTGCTGGATCGTCTTGATGTGTTTCTTCTCGACGTTTTGCTTTTCCGAGTCTTCGAACTCGACGCTGTTGAGTGCGTTGATGAGGACCCACTCGTCGTGCGTTTTTAAGTTGATTGTGTCCGCCTTGGTCTGGGGCGATGTCACCCGCGGACCCACTTCGGCAACTTTTACATCTAACGCGTCGGCTGGCTGCGGCGGCTGAAATCCCAGACGTTCCTCGTCGCGACGCTGCTTTCGTCCGCGCTCGTCGTGAAGCTTCTTGACAGTCTTCTCGAGAGCTGCTATGTCGGCCTCCACTAACTTGGCAGACGACCGCACCAACTTCGACACGAGGCTGACAATGATACGGCCGAACTCGTCGTCGCGCTTGGCGTATTTGTACGTGAGTTTAGCCACCAGCGCATCTTGCAACGCACTTCTCTTGCCGTTCGAAATCTACGACCATCAAAGGTGTAAATGACGTTCGAATGGCATGTGCTGCCCTACTTGCTGGAAAATGGCCGTAGCCTTCGTCCGCACTTTCTATATGGCATGGTCTGAGCGCCCTACCGCTACGCTACCCTATGTCTCCCATGAACGTACCTGGTTTGGGGCAGTCGCCGCGCCATCCTTGCGCCGGGCATGCATGGGCTCGCAGTGGTTTTGACGCCTGACGTTGTGCAGGTGGGTTATTCATAGCTGGGTATTTATAGGCCGCGTGAAAATTCATTCCTGCAGGTAACGACCACTGTTGTCTGGCCAAGCGCATCGGGCCCAAGTCAAGCAAGCACACTCGACCTCCGCTGCCTCGCCGCTGTCGCCACGATGGCGGTGGCACTTGCTTGTTGCAGTGGTTTCTCTCAGCAAACCCACGACGTTCAAACGCATCATGTCATGCAAGTCATTATATACAAAATTTTTATTTCCGATTCATGCACATCGTGTATTTTCGGTCATTGAAAAAAATCTTGGTGTAGCGATGTCGCTAGGATTTTGCTGGACGAGGTCGCCAAGTTGATTTGGATGTTGGACCACCCAATCAAAGGGTTCCTCGTGCGATGTGTATATGGGCGGCCACAATTAAACGGACATGGCTACGACTGGCAGCGTCAGCCCAAAGTCCCTCCGCGTCGGCGTCTTGGGCGCAGGCCGCATTGGCAAAATCCACACCCAAATCCTGTCGCGTTTGGGTGTGACCATCGTATCGGTACTGCTTGAGTTTGAAGTGATGCCTGCGATCACCAACTCCGTGGATAGATTGCCGACCCAGGTGCTGACCGAGCCAAGGCGTTGGCCGACGAGTTTGGCGTGCCCAACTTCACTACAGATCCCAACGAGATTTTCAAGGACCCGACCATCCATGCAGTGCTCATTTGCTCGCCGACGGACCACCACGCTCATCAGATTCACCTCGCTGCCCAGCACCACAAGCACATCTTCTGCGAGAAGCCCATTGCTTTGGACCTGGCTGTCGTTGACGCCGCCGTGAAAGCGGTACGTACCAGTCGAGTGTTTTGTGAACTTGATTCGAGTCGGACCATAGGTGGAAGATGCGAACGTGAAAATGATGGTGGGCTTCAACCGCCGATTCGACGCCAACTTTCAACGTGTCCGCCGCGCTGTCATTGACGGCGAAGTCGGGGACGTGTCCATGGTAGCCACCATACGTCATGTCTAGGTCTACAAATCATATCCTATTCATCCTGCTCTTTGAATAGATTCGCATCACGAGTCGCGATCCGAGCCCACCCCCCGTAAGCTACATTAAAGTGTCGGGCGGCATGTTCTGCGACATGACCATTCACGACTTTGACATGGCTCGCTTTCTCGTCGGATCTGAAATCGATCAAGTGTATGTGCTGGGCAAAGCTCGCGACGCCGAGATTGGTGCTGCAGGGGACGTGGATGTGGCAGTCGTGTGCTTGCAATTCGCGAACGGAGTTATTGGTTACATTGAAAACAGTCGTGTCGCTGCGTACGGGTACGACCAGCGCGTTGAAGTCCTTGGTTCGAAAGGTGCCGTGTCGTGCGAAAACAATTACCCAAACTCGGTAAGCGAGCCCCCCTGCACAGACCATTGACTGCATTTAGGTCACAGTGTCAACGGCGTCTTCGATTGCACGAGACCTGCCACTCCACTTTTTCATCGACCGATACATGGACGCATACCGCGATGAGTTGATCGCGTTCGTGGACGTGTGCTTGAACCCTGCGTCGGTCCCTCCAGTGTCGGGCCAAGACGGGCGTCAAGCACTCAAGCTCGGGTTGGCCGCCAACATCTCGCTCAAGGAGAACCGTCCGGTGAAACTCAGCGAGCTCCGCTCGGGTTACCCCACTGGGCGGCTGTAACCCATCGGCCGAGGAACTGTTGAAGCTCAAATCATCCCAACCCCTCAACCAAAGCGACCTTTCGCAAAAGATCGCCATTATCCGGATAACTTGAATACCGCGTTCCCTGTCACCTTCACACATCTTTGCAACAGCGAGGTGACGCCAGACAGTCTGAGACGATGGGGCTGATGGACGTGGCCTCGCGTGAGGTTTGTGGATGTCTTAAGCGAAGCGAGTAGACCTTTGGGTTGTGTGGGTCGACCACCCTTCGCATTGTGGTGCGAGTTGTCCGGATAATTGCCAAGACGGTTATTGTGGGTGGTTGGTCGCGTTCATCTTTCGAAACTCTCAGTCGGAAGGCTCGTGGCTCAAGGTGCATGCGCGACGAGGACATTTGGCTGAATCTTACAGTGGCTCTGGTGTGCTTCCTCGTCATCCTCGCTCCTTCCTTCTTGTTCTCGGTCCCCAAAGAAAAGCTCACACAACCCGACGCGAAGCACCACAAGAAGAACGAATAGCGTCGATGTCGTCCCCAACTGCGTGGGAAGGTGTGGTGGCCGGCTCTGTGGCAGGAGGATTGACGCGGGTGATAGCAGCCCCGCTCGATTTGCTCAAGATTCGGTTCCAAGTCCAGGTTGGCGTCAAGTCGACCAAGTTCCCCCGGCACTACATGAGTTTGGTGCATGCCTTGTCTACAATTTACAGAGAAGAAGGCCTGCGAACGTTTTGGCGTGGCAACGTTGCTGCAACACTTCTTTGGGTGTCGTACTCTGGAGTTCAATTTGGGACGTATCAAGCACTGCGCAATGTATTGGTTGACGTCGACGGCGATGGTCATGATGGGAACCACTGGGCTTTGAACAGCCTTATCGGTGCAACCTCCGGAGTGGTTGCCACTGTATCCACCTATCCATTCGACCGGTGTCGAACCGTCATCTCCAGCCAAGGGGTGCCAAAGGTATACCACAACATGCGGCACTTCTTCGCTGCCTCCATTCAACGGGAAGGAATCAAGGGCGGGTTATTCAAAGGCTTGGGCCCGACTGTGTCCCAGATCATTCCGTACATGGGATTGAGCTTTGGTATATACACCACACTCAATGAAGTTACTTCTAGCTCAACGCAGTCCCGGTTTCGATGGATGTTGCAGACCGTCGGGAACGGTGCCATCGCCGGCTTTGTCTCGAAACTCCTCGTGTACCCGCTCGACACGATCAAGAAGCGCATGCAAATGCAAGGCGTCCCGCGGCATATTGACTATGGCTACATAATTCCGTCCTATTCTTCTTCGCTACAATGCGGTCGTGACATCTTCCGCCATGAAGGCCTCCAAGGATTGTACAAAGGCACGATTCCAAGCTTGATCAAGTCGATGCTTACCCACAGCTGCACGTTTACCATCTACGAATTCACAGCACATAGTCTCCATTGCCTGAATGTTCTAAGCCAGTAATCCATCGGGTCAGTATTCCGTTGCAATGCAAAGTCCTGTTGCTTAGTGGCGCAAGCTTTCTCTCGATTCTTGACAAACCTAGACGGATTCAGTTGAGTACATCCAACCACTACAAATTCCGAATCTTGAGCCCCATGGATGCCCCAACGTCCGATGGCCTCGAAGCAAGTCCTTGGTGTGATCACTCGCCAGCCACCTCGAGTAGCAAGGATAATTTGTCAAACGTACGCAAGGGTTAGATAGGAAGACGAGATATGCTGGAATTGATTCACTTGAGTGGAAGCGATGCTGTGGCTGCTGTGATGGGGGTGGCCTGCACTGGGTGGGCCGGTGGACTAAAGTGCGCGTGAGAGAGTAATATGACTTGTAGCCATTCTTGCATGCTTAACACGTACGATGTGGCGGTGTGTTTTCGATGAAACTCTTCCAAGTACAAGTACCGCTTGGCGTCGGCAACAAGACGCTCGATGGACATTTGTTTGACTTCAGAAAGGAGGAAGCGCCGAACTTGTTCGGGGCTCTCGGGCAGTGTTGCGACTCCTGAGTTGTTCATGGAGCCCCCGCTACATGCGGATCCAAACCCAATATCCGTAGACCCAGATTTAGTCTTTGTGCCCCTCCGTTTAGGTCCCATGCTGCTGTTGATTTTCCCGTTCTGTGCAGCAGACTTGGACCCCGAGACAGGTGATCCGAGGGGACGCTCACCCAGACCAAACTTGCTCGCCTTCTTTGTATCCTTCTTCTTCAAGAGTCCAAGAGATGGTGCGGGGGGTGCCAATCCTGTGGTGGACGTGACTGTCTGTGGGTTCATTGTGATTAGCCGCGGACCCGTTGTTGGTGGCGTTTTGCAGAGAGGAATCGTGCGAAGACTACCACCGCTATTCTGCTTGCGCAAATGGAAGCCACCTCGATTTTCAGCGAGCTTCTCTTCTGTAGACTCATCCCACAGGATATTGTCGTCTTCATCGGCGCCGTCGTCCTCCGCCCACTTCGACAATGTGCTCATCGCGCGCCGATTTGTTTGGTTGAATCTTTCGATCTCTAGGTAATGGCGATTTCGGATAAATATCCGGACATGGACGACACATGTTTGAAACTTCCGTCAATGGGGTGCGATGGTGAATGGAATCGCTGGATGAAGTCACAGCTCTGGGGAACGCTATCTACTATTTGATTGCATATGAAGTACAGAGCTACGATCGTTAATACCTTTGCTGGAGGTTGCTGCGGCGGGAGGTGCAGACGTAGCGTCAACTTCTCTCTCCCTTTGCGTTGCAGAAGGACGTCGACGCACAATTGATGACTTTGACGATGAAGACAGCGAAATCGACGGTCGACTGAACAAATCAACGTCCGAAGGGCGAGAGTAGATGGGTATGGGCAAGGTCTCCTTCTGTCGTAATCCCGTGATTGACGGTACCGGCACATGGATCGTGTAAAGGGCGTCAGAGTTCAACTGGTCACGCAGTGCCACCGATGGCACAAAAGGACTTCGACGTGACAGAGGCGATGGCGTAGGCGCGTGAATAGTAAACAAGGACTCATTCTCGTCCGTAATAGTTCGTGATACTGTCCAGGTAGAGGGCGGCACTTTAGACCGGTTCATTTGGCGTGGTCCTGTTGGTCGAGAAGTGGAGCTCGCCGACGTCGACATTTGAGAGTGAACAGACGACGTTATGGCACGGTGGTCTTGCCGACTCGCTCGGTAGTGCACACTGCACTTGTGACACACGAGGATTGGGACGCGCCCAACAATTGAGGCTTCGACGTTCGAGGCAACGTCGATCTCGACATTGTGTGAGCAGTTGGAACAGGTCGCATGGCCACACAGCCGACAGTGGTGGCGGCGACGGTAGAGTCGGAAAACCTTGAAACACATGTGGCAGTATTCGTTGTACGACCATAGTTGCGTGGGGATGACAAGATACAAGTCGCGGCGAAAGTAACGGGGAAAGCCACCGACCAGCTCATAGAGCCACGGACGAGAGAGCCCGTGCTCGTTGAATCGCAAGATGAACGACACTTCGCAATAGTTGGCCAAGTCGACGCACTTTTCGACGACGAACCCGCTGCGGTGGATGTGCAGGCGAGAGCAACCAGTTGTGGTGGTGGCATCGTGAAACGGTGGCATCATTCGGGTGTCGATCGATTCCCACACGTGGGTTCCGGCATCTTGCGCTCTTTGGCTGCCATCGTGAGGAGTCCATGGTCGCCATTCCGAGTGATCCCACACATATTGTTGGGTGTACGATGCAATCACCATGTCGAACGGAGTGGAGTGAACGCCATCTCCACGAAGAGCCAACCAGTGCACTTGGAATCCGTTTGCGTCGACAGAGGCTCCTTCTTGGGGGAAGTTGATGCTATGACTAAACGTGCGCAAGAATAGCTTGTAAAAGCTGCGCCGGCATTCGTGGGACGACGCCGCTTGGAATTGCAGCTGGCCCAGCAGGTCGGAGACGGTACCCTGAAGCACTGTTGTGCCTTTCACGACGTACTGGTCCCGGCCCGTGATACCATCGTAGATTCGAACGCCATTCGGGCCAATCGTGACAAGGTTGAGATCAGGCAATGGGTCGTGGACCAAATCGAGGCCACTCTTCCAGGTGAGGGCAACAAGGTTCTTCTGAGCTATAGCCGATATCGGACTTGCAGCGGCGAATCTGTTGATGCGTTTGGCATACTCTGATTGAGGATGCGGAATGCCTCGAGGCGCCTTGCTGCACATCGTCGCAAACTGGGATTTGATTTGGTTTGAATTGTCCACAAGACGAGTGTTAACATTTCTCACCGTTCAAAAGCTGAACTCGACATCAGGGGAGGCATACCAAGGAATTTTGGGTGACATATTTCGTTCAGGACTGTCGCGTTTGCGATGAAATTTGCTTTGAACAGGCGTCGGTGCGACGACATCTGTCGCACGTCGGTCTACACTGGACGACTGCTGCGCTCTGGCGATGGAAGCTCCATGGAGAAGGCAGCGGAGCTCGCGGTTATGTCGTTTTGACGACTTCACATTGCAAGCGTTCACTGATCTGGCAGATCTATGCGTCGTGTAGTCAGGTCAGCTTGTGGAGCTTCAGTCGCCCTCATCTGGTCACTCGGTGGTGGACAACGGCGCATTTTGCGTTCATCCTTTCCTCGAGAAGTCTCAACAAAACCATGGCGAAAGAGGACGACCTTTACGACTCTTTGCAGGCCCAAGCTCGCTCTTGCCAAGACCGCGTGATCTTGTGAATGAATAATGTAGTCGTCCATCGACATACCGCCACGTGTACATGCGACCGCAGTCACTTGGTGACTTGATTGATACACTTGAGTTACTTCGAAGTTAGCGCGAGATCGGAACGCAACCCCTCGTCCAACGCAAAACGTTCACATGGCCATGAAGCAATCCTGGCAAGATTTATTGCAGGTGCACCTGGATATAGTCGTCCTCGTTCCACTCCCTTTCATTGCCGTGTTGTGGCAGGGCGCATCCACGAGCACAATTTTATTCGTCGGGTCAGCAGCTCCGCCTCATCTCTGTTGCGAGTGGTTTCACTCGATGCTCTGGGCATACCCATTGATTTACTGCCAATTGCTAAATCAGATTACTAGACACACCACGAAAACGTAGTAGCATATTGTTTGATTTAACAGATCTAGTACAATTGGGTATTGTCATAGTACTACTAGTTTGACATAACCCGCGGGATCATGAAATGCGACCAATCAAACGGTATCGTCACATTGAATTTTCCTGAAATTCCATTCTGATTGGTGGATTCGAGGAGCCTAGGCCCTAAACAAGTATAGCTGCGCTTTGGCTGACGGTGATTGGGCATTCGTAAGTAGACGTTTAACGGAATTGCATATTGCAAACAGGCACTAAATCGATTCTTGGATGGGTCGAGCCGTGCAGTTTCTGCAACAACGCAGCTCGTCGAGCCGTGCCAATTCTGCAAAATCCGCAACTCGTCGGCAGCTGCAGGGTCGTGAGCTGTCCAGTCCATGAAGGCACTCACTGTGGACGGAAACACGCAGGAGCGAAGGGAAGATGAAGCAGAATACACGCTCATGTCGTCGCCAATGAAATCCCGGTGGAAGAAAGGCATGCTCTCCGCAGAAGATCAAGTCGCGACTAATGGCGACGACGACCTAGAGCCTTACCGGTTTGTGTACTTGAACAACCCGATCGAGAACGCCAAGCTCCGCTACATCGGGAACACCATCATAACGTCCCGGTACACGATGTTTTCGTTTTTGCCGAAGGTCCTTTTGTACCAGTTCAGCAAGTTGGCGAATGCGTACTTCCTCATCATCTCAATCATGCAATGCATCAAGCGTATCTCGACCACGGATGGGTTTCCCGCGTCATTACCAGCATTGAGTATCATCGTCCTCATCGACATGATCTTTATTGCGATGGAAGATTTCCGACGACACAAGTCCGACAATCTCACTAACGACATCCCCGTTCATCGCTTCGACTCCGAGAAGATGGTGTTTGAGCAGCGGCCATCGCGCTCGTTGGTAGTTGGCGACATGATCAAGGTGCGACGTTGCCTTTGGAGTGCCTCGTGTGCTTACACATGACGACAGATCTTCAACCGCGAAGTCATTCCTGCCGACTGTGTAATCTTGGGAGCATTTGAGCAAAACCCAGACCAACCGAGTGGAATTTGCTACGTCGAAACAAAGAGCTTGGACGGCGAAACCAATTTAAAGCTGCGACAGGGTGTCGAGTGCGTGTACACGAAGATTCGGTCGGACGCGGACCTTGCCCGATTGCAGGGGCATGTGGTTCGCAACATTTCCCTTGCGAAAACCAGCCCGCTCAATCGTTTGTCCTTGTAGGAATGCGAGGCCCCCAACAACTCAATTCACCGTTTTAATGGCACCTTCAACCTCACAAATTCCAGGACGCAGGAATGCATTACAGCCAACTCGATGTTGCTACGAGGATGTACCCTTCGCAATACCGAATACGTGTACGGGCTCGTCGTCAACACTGGCCGCGACACCAAGATCATGATGGCATCTCTGGTACGCCATTTGCGTGTGAACGATTGTTCTTGATGGCAATCTTGCTGGCAGAACAAGGACACAGTCAAGTGGAGCAACATGGAGTTGCGACTGAACAAGCAAATTATGTACATCGTTGCGTTGATGGTGATTCTGTGCGTAACAGGAGCGTCCCTTGGAACCAAGTGGAACTTGACGAATCTGTCGCTCAAACCCCACGAGAAGGCATGGTACGAAGTGGCATGTCAGCTGTGCATGTAAATCCTCAGCACGCCGGATCGCGTAGGTACCTATATCGATCGCCGAGGGACCGCATGTTGACGTCTCCGACCGAGAACTTTGTCATGTTGTGTCTGTACTACTTTTTGCTCCTCAATTCGTTCATCCCGGTGTCGCTCTACGTCAGTATGACGAGTGTCAAGTTTATTCAAGCGTACTTTATGAACGCCGACGTGAAAATGTACCACGCAGAGAGCAACACGCCGTGCCAAGTGCGAACGATGTCTCTGAACGAAGAACTCGGCCAGATCAACTACGTCTTTAGTGACAAAACTGGAACGCTTACGTGCAATGTGATGGAGTTTCGTAAGTGCTCGATTCAAGGAGTTGCGTATGGCTTGGGCGACACAGAAGTCGGAGTCGCGGCCAAATTGCGCCAGAACATCCACCACCAGGCCACGCATTTGTCCCAGACCCGGCCCGTGGTTGCTCCGTTTGTCAATTTTCAAGACGACTCGATTTTTGAATCGACGTCTCCGTCGTTGCCACTCTTTTGGGAACACTTGGCGGTATGCCATACCGTGATGCCTGAATGTGCAAGCGATGGGTCGCTGCGCTTGTCGGCATCATCGCCAGATGAACAAGCCCTTGTCGCGGCGGCTGCTAGTTTCGGATATTCGTTTTATGCCCGGACGCCTGGCGAAGCCCTCGTGAAAACCCCGTTTGCAAACGCATCGTACAAGATCTTGGACGTGCTGGAATTCAACAGCACCCGAAAACGCATGTCTGTTGTGGTCGAAAAGCCGGACGGCGCGCTCGCGTTGCTTTGCAAGGGCGCGGATACCGTCATTTACGAGCGGTTGGCGGTACGTAGTCGAGTTGGAATCTTGGAGACGTCACGTGCAGCCAACGTAGCAAACGACGGACCCAGCAACGTTGAAAGTGCGCAACACGACCTTGGAACACATGGAAACGTTTGCGTCGGAGGGATTGCGTACGCTTGTCATTGCGCACACGGCTGTGGATCGATCCAAGTACACGAAATGGTATCGAGTTCTTTGACTTGTATCCGTTGGAGATGACGTCGTCGCGATCAGGTCGGCCGAGTACAAGAAAGCGTCCAACAACATGGCGGAAATTGAAAAGCGCCGCAACGGCGAACCGAATCAAATCGACACGTTGATGGAAGCGTTGGAAACGAATCTCGAAGTGCTCGGAGCGACCGCAATCGAAGACAAGCTGCAGGCTGGTGTGCCGGACGCCATTGCCAAGCTGCGCGATGCCTCGATCAAGGTGTGGATGCTGACGGGGGACAAAGAAGAAACCGCGATCAACATCGGATTTGCCTGCCAGCTTCTGCATTTGGACATGGATTTGATCGTGATATCCGGCAACAACCACAGCGACATTGACGAGATCGTTGCGTCATTGGAGAAGTACCAGGACATCCCGACCATGGAGTTACACGACAAACCGCCTCGCGACAAGGCGCTCGTGGTCGACGGCGAAACCCTCGAACTCGCTTTGCTCCACTGCCCGTCCTTGTTGCTGAATGTTGCAGAGCAATGCGCCGCTGTGATCGCGTGCCGAGTGTCCCCTGCGCAAAAAGCAGAAATGGTGACACTCGTCAAGGACAACGTGAAGGGGTCGATCACCCTTGCCATCGGCGACGGAGCGAACGACGTGTCCATGATCCAGGCGGCTCATGTCGGCATCGGTATCTCTGGGCAAGAAGGGATGCAAGCGGCCAACTCGAGCGACTACTCGATCGCCCAGTTTAGGTATTTGATCCGGCTGCTGTTTGTGCATGGCCGGTGGAACTATGTGCGAATGTCGACGCTAATCCTGTACACGTTTTACAAGAACGTCATGATGAACATGACCCAGTACGCATTCATGGCGTTCTCTGCGTTCTCGGGGCAAAAGTTTTTCCTCGAGTGGGGGCTACAGGGATTCAACTTGATCTTCACGGCGCTGCCAATCGTGCTCGTGGGTGCGCTAGATCAAGACGTCCCCGACTACCTCTGCGAAGCGTTCCCGAAACTCTACAGCGTCGGCCAGCTCAATCGAAAGTTCAACGGGATCGTGGTCGCCCGATGGATCATGTCGTGCGTATGGGAGTCAGGCGTCATTTGTCTCTTTACCATCTACGGCCTCAAACTCGACAACACGTCGGTCCCCATGTGGACGTTCGGGTCGTGTGCGTTCACGTGCGTGATTTTCGTCGTCAACTTGAAGCTCATGCTGAACCAGCACCTGCACACGGCATGGCACATTGTTGTGTACGTTGTCTCGATCGGGCTGTGGTGGGTCATGGCGCATGTTGTGTCTTCTTCCACGTTCAGCTTCTTCTGGCGCAACGCCTTCTCGCTCATCAAGGGCCATGGGTTCTGGACGCTCCTGCCCCTCGTCCTTGTCACGGCTCTCGCCCGGGACGTGTACTGGAAGGGATTTCTGCGCAACTTTTACCCGTCGTATACAAACCTGGCGCAAGAAGTGCACTGCTTCAAGTGGCAAGACCGCGCGTCGTATTTGCTGCAGTACCCACCCCCTGAGGACTTCGCCACGGACGTTGAAAGTCCCCAAGTTGTTGCGGGTCCCAAGGCTGCGTCGTTTTCCCATCAACACAGTGGCCCGTTCTCGCCTCGGGACACGTCCCTCCACCATCGCATGAGTGTCCGCGGCGTTGCCTTCAGTTACGATGCGGAGACCGTCATGGCGCAGTCGTTCCTTGCAACGCAGCACCCTGAAGTTCCGCCTGGTCCGGGGGTCCAAGTGAGTTTAAAGCGCCATGCCAGCATCGGGTCCCTGGCGTTTCAACAAGATCACCATCCTGGAGTGCCACTCCAGCCGTCGCATGCTTCGGCGGGAGCATCGTCAAGACACACGTCGAGTGTGAGCATTCGCAACCTCTTAAGCCAGTGGGGAACCGGCAGCGTTGGCGCTGGTCAAGGCAACCGTCCAAGTGTTCGAAACAACCGATTGCGGCGAGCTGCGAGCATGGGCGAAGGGTGCTCGGAGGAAGTTCATCCAGTGATCGGTGACGAGCGGCAGAGCGACCTCACGCACTTTGTGCGCCGGAGACTGAACTCGGTGGAACGCCGGCCGAGTACGCACGTCGCGTCCATTCGGCGTCGGTCGACCACCATGTTGTAGCGTCGGGCAAGCTAATGGCATAGTGTTTACATTCGAATTACTTATCGGCGTGGATATCTAAAGACAGTTGATATACTTTCTGGGCACGTCGAGCTCGCAGCAACGACACGGTGCTCCCGACGAATGCGACGAGATACAGGAATGCAGCGAGGAAGATGTTGGCTGCAAGGGATGACTTGGCGTGGCCTTCCTTCGGTTTGACGCGAATGTAAATCGAGTTGGACGCGACAGTCGACCCCAAGAAGAGCAGGAAGAAGAAGCCAAATATACTGATGATCGCACAGATAATCGCACATGGATGGGGCGTTGGTCCTTTGGACGAATTCGACGACACCAAGTCTTCCCAGCCTTTCAGCTCGTCCGTGTCCAAGCTTGTGTCGCTGCATGGAGACGAGTCCTGTGACAGGTGGTTGAGTTGAGCATACCCAAGCCGTGTCCGCGCAGTGTGGACTGCGTCCGGGATGTCAAACTCTTTTACAGCTTCCTTGAGTTTCATCATATCCGGGCGTTGAGGTCTGGGCTGAGTCAACGCGTTTTCCGGCAGCGTATCGAGGGGTAGTTCCAGCCGTCGTCCACACGGTTGATCGCTTATCCTGGCTGGCTGGGGCAAATCTTCCTCTCGAGGAAGCGTAACTTCGATGAAACTTGCGCGGCGCCGAGCAAACCGTCGAAAATGGAGAATTCACGCACAAACCCGTCGCAATCAACTGAACGTTTAGTGAACGCCGGATAAAACGCGCTATTCTCTAAAAAACGCTCGTTTCCAGACCAGAGTGAACCAATCGCATTGCAACACCGCAACAAGGTTCAGAGTCCGACTCCTGGATATCCCAACCAGAATGTGTGCTTTGGACACAGCAATCCTGAGCTTGTCGACATCGTCGAGGGTGACAAAACCATCGAAACATGCGATGGATGGCCTAGCCCGTCGGAATGGAATGTGTGCCCAAAAGCGAGACGGTGAAAGTGGTCTCCTGCTCAACACTCCTGTCCTTACCTCGCAATAAACGTGTTTGGAGGCCTCTGCCACGTTACCGGATAAGTGTCTGATATCATGAAAGAAACGCCGACGTGGACGCGTGAGGATGCGGATGCCGGCGCTGGGATATGGAGCAGGTTCAAGCACATGCATGCACATGAAGGTCATTAGAGTAGCAACGTCAGCGCAGGCTAATTATACATGCATGCATATTGCCCCATGCCCTGGTTCAGTGTTTGATGCACAGTGTGACAATTGCATCACACGTGACAACGAGCCGCTGACGCACCACGATGGAAGGCGCACCAAGCTGGCTCTGCATAACATCCTTCCTCGACCCTTCGTCGCTCTTAGCTTGGATTGGAACATGTCGTTCGCATCGCACGTGGTACGTAGCTCAAGCGAAGCAATGGCGGGACTTGCAAGCGGGGATAGCGCTATCAAGGTACATCTGCCGCCACGTATACGTTCAAGCGCAGGTGCATGCACAGGAAGCGCAATCACAATCAATCCCTCGAAGCGATGATCCTCGAGTCCCCCCGCGTGTGGAAACCGTGTGGATTGAACATGGTGCGGTTGCATCCGAGACTATGACGCTGCCACCAGTACAGACGGACGTGGTGCACCTTCCACAGCGGCACATCGTATCCTTGCGCGTCGACTGTCAGTCCATGGCTCCTCCTCCAATGCTCGTTCACACGACGCATGGATCCCAGAGTCTTTACAGCGTCATTCGCGTGTTGATGGCTTCGCCGTCCGCGGCGGATGGCGTCCGCGAGTTGCGACGCTATGTGTATCACAAACGAGTCGGCGATATGGCGGTCGTTGACGTCCCAAACAAGCGCACGTGGTCGGAGCGAGGGTACGAGCCAAGTTCTCATGAGGCATGCATCATGCTGACGCTCACCAGGGGCAGCCCGTTTCGTTACGACGTCGTGGCTAGCGACGGGTCTTGCCAAATGGAGCTCAGCGTCCCTTCGCACGTGGACGCCATGGTGGACTGCTACCACGTTCAGCGCGTGGGTGTGTTCTTGCACAAGTCCCAACTCTTTCCATGGCCCGAGCGCGCTTTGACGAGCCCCCGTCCACTCGTTCATATTCACGTACGATGCCAAATTTCGCCCCATTTCCATCTCAAGAGTCTGCGAACCAGCTCACTTTCTTTAACTTGGCCGCCGATCGCGTCGTGTGCCGATTGCACGGCACCGGGCTGCTGGTTGAGGAAGAAGCCTCCGTGCCGCCTTCGACGGTGGTACTATTGATCGGATTTCGCATGAAATGACAAGCAGCTCCCTGCCCGTAGGTAGTACGTCCATCGACTGCCCACACGGCGATCGAGATGCTTCAAGTGTTCACGGCCAGTGTTGATGCTGTCTCCTTGGCATCCACCCCATCCGACCTCCGAAGTGCACTGGCGCGTCCGGGAGTGGTGTGCCTCCATGCATGTGCCCCCCGCACCCCTCGAATCATGCACACCGTTGCGCTGCATGGAGGAACAGCATCCCTGACGTCCAAGTCAAGTCTAGTCGTGCCTTGGGTTCCGGGGGTGCTGGAGTATGCATTGACGCCCCAGACGGCGACTCGGCGGGCGTTGAAAGGCGCGCTCACTCTGACCTTCCACCCGACGAACGGTACCAGATTGAGGCTTTACGTTGGCCATGTCACAGCGTCCATGGGGATGCGTGTGGGTCCCTAGGTACCGCCATGGACGTCCGCGTGTCATTTCGATATTTGGAACCGAGTCGAAGGCAAAGAATTGCCGTGGGCTGGCGCAGCGCGTCGGGGCTGGCGTGACAAGCGAGTTCCGCCCCGACGACGAGGACAGCAGAAGCCTCTCGAAGACGCAAGCACGATGCAAGTCGATTCGGGTTTGTCTTTGTTGGATTCGTTCGGAGGACTGGCTACAGTTTGTGCTTGTTGATGCCGAGAAGGCACGTGCCTTTGGTAAACTTTTGCTTGGGAACGTTGGACGGCTTGAACGGCTTTCGCTCGCGAATCGACTCGGGCAAGTCCTGTGTTGCAATCTCAACGGGGTTGCGCCGGTTTGGCAGCATCGCTCGGTTCACGACGCGCTCGTCGTACGGATCGGGGAGGCGCTCGGGGAATTTCACAAACGTCCTGTAGCAACGTCAGTCTCCTCATCTTCGGCCCCGAGAACAGATTCCCACCCGGACTCGCCCTCCTTGCCCGCATGGGTGGGCTTCCACGACTTGTACGTCGCCGCGTGGGCCACCGCGCGCTCTTTCGGATTCATCATTTCCTCCCGTTCGGGAGGCTTCTTCTTGCAGTCTTCGTCCCACTCGTACACACGAGATGCCGCGACGTGGTCGTTCGTGTCGAAGAAGTCGAGCGAGTGCGAAATCGACTTGAACGCTTTGCGGTCGCCGAGCTTCTCCTTGTGATACTGCATGTCTTTCTACGTCCAACATCTCATGACGTCCACGGCATTTTCCCCCGACATCGACGTACCTTGGCGGCGTTGTGGACAGAGTAAAACTCCGCCGGCATGGCCGGGATCGGCTTGCCGCCGATGAGCGTCCCCGTGTACCCCAAAGTCCCTTTCTTGGACGGCGACGTCAGGATATTGCGTTTCTGCAGCAACCCCCAAGTCATTTCGTTGGACATATGGGGCGATACGGGATATCGTACTTCAAACTGGCGCTCCTTGGGGTTTATCCTGGTTTCTGGCGCCGTCGGCGGTGGCGGCTTGGCATCGTCGTCCTTTCGGTCGTGGAACGTCCCAAAGTAGTCGCCTTTGCCACAACTGCAGCGCACGACAAGGATCAGTGGAGCGCCTGCCCTCCTCCATGGTTTTCCTTACCTCTTTTTCGTATGCGACGAGTACACAAACCCATTGGGCTTGACATTCTTCTTGGTGTTTTCCAACCGATACTGCGCCTCTTGTTTGTACGCTTCTTGGTACGATCCCTACGGCGCCGCATATCTCACGAAGGTCCCCCCGGATCGACTGCTGCCCGTACCGATAACCCGACAAACTTGCGCGGCCCCGGGCCCCAGTTCGACCCCGTCTGGCCATGTTTCGGCCCCGTCGTCAGAAACTGCTTGGTGTTTGGGATGTGGTGGACCCTGGCCTCCCTTGCACTCTGGTACGGGTCGCCGACACTTATGTAGGACGGCTCCCCAAAGCTCCCATCCATTCGCATCGCCATAGTCGCAATCGAGCCCTACCTTGGCAATGTCGATCTCAACGCCAATTCGCAATCTATTTTCATCCCAACCGCGTTACATTTATCAACTAAAGTTAACTCGAGCTACGGTCGCTCTCCACCCTTCACGACGTCTCGCAAAGCTGCGACGACATGGCAACTTCGAACGCGGCGACCGCAATCGGATTCTCCTCCGTGATGTCGACTCTGTTGTGCTTGATCACTTGCGCAAACCACTTGGCCGACGCCTTCGGCACGCGCTCCATCGTCGTGTAGTCGACCCAGTGCAGTCCAAACCGCTTGGCGTACCCAAACGCCCACTCGTAGTTGTCCACAAACGACCATGCAAAGTACCCGCGCACGTCGACGCCGTGCTCCGTGATGGCCTTGTGCATCTCGGCAATGTACGCTTCGTAAAACTTGACGCGGAACGTGTCGTGTTCAGCAGCATGGCGGTCCACGTCCGCGACGGCGCACCCGTTTTCCGTCACAACAATGCCTCCCTTGGGTGCGTACCGCGCTTGAATCCACATCTACCAGGTCCCAATTAAGACAACCGATCCCGAAGTCGAGACGCTACCAAGAGCTTTCGGAAGCCCCATGGGACAGCATTCCAACCCATGTCCGTCTTGAGCCACTTGTCGTTCGAAGTCACGTCGACGCCAGAGTCCTCCCAAATAACGCCATCCAACCCCGGCACGATCTTGTTTCGAAACGCTTTCGACGGCGCGGCATACCCCGTGCCGTAATGGTTGAGCCCGAAAAAGTCACTGCTACCTACAATGCTGTTACGTTATCCGCGTGCTCGTGTGCGCCGGTCGACGTACCTCGAAGTAACTTGGACTCGTCGGCGGTGAACCGAGGCAGACGTGTTCCCAATTGCTTCTTCATCACATCTGGATAATCGCCGAAGTACACTGGATCGGCAAACCAGCCCAGTTCGACGAGAAGGGCCCGTTCAGCTGCTTCTTGGTTCTGCTTGAACTTCGCAGGGTCCGACGACGGCTTGGGCTCGCGGAAGTCGCAGTTGAGCGTGATCCCGATGACGCCACCCTGAGACGATTGAAACGCAGTGCGGTACACTTGTACCGCGTGTGCATGAGCTAGCAGCAAGTTGTGCGCTAGATACGAGACATGGTCAGCTGCGTCACTACTCATGTTCTCAACATACCTGCCAGATACGTCTCCGTTTTGCACTTGTGCTTCCGCCCCGGCGCCATTTCACCCGTGCCATGGCCCAACAGCGCCGAACACCATGGCTCATTGAGCGTCAACCAGCTCTTCACGCGATCGCCGAATCTGGCAAAACACAGTCTCGCGTACGTGGCAAACGCATCGACCACGATCTTTCCGCCCAGCCATCCGTCGTACTCGGTCTGCAGCGCCAGCGGCAAGTCCCAGTGATACAACGTTACGATGGGTTCAATGTCATGCGCAAGTAGCTCGTCAATCAGCGCGTTGTAAAATGCAATTCCATCTTCGTTCACGTGATCGGCAAACCCCGTTGGCAAGATGCGAGGCCACGAGATGGAGAAGCGATAGTGCTTGAGGCCCATGTTCGCCATCAACTGAACGTCGTGCTTGAACAAGTGGAAGTGGTCCACAGCCTTGTCGCCCGTGTCGCCGTTGACTACCTTGCCAGGGGTCTTGCTGAATGCGTCCCAGATGCTCATGCCGCGACCGCCTTCGTTCCACCCGCCTTCAATCTGGTAGGCGGCAGTGGCCGTGCCCCACATGAAGCCATCGGGGAATTTCAAGGTAGTCGGAATTGCTTCGCATGTCGAGCTCATGTTGTCCAAAATGATCGAATTCCAAAATGGCCCGTCACGATGGTCATGGTCGTTGCGGTCTTGATAATAAAATACAACTTGAATCCAATACAAACCTCCAATTTAATGTCAAGCATTGCAATCGAACGCCAATCCTGTCCAACGTTCGCCTCCGAATTCGGCGACGGAAGGCGCAAGGGTGCTTGCTGGTTTGTCCTTCGCCAAACTCCAATTCCAGGCTACCAACCTTAACGGCGCCCTCTCGGGCCCGTTGGGTGGCGCCTACTTTTCTGGAGCAACTGCCCTGACAGTACCGTTGCGAAATGGGATGTCCGCATCGCCTTCGCATTGCACGTAGTTATTTGGCATCACGGCCATCCACATCTCCATCCTTTGGCTCGTTCGTGGCAACTGCGATATGGTCATCCTTCCCCGTCCTCACCTTTGACCTTTCCAAGTGTTTCGCTCTTGCATGAATCGGAAAATGCACATTCAACCGTCCTAATCAACCACGCATGCCGTACGCATCGAACCTTCCATCACGCGACGATACAGCCCATTGGCGAGTATGGGCATGCGATGTGGCCCACTGCACGGGCCCATCCTTCATCGTCATGGAGAGCTTTATACTTGTTGTCCACGGCCGCCGATCCCTCTACATTCACAACAACGCAATTGCCTCGTTCAAATGTCGCCCATCCTCTAACGGACGCCCCTCCTCGTTCGGCATTCTGCGAATCTCAAGGTGGGCGACAATCCAGCGATGGCGCTGCGCAAGAAGAAGTTCCTTGTGTCGGCGTCCGGCGACGAGATCTGCCGTGCGCTGGTCCTGCCCGAAGCGTACCTTGCCGACCCAAACGATGTCGATGACCTGGACCCGGACGTGCACCCGATTGAGCTTATCCAAACCCACATGTCGATGGTGTTTCTTCGGCGGGACGTCGTATACAAGGTGAAGAAGAACGTGGACTTTGGGTTTGCTGACTTTAGCTCGGTCCAAAAGCGCATGCAAGCATGCCTCGCCGAGACGCAACTGAACCAACGCCTCGCCCCCCATGTGTATCTCGGCGTTGTGCCGATCTACAAGAAAGACACTACCCTAGTCATCAGCACCTACGACGTGTGGACTGACAACCGCGACAAAGACGCCAGCTACTACGCAAACGACAATCTTGGTGAAATTGTCGACTGGGCGGTGAAGATGCGCCGGCTTCCCAACGACAACACATGTCTGCATCTCCTCACGACCGGTCGCCTCGATGCCACGCTACTGGGTCTCGTCGCCGCCAAAATTGCTGCGTTTCACACTACAGCGCGCAAGAACGCTACAATCGACGAGTTTGGGAAACCTGCACTCATCAAGCAAAACATAGACGAGAATTTTACGCAGACGGCATCCCATGTCGACGCCGGCCTTGTCGACAGCCATGTGTACAACCGCGTGAAGATGTTGTCGGAGCGGTGGTTTGCCGATCTTTTGGACATCTTTGAACATCGAATCCAGCACAAGTACATCTCCGATACCCACGGAGATCTGCGCTTGGAACACGTGTACTTTCTTCCAAAAGCAGCCAGTATGACGTTTGTCCTCGATTGAACCTGATGGATTCTGTCCATAGATGTGCCCGGCACGCAGCCGTCGATCGCAAGCTACACGCTAACTGGGGAGATTTCCGCCGCCACGACCGATGTGGTGGTCTTGGACTGCATCGAGTTCAACGAGCGCTTCCGGTATTCCGACCCGTTGAGTGACGCGGCGTTCTTCGCGATGGACCTGTATCGTCTGGGTCGACACGACTTGGCCACGGCATTCAACGTGGCGTACTTGGAGAAGTCCAAGCAAACGTCCAAAGCGAACTCGGAACTCCTGCGATTTTACGCTGCCTACCGCTCTGTCGTCCGGGCGAAAGTGTCTGGATTTCAAGCACTGGATCCGCTCATCACAGACAAGACTCGCAGCTTCGCTCGTTCAAAATGCCACTGGCTCGTGGCGTACACTTTGCTCGCGCCGCCATCCGACCGACCGTGCCTAGTGCTTGTGACGGGGCTGCCAGGCACGGGCAAATCGACTGTTGCTCAAGGCCTCGTCGACTCGGACGAGCGGTGGGTATGGGTGCGCAGTGACGTCATTCGCAAGGAGCTGGCCGGCGTCAATCCCCAGGAACGCACACCGGATGAGATCATGGGTGACTTGTACTCGACGGCCTTTACGCAAAAGACGTACATGGAATGCTGGGCACAAGCCCAGGAAGCTCTACAACGTGGACGGCGGGTGTTGGTTGACGCAACATTTCGAGAGCAAGCATTTCGTCGATTGTTTCTCGAGGGTGCCAAGAAAGAAGGCGCCATGGCAGCGGTGATCGTATGCGAATGCAATCGAGAAATTGTCAAGGGCCGTATGACAAAGCGCGCCACAGAACCCGTCCAGATTTCAGATGCGACTTGGGACGTGTTTGAAAAGGTTGAGCAGTCGTGGGCAACGTTCGAATCCGCATCCGGCTTGTACGCCGTGACGGAGCAAGAAGTGTTTGTCGTCAACACGGAGAAGCACTTGGACTTGGCGCTCACGCGGGTCCACGGCTTTCTCCGCAAGCTTGGCGTGGAATAAGTGTGATGAACACCAGAATGAGATTCGAGTTGTAGCGTCCCAAGGATTTTCCATGGAAGTTTATGGCCAGCCAGCCATTGGGTGCTCACAATTTCTTCCAGCGCAAAAGGTATTTTTTACATATACATACTGTAAGTATAGAAATCGCGGTGCAAAGAATCGGAAGTTTTGGGATGAAAAAAAGTTTGCGTCCAGAATTATTTCCTGAGCTTGTTTTGCACCTCAACAACTTCCTCCATTGCAGAGTACAGTGTATATACTGCACGGTAAATCGTAACGTCAAGGTCCATACGCAGGCGGGCAAGACGAGTGCACCTCTAGAGCACGACAACGTGATTCCAGCGTGTGCAGGATGCTAATGGAGACGCGGGCTACGACTGCGCATGCATGCGGTAGATGCATGCATGGACGCATGTGATATGCGTAGGTGGGTGGTGGAGGTGGCAGCGAGCCCGTCCAGCAAGTACACCAAAAACGTTGAACCTCGACAACGTCAATCGTTCCATACTTTGTTCAAAATAGAGCAGTTATAGAAACGTTTCGAACATTATGTCGGCGGATTTCACTGGCCGTCGCAAGCATTCATCGATTTCCACGATCGACGATGGTTGCCGCCGTGACCGCGTACTTGTGCTTGATAATCACGCTGCTGGCCGTCGCCACTTATGCGTTCTACATCACGTACCTCACGCCCGTGAAGAGCATCAACGCGTACATCAGGTGAGCAACAAACTCGTGGAACGAATCTCGCTCATCTTACCGATCCGTGGTATAGTGCGAAGAAGACGCAGACTCCGTGGGCGTTGGGATGGTGCATGTTTGCCTCTGGCGTCGGCTCGTGGGCTTTGTATGCGTTCCCTGACACGGCCGTCCAAGTCGGGTCGTGGGGTATCATTGGGTACTGGCTGTCAATTGTGTTGGGATATGCAGTCTTGGCTGTAAGTTCACCCTATGTCATCGCCGTCCGTGCTCCAAAGGATTCACAAGAGCTGCTTAGTTTGCTGGACCAGCCATCGCTGAAGAATTGGGTGATGGGGTGACGTTGAGCGACTACGCGGGCAACGTACGTCGTCCGCTTTCTCTATTGACACTTATTCGCTTCGATGTGGGGTAGCGCTTCGGATCGGCCCAAAAGTTCTACGTGTTGCTCATCGCTTTGTTCTACCAATTGATTTCGATCGCAGCCGAATTGACTGCGATCGGGTCCCTCATGGTACTACTTGCCCCCGACGTCAGCAAGACGTGGGCTATCATCCTCGTGTCTGTCATCACTTGCGCGTACACCCTCTTCGGTACATGATCACTCCAAGTGTAGCCATCGGCTGACGAGGAGTGCTACAGGTGGGATCAAGGCGAGCATTGCGACGGATGCCGTCAAAGGTGGATTTGTGTTGCTTTTGGTCGTGATCATCTGCATTGCCGCGTTCTCGTACACGACCTTGCCCGCAAATGCGTTTGAGTCGACGGGTATTGCGTCGTTCACGACCATTGGCTTCGAGGCCGTGTTCACGCTTACGATTGCGGTTGTGTCGTCCAACTTGTTCCTGACGGGATTCTGGCTGCGCACGTTTGCCGCCAAGAACGACGCAGACTTACGCAAAGCCTGCGCCTACGCCGCCTTGGCTTCGACGCCGTTCATTGTGCTGTTGGGCGTGGTCGGTTTCATGGGCTACATCATGCACCCTGAAGCACCGGTGTTTGATGGCGGGTTCTTCTTCTACATTTTGCTCGACATGCCGGAAGGATGGAGCATCTTGGTCCTTATCGTGGTCGCGGCGCTGGTGAGCTCGACGGCCGACACGATTCAAACCGGGATGAGTGCCGAAATTCTGTCGAATTTCCAGGACCGTCTCTCGCTCCCATTCGCTCGCGTCATCTCGAGTACGTGCGCTTCATGTTGACCGAATTCTTTGATGTGGAGTAAGTGTAGTCATTATCAACATCCCGGCCATCTTCATTGCCCTCACCGACACGAGCGTGCTCAAGCTGTTTTTGATTGCCGACTTGTTGTGCGCGGCGACCGTCGGCCCCATTTTCCTTGGCATCTGGAACCGAACGCACCCGACTGCTGTCCTCGCTGGGTGCGTCAGTGGCCTTCTCACGGTAACACGACACCACTTTGTGCATGCCGGCGCTTACCCACACCTCGTTTAGATTTTCTTTTCGGGTGTGTCTCGCAACGGCAAGTTTGTCGACGGCTTCAACGAGTTCGTCCTTGAGGAAGGACTGTTCACGACTCACAGCATGGTTCTGTTCATCCTGACGTTGGTCATTCCCGTCATCGTGACGGTCGGGTTGACGTTCATCCTGCCGCCGGCGCCCAAGCGCTCGGTCCCCAAGAACGGCAACAACGAGTTGCTCGTTGAAGCTCCCGTCAACCACTCCAGCGAACACCCGTACGAAGCTTCCAAGTCTCCGGCGGTCGTATAAGATGAAATTCAGAGTGTAACGAAATAAACACCATGTCATGGATGCACATTTTGAAAAATTGTCTACCGATGCAATTGTGGCCATTGCATCTTGTTTGCGGCCACGAACGACTCGAACGACAGCGGCGGGCGCCCGAGGATCGACTCCACAGTCGACGTCACTTCAGACTCGCCACCTGCCTCGTAGTACTTGGACTGGTTGATGATTTCGCGAATGTCGTCCGGGTTTTTACCTGGAGCTGCGTAAGATGCAAATAGAAACGAAAGGACAGTCTCACCTCGAATCCAAAGAGACGGCTGAACGACCCACAATGGGACCTTCGACAGGCGTACGGGGGAGTCCAAGTACTTCGAAAATGTTCTGACTACGTCGTCCCACGTGAGTGCTTCGGGTCCCGTGAGATGGACGGTCGACGAAGGACTTGCTGGCTTTGCCATGGTGTGGTTGACCACCTCCGCCACATCCAACGAATGCACAAATGCAATACACGCGTTGCTCATGGACACGGATAAGTTCCGACCGCATATGCTTTCACTCCATGAGCCAAAGAGCATGGATTGCATGAAGGTCGTCGGGCGGATGATCGTCAGCGGGAGTTTGGTCTCCTCAGCTTCCTTTTCCAGAGTTGCCCACGCCACACCGCTGGGAAGCAACGAAGCAGAGTGTGCTGCGTACGTAGAGATCAAAATGATGTGTTTTAGGTTGGCAAGTCTTGCCGCAGCGAGCAGACTCTGTGACTCGTTCCATTGATGTGGTTCAACGGCATCCGGAAGAAGCACAAGCCCTGTCGCCCTCGCCGATTTGAATTCTTTTGCAATATCCTCAGCATGTTGAGGTACCAGTGAGCCATATACCACCGAATCGAACGAAGAATTCAGGTCCGCTCCCAAGTTGAGGTTGAGTTGTCGAGTCAATGTATCTGCTTCGTCAGCTCGTCGTGACACGATTTGCCATGCATGAGGAGTCGATTGGCTATTGAGTCCAAGGAGTGTGCGCCCCAGGGAGCCAGCCAGGGACTTGGTGTTTTGCAGGGAAGTTCCGCTGATCAAGTAGCGCATGCTTCGTGCCGCGATGCTCGAGGTTCGTTCTGTGCTCCTTCCCACATCCTTATCCGGATTCCGGATATTCAACCCAGAGCAGTGGCAGTTACAAAGGCCTCCCGCCGCTGCTTTCGCCGTTGTATGCATGGACTTCAACACTAGCATCGACTACGAGAACGAGATCACGAAGTTAGACCCACACCTGTTCAGCCCAAGACGCCTCTCGAGCCGTATTCAGCCTGTGTACAACGGTCGGATCGTGGTCGTCCGCCTCATTGCGCACCAATGCGTCTATTTTGCCCTTGTGGTTCATCGCCTTCGATTGCTTGCCACAAGCCGAGTGGAAACGTCGACAAAAGTTGGCATCATCGGAGGTGGACGCGTTGGCATTGAAGTCGCACTGACGCTACTCGCGGCAAGCTAGCCTGCTAGCGACCTCGCTATCTCGTCTCGACAGCCCGATGAGCCTCGATGGATGTCTCGATTGGATAGTCAAGTCGCTCGGTACGCCGTTACCTCCACCGTCGTCGTCGTGAATGGTGCGCTAGGTACAACGACAATGCCAAACTTGCTGAAGAAAGCGACGTTGTCATTTTGGCAATGCCGCCGTCCCAGCTCGCATCAGTTTGCATCCAAATCAAGCATGCACTACACCTCGGCACCAAGGCGTTGGTAAGCATCTTGGCTGGGGTGGGCAGTGAACGGGTAAGGGAGGACATTAGCTTAAGCTAGCATGACTGAGTGTGTAGGTGAGAAAAGTGTGCGGGTCGCCCATCACGCTGCTAACTCGAGTGACACTCCCTCAAGCGTTTCGTATGGAAGAGTTGAGTCCGTCGGACGCCGCAGCTGCGCAGTTTGCATGTACGTCGTTGATTGCTGGCACCACAACAAACTCGCTCGATCTGTAGTGGACAATTCAGCGGGCCTGCATGGGCTCTGCTTGGAGTTCGAGAAGCTGGCCATGTCGATAGGCATAAATAAGCACGCCGCCCGGGAAACCGTTGTGGACCTTGTGTTGGGTCGGCACGGGCCCGAATCCCACGACACAAAACCCCTGGCACATTGGCATGGTAGCTGGGATACTATCCTGACGTCGGCCCAAGCCATTTTCAGCCAAGCGATCAATCAAGTCGACGTCCCCATCGTCGAGCCCAGTCCCTCAGCTGGGCACCGACGTCGATACCCCAGCTGTTGATATCAACGCCACGAACAGGCTCCACATAGAAATATATTTGGGACGAGAAACCTGGCCTTCGTTTGGGGGAGAGTCAAGTCCGGCCGAATGTGCACTGCACATATCCCCACCAACTCGTTTCCTCAACCATCGGATGCCAATCAATTATACCGACAAAGGTAAGTGCGACCCTCTCTACCGCTTCTGACACCGCAGACGGGCGACGCAAGTCAGAGGACGATGGGGTCGAAAAACCCTTTTTTTGTCGCGTCATTTCATACATTTCAGCAGTGGGTCGGCGAAGAAAAAAACATTGGCGACACCCCAAAACAAAAAATTCATCGTGCATCTTGCCTTCTCTGACTCTTCGTTCCCTTATTTCTAACGTCGTGGTGCCAGACAGGACGGCATGTCCGCATAACGGACGACAACTTCATATAAATCGTGATCAACTTCGTATCCGGACAGACCGCCGAGCGACCAAAGCACCTCGTCCAAGGCAATTGCCCATAGAGGGATTCCAACATGTGGACTTGAGTATGTAATGGCTGCACTCATTGGCCAGCTCATTCTGCATTCGGAGGGTCAAAGCAAACGTTCCATCGCTCTCTTCTTCTGTCCTTCCGCGCCATCCCGTCTTCTTCCATTTTCGTGTGTGAAGAACTCTCGGCGGCCTCAGAATCGGAACTGTTCCTGTAACCTCAAGACAACACATTCTCAACATGCAGAACAACGCGAATGCCCATGCGCCGGCCCGATTTGCCCGACGCCTCCGCGTTGTCACTGAGCCCCGCCGCAACAACAGCAACAAGATGCTGCGCACCCGCACCCTCAGCGAACTAGTCTTTATGTCACCACGCAATAGCCCGCGTGTCACGCCGCGCAACGCGCGCTTCGACATGGACATTGAAGTGAGCTCGTCGTTTGCCGAAGGCGATGGCACGGTTGACCTCCTCTCGTCCAACCTCATGTACACCGCTGCACCACCGGCCTCGTCCCCGGAGCAATCCTTGATCGTCGTTGAGGACAGCGAATCCCCCGACGAGATGTTTTCTGATCACCATGGTCAATCGTCGTTGCTGGAAGGTTTGGACGAACAAGTGTTCAGCGACCGCATGTCTGTCGACGACGAAGAGGAGGTTGAAGAGAATAACGTCGATGATGAAGCAAGTCCAGTCGTGGACATGCCGCTCCAGTCGGCCACTCTCGAGGACAACCAGGACGAGATTCGCCAAGGACGTCCGACTGGAGTGTCCGAGGTTGTGGACATGCTCTTTGAAATCCACACCGCACTCAAGTCTCGGCACATGGGCCAACGCACCGCCGCATCTGCTTTAGCCGCGTCCAACCTTGTGTCGTCCGTGGCGTTCCCTGCCAACCCGATGCCACGTGACGAGCAGCTCGAAGTGCTCGAGAACACCCGCAAGATGCTCGAGTGTGCCATCTGCCAGGAGATTTTCACTGGCGCGACCGAAGCAACGTGCTGCGGTCAAATCTTTTGCAAATTATGCATTGAGCGGTGGGTGAGCGAACGCAGCTCGTGCCCCATGTGCCGCGACGAACTCAACTTTGCACAACTGACGGCTTCTCGTCATTGCCAGCGCATGGCCAACGAAATGACGGTATCCTGTCCGTACTGTTCGGAATCGATGAAGAAGGCAGTGCTGGAAGACCACATGGATTGCTGTGCGGAAGCGCCACTGGAGCCTCCTCCGCCTGCGGATGTCGCCCTTCGCAGCCAACTGTTAGCCGCGGCTCGCCTGACGACGCAAATGATGACTCGGTTCCTTGTGTCCCCGGCGCCTCCCGAAGCCCTCATCACTCAGTGCTACATTCGCACTCGCGGAAGCGGCAATTACGAACTTTACACCCAAGACACAGACGTGCTTCTCTGCACCGCCGTGCGCCGGCGACAGCTCGACATGAGCGTGACCTTTTCGATCTACGCGTCAAGCGCCGCTGACGCCACGATTGGCCGCCTTGAGCGCAACTTTGTTGGGTCGCAGTACACCGTCTTCAACACGATCGACGAGCAAAACACCGAGTTTGGCGCCGTCCAGTACGCTGCCACGTTTGGCAAAACTCCTCGCCAGATGCGAGTGGCTCTCCCCACCGTCTCCCGTCGTGCGTTGACCGCTCCGTCGGACGAACTCAACAACTGGCAAGTTGACCAGTACGTGCCTTCGTCTCGCGACGACTCCATGCTTGCCCAGATTGATCGGCCTGACGGCCGCCGCGCCATCAACCTCATCAACAAGCCCCCTGTTTGGATCGAGTCCCTCGAAGCGTACTGCTTGGACTTTGGAGGACGCGTTGCTGCGGCATCGGTCAAAAACTTTTTGTTGTCTCACCCGGATGACATGGACAAGACCATGATGCTGTTTGGCCGCACATCCGACCGACAAGTGTACTCGATGGACTATCGCCACCCGTTCTCGCCCGTCCAGGCCTTTGCGATTGCCCTCAGCTCCATGGACTCGCATCTGGTGACGTTTGATTAAGTTAAGTTGCGTGAACGGTGGCAAGCTGCATTTCGATTTTGGTAGACGGGCGTTCGAGAAGTATTTTTATCTAACAAGTTGTATGTACACTAGTACCTTACGACGACGAGTCGTACTCTTCGTCTTCAGCACCATAGATATCCTCGTAAGTGAACCCCCGAGGCACACCGCGCCCAGCATCCGACTGCTCCATCACGATTCCTCGTGCTTGACGTTGGGACTCGGAGTCGCCGTACCGTTCCAACGTTAGGCCCTTACCAGCTAGACCTCGCCGGAGGTCGCGTTGCGTTCCTCGGGTTTCAGGCATCTCGCGTTTGTGTGTTTGGAAGTCACGAAGGGCTTTTTGAGCTCGTTCAGTCTTTTGTTCATTCCGAAGCCTCTCGCCAGCCGCCTTTTGGCGCTCCTTGTCGCGTTCTTCACGACGGGTTGTCTTGGGTGGCCCCTTCCGAGGCATATACGATTGGCGGTTCCGTGCAATTTCCACCGTTCAAAATAAGTTCCTATACTCAATTTATTCGTCTCGTATTTTCGACCAAATCGCTAGATATTCTTGCATTCGTTCATCCCTCGAGCTCGTCTAGGGTCTTCTTGAAGATCCGTAGCAATGGCACGGTGTCGAGGATAGCATTGCCCTGTCCTCTCCCATTTCTTCGTACGTGTGTGGTTCCAGCCCAGCTACACAAACACAACGTCGACGTCAAACGCGTGATCCAGGTCGACCCATTCATCGTCTTCCGAATAGGCCACGGGAGACTCGCTGGGGAAAGGTGCAGAACATGCGTGAGGTGCGTCGTCCCCGACAAATTCTTGCGCCGGGTCTTGTTGCTCTAATGCAATATCCTGGTGTTGTTCGTCCTTGTATGGGCCATCCCTGTGGTCGCATCTTTCGCTGCCAATATCAGACCATGCCCCGTATCGCTGGAGTACCAAACCTTGCTCTGCGAGTGCACGACGCAGAGATCGTCGTCCTCCCTTTGTTTCTGGCGTGACAGCCTTTCGTTCGAACCGTGTCAATGCATCTGCGGCTCGCTTTGCCATGTCCGCCTCTCGTTTCCTCGCAACGGCCTCAACGATACTCAGGTTTTGCCGCTCTTCCCTGCGCGTCGATCGTGGCGGCCCTTTCCTTCCCATGGCAAAGTAAAAGTGACCAAACAAGCCAGCAACATGCAACATCTAGACCTTCACTGCTGCATACAGAACTTCACTCGCATCGACAACCTTGCTATTGGGATTTCTAGTTCGTCGAGCATTCAATCAACGGCACAAGGTTTGCCCGCGATTTCCCCACAGTCGCTTCGCGGTTGTCGCTCATCTTGTGCACGTCTTGGTGCCGCCTATGTCATGGCACAGTAGCGACGCCACCACGGCGACAAGTCTTTCGAGGTTGCAGAAGACTCGTCACGACCACTGCGCTCAGCCAGGTCAGTTCGGGAAGCTGGGGGCGTCGTGGCAATATGCTGTGCATCTACGCAACGTGCGCAATTCCAGTGTGTCCCGGCAATTGTCTCTCGTCTCAGTCGATATACACGTGAGACGTAGGTCTAACCCTTGGAGTATTGTGCGAGGTCGCATCAACGTTGTGCTCCGCACGTAAATACACGAGCCTCTGGCCAACCACGACTGCTTACAGAGCATGAGGGTGAAGATGGTGACAGCAGGTCTACATCGCAGGCTTTGGGATCGACATCGGGTGGGGCTCGATAATCCTTCTGATAGTTGCGTTGTCAATTTAGGAAAGTTCTGTTTGCATTGAGGGTATTTGGCTGACTGTTAATTAAAAATAACCATCTAATGCAACGAATGCAGCTCGATGACATCACCATGGCACATTTGGCAATCGCCGAATACAGCCCACTCCACGCGCTGCATTGACTGGAATTGGTCAAACTCCCATGGCAGAAGCTCGTCAGGGTGTTTTGTTTGGAAGCGCCATGCACCTCATTCAAGCTGCATTGCCGTTGGTTGATGAATTCGGGGGATTGTGCGCTGATGATGGCCTGTCGTTGTTCGACCGGGACGAAGCATCGAAATAACAAGCCACTTCATCGCGACGACATGTACCAACGAATCCTGCTACCCACGGATACCGCCGACGATGTCGTATGAAGGATGGGAGTCCTTGTTACACCGCAGTATCACCTCACTTCAAGACAGGATTTGAGCTGGTGAAGTTTCGAGACATCCTTGGAAACACCATGATGAGCTTTCCCCCTATGGAATTCGGCAAGATGGAATTGTCGAAGAGTTCGCCATGACTGTGTCAAATCCTCTGTCGACCCTCCGGGAGTTAGCACTGGCGAAGTCTTCTCTGAGCTTTCGCAATCCCGTTTTCATCGAATAGTCCATCCATGACAAGAGTCATGAATACCGTGCACATGGAGCATTTCGTGAGGTCACGTAACCAGCGCAGTACGACTTGTACTCTGAGATATTCAGTGTGAGATAGATCATTTGAAGTCATTGAGCGAAGTACGCCCACTCAGTGCGCTTGGTCACAGTGCTCCCTTCAAGCGATTCACGTGTTGGTAGTCCAAGATCTGCCTCCATGTCGTGACCCTCGCAGCGAAGACTGCCACAGGATGCTTCCTTGAGAATGGCAATCTCGATCACACGCCTTTCGAAGCATGTTCTTGCTGACGTGTGTTGGACGTTCCGTCACCGGGAATTGCAACGAGCAAGGGAGTCCTTTCGGCAATTGAAATTTTGGAGCGCGTTCGACTAAATTCTCGCCTTCGTCGTTCAAATGGCGTTGGCCTTGGATCGGACGACGCAAATACAATCAGCAGCGGCTATCAGCCGCAATCCTGGACGTGATTTTTATCGTACCGGGTTGCAGGAAGAACCCGCATCTTTGTCCTTCCGTGGGTGCTGGTGCTCGCTGGCGAAATGAGTTCAATGCACATACCCATATTTTGCTCAAACCATACCTCATTGATATGCCTTTGGCGTTACGGTGCATGCAGCGTGACCTGTCCCCCTCGAGGCATCCTCCGTCGCCTTCCGGTTTCTCCATCATCTTCCGCCATCTCCATCGCCTTCATCCCCGTCAGATTTGTGGAGACATTCGGCTCACCCAATCAGGTGCGAGCACGCAGTCAGTTGTATTACGTCATCCCAAGGGTCCCAGAGCTCCGAGGATTCGCAACGCGCCGAGACGATGTGGGGAAACTGTATTGGGAAAGTAGGCATTTTCCCATTTCATTTCCAAGTCCAGGACCTCAAGGAGGTCGAGCGCACACCACACCACCCAAAAAACCATTTAAAGGTACATACAATCCTTGTTTTAAACAGGTGGTTTGCATTTGAACTTAGAGGAAAATTGTTATGAGCCACATCTTTCTGGGAGCGATGGAAGAATGTCCCCTTCGACATTGACAAGTATTCTTGAAATAAGTGTTGGCAACAAAATTACTGAAAACGAGAATTGACAGCATATGAATTCATTCTGTTTTAACTTGAAGTACCAGGTCCGCAATGATTGGCAGAAAATAGATCAAATCATGACCAGGGCGATCCTGCAACAAATAGTAGACTACCTCGTCCACGAACATTTATAACAGACTATAAATCTTTATCGGTTTTGAAAGTCAAAGAAATCGTTCACAGTCAATCATTCACGAATAGTATATATTTACGAAATACGAAACCCTCAATATACTCCCTCCGTTCCAAAATAATTGCGCGAGTTTTTCAGGAGGGTGTACATTACACGTCATTGTACTGATCTCCTCCCCACTTCGAAACGGGTCAAACTTGATAATTTTGTAAACTTAAATTCCTCGGGTATATTCAAATGATGAAGAACGTAAAGGGTACCTGTAGAATTCTATTTACTGTGTAATATGCATATTGTGCTCCGTTTCGAAGTGGGGGGGTCAGTATTCAGGAGGTAAATTGAAAACGTGGTGGCGCCTGCCTGGATTCGAAATGCGTTGCTGTGATTGGATCAAAACAACGAGCGAAACAAGCGCTGGCTATTGGTGCGATGATGAGCGGGAAATCTCAAGAGGTGAGGCCGCTACCCGCGTTCAAAACTTTGCATACAAAATCTAAAATAAAACATGACTTGTAAAATACCAACATTCCGGAAATGACACCCAAAAGGCGCAACCTCACCGACGACGAGCGCGAGGCCATCCTTCGGGAAGTCTTGCTTCGCAGCAACG